GGGGAAGATTCAGCCTAGTGCTCCCAGAGACAAAAATAACACATCTGCAATTGCCTGAAATTATATTTCAAAATACAGCTTAATAAGGAGTGAGAATTATGTTGCACCTGGTCCGATATTACATTGAATGATGGTGTCCATGGCACTAAGTGGCGTCTTAATGACTGTGTTCCTTCTCCGAATGATGCTGGTGATGTTGCTGATCCTAACACCGGTGCTAAATCTGAAAAGAACGAACTTGGTGCAAACAAACCTGTCGGGCAATAAGATCTTGATTGCTTTGAGCTTGGACTTCAATGGATTACAAGTTCAATGTGATATAGCGAAAATCAATGGTCTCCTCTGAAGAATTTGACCGCTGCCTATATTCCCGCAACTACAGATATCATAGATTCAGTAAAGACAATTTTTAAAGTAGCATCCCAATGAAATCTTAAAGCAACGCTTTAACATTTATGAAATTCATTGTAGATGCTCTTTGTAGAGAATGACCTGTTGGTTGTCGTTCCGTGTTTGCAACGACATCTGGACCAACAGTTGATTTTGCAGAGCCCGGCCTGTTGCTCATGGATCATCTCAGCTTGAGCTTATGGATTATTCGGAAGAAATAGTCTAAAAATTTGCGATAAGTGTGTAACAGTCTTTGCTGCTGTTGCACCATCAATGTTATTGAAAGACATCAATGACATTGAAAGATCATGTAATGGATGTGAGAACATTATTGTTTAATGGTTTTGTCGACGCTGAAAGGTAAATGATGCATCTTCTTGCAATTGCAAGTGCTGAAGCACCTCTGAAAGTTGGGTAGTTGCTTAAATTAACTTATGGACTCCATCAATCTCATATTTGTCCGTTCACAAAACTGCCAAATACTCTCCAAACGATTGGGTCTCAAAGACCTTTATAAAGAAAGTGTGTCTTACTTGTTAAATAGTGTCCCCCTCTAGTTGTGACGATCCTATGTGGATGAAAGTATTATTTCCCATTCATCAGATGAGATGGTCAGGCTGGTCAAATCGTATGTCAGTTTATTCTTGAAAATGAAAAATCTTGCTTATAGTCCAGCTAGCCGTTCTTGGGCTCCATATTGCTCAAAGTCGAAACGTCGTTTGTCTATCCAAGGCGACCTCCGTCAGAAAAATGGTTCATCATTAATAATGGATGACTTTCTGTTGCTGGACACTCCAATAATGATTAGCCTTTACATGTCACCAGTTGAAACAGATAGAGCTGAGTGACATCCGGAGAAGTCGTCACTTAACAGAACAATACGCTGGCTCCTGAATTTAGCCGCGAGTCGCTCATGAGATGCTATTTCATTACCTGTTGGGATATTCAACCAATATCTTGGTTGACCATAGAACAGCCAGATATGTAGTGCTCGAAGCGTATTAAAATATTTGACTGGAAATTTATTAACCGATCATCACTTAGTTGCTACTTCAGTTGAATTAAATGGTTAGTCCGACAGGAACTGGGCGGGAGATAATGGTGGATGATACACAGATGGTGGATATATTTTCCTCCTTATTCAAAAGGCAATGACTTTAAACTGAAAGAATAACGCTTCACCGGCTCTGCTCAGTTGCGAAGCTTAAATCCTTTTACTTACGAAAGCAGTGACGGACGCTAGGGGGTCAATGAAGGTTTACAAATATAATGGATTCAATCATGAAAAGCGAATTATCTACTCTTATAGCGGTTTTGGTATGAACTTGGCTAGTCGTCCAACCAATGACCAAATTTCCAAGCGTGTCTGAATTACTTATCACGTTATAATAGGGTTTTCCAATGTTAGTTTTAGTCTTGGAAGAGTTGATACAGATAGTAGTGATCCTGACATGAGAACATAAGCGTTTAGTGGTGCTGTATTCTGATATCCCAGAAAATTGCTTTGGTGAATCAATCGATGATAGATTTGGTTTTGCGTTTTACAGTTTTTGAATTAATCACAAAACCATTAAATGGTTAATCTCCGTTTGATTATGTTACGGAACTCTTACTGGATTGCTTGACTGACGGCGTGATACTATTTTAACAAAGGATTGATTTTGGTTGTATTGCTGAATTTCGTTTGTATCTAGGAAATGATTAAGGTGGTATTACAAAGAAGTTGCAATTCAACTTGGCTTTCTTATGCTCTCATTTTGTTCATCTTTATTTTTGTTCCGTTCTTGATTTTTCTGAAAATTTATGATTATAGCTTCAATAGTAGTTAAGACAAGAGCTTTTCCGAAACATCGAAAATGCTAACTACCGAAACAGCCGGGTGACAATGTCTTCGCACACTTCAATAAACGTCTTCATTGTTGATTCTTATAAAAATTAAGAGGCTTTGCAGTCCAACTCGCATCACAGTGTTGCAATAAACAACATTATTCACTGCAAGATGGATTTTTTAAGTAAGCCGTCTCTGATATTTGTCCATACAGCGCTGAGTGTGCAAGCTGATCCTTGATGACTATGGATTGCCACCAGACCTGGTAACCGGTCGGCCAACCTGAACGGTCGTTATCAGTCTCCAAAATGTTTCGATACCTTGTCGTGATCCCCCGAAGACTGGTTACTGCATTTAAAGGGAATATTGTGATCTTCTCGGACGCCTGCGGTCGGTACGTCGGTAGGTCTGGTTTCTAATCCGGTCGCGCTCTGGGATCAATCTACAGTCCTATTATCAGAGGTGGCGATTTCTTGTAGAATCAATGTTTTGATATATCGTTTACGATTGTATATCTTTGTGGCGCTTGCAAGATTCAATCTTTAAGTCAAGAAGTATATTAGAAAGAAAACCGATGATCCGATCGGCAACCCATTACACCAATCCAAGGTTTGAATGCAGAGCGTCACTGAAGGGACTGGTGACCGACAGCGGAGGACAAAATCCCAACCTGCTTGAAAATTAGATTAGCCTTTCACCTAGGAAGATCGAGATATCAATCCCTCGGGTCGGACTCGTCAAACATTTTAGAAAAATTGCAAGGAGCCGGTTGGGGTGCCCGAGCGGATGCCAGATGTGACTGCAACCATTGTTTGGAAGGATTTGTTCACGGGCTCGGTGGAGCGCGCTGGAGTTGCAACCATGGCGCTCAAAGAAAGAACATTTTGCGATGAGAAAAATAGGTGGATTCGAAATACAGCATTTGCATTGACCTAGATAGAGTGTTTGCCTTTCAACCAATTAAGGGTTAAGAAGGCCAAAAAAAGCTTTATCATATGTTGATGAAAGTGCCTTATATTACTCACATACCAATTGTGTGGATCAAAAAGAAAAACAGTAATAGAATATAATTATTGATGTTGCGGAGATAATGTCAGCACGGATAGTCATACAATTGATTAACAATACTGCAGCTCATGCGTCAAAAATTCAACAATTGGTTAATGAACAAATAAAACAAATGCGACGTGAACATCATGTCCAAAATTATCATCATTTCAGTCACCAAACCAATTTCTGGAAATCTAATAATACTGGAGCACTAAGAAACGCTTTCATGATATCGGCAGCTTTTATCGGAATCGACTTTGCATAAGTAAATTCAATGCTGCGAAGCACGTTCTTAAAATGAAACCTCATAAAAACATTCTAGCCGTTCAGCGATTGGTACGATGGTTAAGGAAGTTGGTAACGGAAAATCTTCTTCAATAGAAAGTCAAGTTTTTCCTGCTTGTACCAATAGGTGTGAGGACCTCTATGAGGAACACTCCTTCCTTGACAGCTCTTGGGAGTGAACCATTTTCTGTCTCGCAAGTCGCCAGTCCTCTGAAGCCCGATTCTTCAAAGTTCAAGTGAATGCCATTTGATTAAGCAGGAACATGTAGCCGCCAAAGAATTTTTGATCACCAGTTTCTGCCGCACAATCACAGTCAGAGTATTCCACAAACATTACTGAAGTGGCCACCATACACTGCACTGCTAATCTATTTGAGATCAAATATGGTAATCCCCGTCTAGCACATCTTAGGTGAGCTTTGCATGGTGAACCATGATAATCACGGAGCAACCTAATTGCAAATGCAATATTGATCAGTATTCAATTCACTGCAAATAGCAACAATCAAACGATTGATTTGTAATGTGTTGCCGCCAAACATGTAACTCTTGGCGACCTGTCTCACATAGAAATTTTTATCGCTTAATCAACATTGGGCTTGTGTGCGACTGAAACTCATCGTTTCCAACCTGTTGAATCATTCATCTGACGTAAGTCATTATATTTACCGAAATATTGTTGTTATTTCTAACAACATCAAGTCAATGAAGACCTTCCAAGCAGTAATGACAAGTTTTTCATTTTGTACAATCAACTGAGTCATCACATGAGCAGCTTAACAGTTTCCTTTGATTATACGTCCTTCATAAAATTATCCATCCGTAATCTTAGCATGCAGTGGTTTGGAAGGATTAAATGATAAAACACGCCTTGTTCAGCTGAAGCATTTTGAAATGAATCAATTGAAAAGCATTTAGCATTTTCTTGCACAACCAGAAAGGAGATTAATTGAGTTACTAGTTGATCTTTGAAACTGCCAGTCCCTTAGAAAATATTCAGCATTAACAACGAAGGAAGTTGTTTCATGTGAATTTTAGCGTCGATATCACCGTTAAAAGGTACAGATGTTTCCTCCATTTGATAGTCTTTCAATATCGTTGATGGTGCCGCAGCAGGAACGAATCTGACATTGATGTACCAATTTGCTCGAGAGAATACTTCAAACAATCAATACCTTTAAGCTGAGAAAACTCTTAAGAGATTAGTCGGGCTGTTGCGAATTCTCCTGCTGGAATTGACTTCATTGTAACTACCCATTTACGGCCAACATATCTCTTTCGAGACGAACGATGAACCGACAGGATTATATCATTTGAAGAATTGCCTCAAGCTCGATTCGTCAAGCAGCTCTTCAGATTGTGACTGGAGAAATTGATTTCACTCCAGTAGAGGCAGTAAAAGCAGCGTCCGAATATGTCGTAGGCGACGACTCAATAATAGTGACTCTTAAATAATTTGCAACCATTTTAATTCTTTTTCATTCTTGTAAAAATGAAATTGAGGAATGTTTTTATTTTCCGCTAGTTGGTTCATATCGTATCCAACACCAGTGCTTGCATCAAAAACATGATCAGCATCATCAGTTGATTCAACAGATTGTTTTAATACTACTTTATTGTCGACCACACCACTTTTCTCTTCCTCATTGGAACTGATATCAAGTTATTGTCGTTCCTCCTTGACGTGATTTTTTGTTGGATTCTTTCAAGGAGTTGCAGTTGTAGTTTTTTGGTCATTGCAAACAGCGGATTTAATTCCGGCCGTAAGAGCAGCAGCAATGTTTCTAACTGCAATTGAGCACGGGATTGTTAGATTAACGGCAGGAAATGATAAAGTCCTAAACCAATATTTGAATTCATCAAAGCGAAAAGAAGAACTTAAAACGGCACTGTTGTCTCGAGGAGTTCATCCGCGTTTCGCTCATAAAATCATGTTGCACTCGTCAAAAGCGGAGAAGAATGATTATCACCTAACTTGGTTTGCCTGATTTAGTTGCGAATCGAGGCAAAAGCAGCGCATCAAAACAGCATCCTGGAAGGGGTAGTTGATTTCCATCTATAAAACAATTTGAAAGGGGTAGTCAAAAAAGGCCCATGTTTTGCTCGAATCAAGCTGATGAAATACACCGCACGAATCACGTTTCAACTCTACATGTAATCAGGAACATTCTCTTTATTTCGCGTTGTCGTGGCCTTTGTCATGATTCTGTAGTGCCAACGATAGGAGACCGCACTTCGATGAAACTCTTAAAGAACTGCCTTACGATGTTTCATTTGTTTAGATTGACAAAGGACTTTTAACGGCTTGGATATTAACTGGTTAACATTTTGGACCTTCCAAGTGGATTTATGTATTAGTCGACAATTGAATTTCTTATGACAGACCATCCTGGGAACAGGTGATAAACCAGTCGCAATTGAAGCAATTTCAACGTATCTTCACTGAAGATTATCATTCATTAACAAATAATGATTGATATTAATTCGAAAAACCCCCCTCAGCAGAAAATATCAAGTGGGAAATGATCAAAAGCAACGGTTGCCTCTTTTGTAGGCCACTTCTAAACGGCTTTGGTTGCTTTTCTTTAATAAGAAGGCCCACAGTTTTAACTAAGAGCAGCGAAAATGCAAAGAGATTACAGTAAATTTCGTTCATCAGTGTATCCTGGATGACGCTTATCTTGACCGCAATTGGTGGTATTCATCGAAGCTGATATTGGGGCAACAAGTCATTCATTAAGTCCTGATCTTGCTTTACGACCAGCTTATGCACCGTTCATGCGAACACAATCATCTGTAAAAGACCACGAGGCCCATATATTTGAAGCCGCAAAAATGAAAATTAGATTTGAACGATGAGCACCTTGAAACACATTTTCTAATGATCATCCTTGAAGCGACATCGCGGTGCTAGTGAGATTCAAATTTACGAAATTGTCTTCCATTGCACCGAATAAAAACTGATACAACAGCGATGTCTTTGATCCAGTCATGGTTATCTCAAATACGGTGCAAAACACCAGAGCCATTGCTACACAGTTTGGAGTTTAATAACAGGTTGCTAGCTTTTTCTAACCATCAAGCAAGCAGCGACTGACCAACTTTGGGCTTATCCAGAACTGCTGTAACCGCAGAGTCTTCAGCTAATACTGATAATCAAGAAAATACTGGCCGTGCTGCCAATCTCTCACTAGCCAAAATGCTGTTTTCGTGTCAACAGTAAGATGTCATTTGTTGTTGTGTTGATTTGCAAAATGGCTTTTTGCACACGGACTCTAAAGCCGTCTATTTGCAGAACAGCCAAAGAACTGTTCATGACGAAGATGGTTTGCCAAGGTTGTTTCTTTTATGAATTCTACTACAGGAAGGACTGTGCATTGGGTAAAACCATTTATTGCGGCGGATCTCTGGAGAACAATTTCTGCATGGAAAATGGCGGCACCTTGAGTACCGCTGCAGATCTCGACACGATTCCAATACAGTTCATCAACAAATGCAGTCTGATTCTATTTTTTCATTAATATCTCTTGTCATTTAGTGCAGGTAAGTGACCTGGAAATGATAATAGAGGTCTCAACTCAAAAAGTACGTTAAAACGGTTGCAAGTTAGATAAATCCAACAGGCAATATTACCCATTCTAAAGCGCCGCATCCAATTTAGCTGAATGTATGGAGCCAGTGATCGACCATCAAAGATGGGAATACTCAGTAATGATCACATTTTCAGAATCAAAATCATCAGGTTGAATAAGATTTTCGTTAATAGTCGCTTGAACAGACGGAGCAGTCTCAGAATCATTGCGATCTCAGACTGAAGTGCCAGTACCAGCAATTGCAGCATTCAATTAACTAGTAAGTTATTTTGAACGAACAGTGGGAACATGAGTCAAATCCTGCTCTAGTGAATCAATCGTAATGACTCAAGGTGAAATATAATATATGAAAGAAGAAAATGAATTAGATCGGCTTTTTTCTTATGGAGAACTGACTTAAGCGACCAACGTCGCGAGAACAGATTAGGGCCAGACACCAACAAACTGGATTTAGACTTGGAGAGGGCTCACAATATGAGCGTAAAGAAAAGAACGCATCCGAATTTTTTGAAGGAAGAAATGCGTATAATGAAGAGCATAAATGAATTCACCTGCATTCTTTTGCGGAAAGTCGGATAAATCACAGAACGCAACCGGACCAGACCGGTGCCAGACTCCGAAGGGCAGAATGTACACCTGCGGGCTGCTCACCGCTGCCCCCATTATCGCAGTAATTAGATTTGGCACGATTGGTTCGATGTAGTCTAACCATTTTCCAAGTGAGCAAAACATCACTCACGTTGCCCACCAGCTATCAGGTGTGGCGGGGGAACATGGTCTTGACCAGTCGGGTCACCAGCAAAGTGATATGGGATGCAATCAGAGTTACAGCAATATAAAGAAAAAATTCTTTTGGTGGAAAGAATGAGCTGTTCACAGTACTTGAAGATGCATCTGCTGTGAGTCACTCAGGGGTGTAGATTAAATCTGCTGGTCTTTGTCACTGATGCGCTCCCGTGACTCTCTGTGAAACAACCCTGTTTCTTGTAATGATTGCTTGCCTTCCCTCTTCCCTTCATTATTATTAAGAACTTCATGACGTTGTTGCATTAACTTTGATTTGCTTCAGCACGTTACGAGCCGAATTGCCAAAGATCACGGGCAAAAATCAGTGAAAGTAATTGCTGCTGCGTTCCTGACACTTTATCCTTTCCAGTTGAATGACAAAGCCGCTCACCTTGGTATGTTGCTTCCCGCTATTAACAAAGCAATTAATACTTTTGCTAATGACGTTGATTCGGTCAATGTGGAGGCTGCTTTTCCTTCACTGTCAGATCTGTTGGCTCCTGACAAACAACTGTTGCTGAATTCAGAAAGTGGTAAGCGAAAAATCGAAAGTCGGTGCTCTATTCGTTACCTGGGAGAAGATCGACGGATCAAATGCTGTTCAGCTTGGAGATACTAAGGCAAGGAAATTTACATCTGCTATGTGGCAAGATCCATTATGCAAAACAGAAAATTGGAATAATTGACTTAGTGAATTCAATTGTAAATATTCACATGGTCCAGAACGCTGATGAAAATGTGGCTTTCATTTAAGCTGCATCTGTTGAGGTCACCGCCTACGTGCAAATCGTTCTCACCCCCTTTACCGGTTCTCACCATATTTCAAATACTGATGGAATGGATTTGGCGAATTATCTTGGTGGTGATGCATTTGTCAGTTGCTCTGGCCCATCATTGTCTGAGCCCGTTAAACAGAAACCATTCGAAACCCCAAAATGAAACAGAATAAAATGCTATTGTTTGGCAAAAAACAAACAATTGACTAGTGTTTGATTGCTATTATGATCAGTGTCGGCTGATTCATCCGCTCCAAGCAATTCATTCTCTGTAGTCGATGCTTTGGATGGCCACAATGTTGATCAGTGGCTGTTTTCATGGTAAATGAAAGTAACTGGCTAAATAATGTTGAATTCCAATCAATTCCAATTTGCTTCCGCTGGTTTCCTTTATATTTGCCCTATCACTGATTGGTTCTTTCGCTTAGCGTAGCATTGATGTCAGATCGCTGAAAATGCTCTTTGTATCTCTACTGTCAAAAATATTGGTACTGTGTTGTTCTCAAAGGTCGATCATTAGTGATTGTTCTTCATCTTTGCCAACCTCCAAAATTCAGCTCAATTCGAGGCAGAACATACGACGGGGTCTGTGTATCATTTACAGACGAATCAGCTAATTTGGAAAGCGCATATAATGGTAAAAAAGCAGCATCATCGTTATAGTATGACCCGCTGCCCTATCTATTGATGAGTTAATTAGTAAAAATTGCAATGAGCACTTACGTCATTCAAATGAGACTGTTCGAATGATATCGCCAAACTCTATGGCTAGCTGGCGGCAGGTAGCTCCAAATGTGAGTCTCGTCACACTGGAGTCCATCTATAAATATTACTAACTCGTCTACAAGACAGGCTACTGTTGCGGTTGGTGTACCTCATGTTGACATTGATGAGCAAACGAAGTTGCTGGTGTTGATGGGAGACGTTATTGTCTCAATTTTCCGGATCAATATTGTTGATTTGATGTTCTAAGTCCCATTGCTACACCTTGAATAGCTGTTGCCAGCTTGTTATAATATAAGAAATTCAGAGAGTAATTGTTGGTCAAACACACTATATTGCGTAGCCTAATATCCTGTTTGGATCCGAGCTCATCAACGATTTTTGCGAATCAGAAGGAATACAACATCAAATGTTACTTTGTTATGAGTCTTATCAAATATCGTCGCTGATCTTTGGCAGAATCCAACCATGGCGAAAGCAGGACAATGATCAGTGATCTATATGTTCGTGATTACATTTTAAAAAGTCCTACGAAGAGTGCAGTGATTCTCATCAAATTAATTGGCACAGAAAATGGGGCTCTTGTGTTTTCGCCAGTTGAATTATGTTATAAATGGAATCCAACTGGTTCTATGATGGAGGTGCTTGGATGTGCTACTGATAGCGTGAATTCCTACCAATTGTGGAAATCCAATTATGGCACTTCAAGTGCGGTGTGTAGATTTGCCGGCTACAAGGTAAATTGCTCAGTAAGCAGACTGTACGGACGGAATATGGCGGTGTTGCTTTCAGCTCTTTTTGACGTTTTGATGAAACGAAATTTTTTTTAAATGATGAATCATATGCTGCTATAACTGAACTTTTCAACTCTCCAATGGAGTACTACCGATTGGCGCTGGCGGCATAACCGGAATTCCTTCCACCACTGCCAATGGCCACGATAACCGAACTCCAATGGCTTTAGTCGATAAATCAAATAAGGAATCTAATGACGATGATAAATATAACACATCGGGTCAGATGATGACAAGGGGATGGTGTCGATGACAATGAATTGGATTCAAAGAAATCTGACTAATGTACTGATGATGCTGATTAATTTGCTGCTGCTTTCATTGGTGCAGAACCTCAAATAGTCCAACTCGTTGAAACAAACCAAGAATGTGATTAACGTGTGGATTACATTGGAGATGTAGTTGAATGGACTAATATAATTCAGTAAATATCATTAAAAGTATCTCTTTTCCTAAATTTTAGGCAGCAGAGCAGATTGCCACTATTGTTGCTAGGCCAACTTCCGCAGAACCGATGATAAATATTGATGTCGTTCAGAGCTTCAGGAAAAGCTTGATTGTCCAACGGAGCGGTTGGATGATCCTCCACCTGAAAACCACCTTGTTCTCTGTCGTTAGGAGCAGACAAAGAACTGTGCTAGAACTGGTTGGTTTTCAAATCCTCAAATAATTGCTCAACGACTACGTCTGCTTGAAGGAATTAGAGACTCTGAACCGTCCTGTCCAGTAGTTACGTACGAAAACTGCAGACTCCCACTTGCTGTTCGGTGTCATCATATTTCAAGGGGCATCAAATAGAAGTGGCAACTCATCTTATTCATGCAAGTGTCAACGCTGAATTTATGTGAAACAACTACCTGCGTTTTTGAAACATATGTATCCATTTAAAACTCAGAAACCGCTGATATCAAAATGCGGGCACAAACAATGTTCACTTTGATCGAAAAAGAATATATTAAATTTTTTCCGCTCGTTTGGGTTTTGAAAACCTCAGCTTACCAAGGTATGATTGGTTACATAAAAACCAAACAACGCCGAAAGCTAAAAGTATCAGTGTATAATATTCTTTTCGCCGCTGCACCGGATGCAATGGAGAAGCAGGCCATTTCATATCTCAAATTATTACTGAAAATGGTTGCCCTTGGAATAATTGTTGATCGGTATACTGAACTTGATGTTGCAGAAAAGTAGGGAACCATCTTCTGAATCTATGGAGAACTTCATCAAAGTCAAGAGTTAGCAGTTCAAAGTGAGTGACAGTTCTTTGCAGGCAACACCAACAATGATCAACCCAAACCAGGTGCTACTTGAAAAAGACGGCTCTCTGTTGCATGATGATCAGTCATCACTTTCCAAATGAGTTTTCGAATCGCTGATTTTTGCTGCGAATTGCTTTCCTACGATATTTCATTTTCAGTTTGCTTACTCAATGGAGTTCTTGAATCGCCATGCTAGGTCCACCTAAATTGTTGAAGTGCGGTACCAACATATCTGAACTAAAATCCATTATCTTTCTTGACGAAGGTGCAATCATATTTGAGCTAGTTGGATAGTTTGACGGTGAATGGGGTAGGCAAATTCATCCTAGAAATTGACTTGGCAGTTAGATGTCTCTCGATAGCCATCACCGAGTGAGGTCCAACTAACCTTTGCAAGGTTTACGCGCAGTGCTGGCATCTGAACCTCAATTTATTTAACTCACTGAAGAAGATAAGAAAGCTGTGCTACGTTTGCGGGTTTTGAAATCTATCGGGTAGAGTAGTGAATAATTAAATCCCTATCCGTGATAGCACTATCTGCTGTGACCTTCGCAAAAATTATTCTTCACAACTGCCAGACACTTCCTAATTGATGCTAATGAGCCGGATTACTTTCGGAGAAAAACGTTGTTGTGCAAACTGCTCTCTATGAATTACATTTTCACCAATTATGGCGCTCCTTTGACTACCCCTATCGCAATATATTGTTGATCCAAACATCCTTGGGTTTTAAAGAAGCACCACTGTCTTGCGAATGGCTTAATTATTGACGAAGTCACGAATCCAACGAAGGAGATAGGAATCTCCTCTCTGCTTTTCTTGGCCACGACAACAGCGGAACGGCCCACCAAGTATTCTACCTTCATAACCAGTCTTTTGCTTTCATGTTTCTTTGTGGCTTTGACGAAGCCAAGTATGTTCTCAATAATTTTTTACTAGCGGCCGCTGGACCATGCATCTTATTAGATATTGCAGGTCCACCTATTGCTGCCGGAGTAATGCGTATATCTGTCTTCAGCAACCACTCACCAAAGTATCCTAACAACATTTGGTTTAGCTGATAAAGGAAAAAAAAACTTAAATGAGGGTGATGATTTTATTCACAATAGTTAAGACACTGAAAAGAAAAATCGTGCTGATTACAGTGAATTGAATTGAAAAGTGTGTACTGGGTTTCCCGACAGAACTGATACTTTTGCTGATGCGAACGTACGTGGTAAATCTGATATCGACCAGCTTGCCGCAACTAAAGCAGTATGTAAAACCGATCTTGATAACTCTGATAATGTAATTAAATTGCTTACACAGGAGTCAAAGACACCATTACATTCCGCTCTGCTATTACATACATTGGTTGCTGCAGCTTTTCCCACCACTTGTGTCAAACCAAATCACGCCAACCCTAGACTGCTTTGCTGAAAATGCTTTTCAGTTGTAAGATATTGACTACTCTCATTGTTTTTGTCCATTCTGGAGGAGTGGAAATCTTTGAATCTTCTTTGTTGTTGCTGCATTGAAGTCATTCAATGTTCTTTAAGCGCATGACATGACTGCTTTTTCTCAAGGTGATATCGACGCCAGAATTTTAATGATTCTGCACATGGAAATGTTAATTTTGTGCCTTTTTGGAACGTTTGAACGTTACGCAAATGAACATATGGAGTTAAACAACTTGACTTTGGTTAAAACAAAAGAATGCAAACGGTGGTCAATCATTTAATGCTTGAGACGGTTGGGCAGAAGAGTGTTATTTCAATTTCTCAATGAAAAGATACCAAAGCTTGAAAGAACTACATGCAAATGAGCGAAATACCGCTGCATTCTCAGTTGGAATGGTGACGCTAGTGAAGCCATCAGTCAGCTCATTGGTCAATCTGAGAAATTCTGCAGGATTTCCAGGTGGGTTTCCGGGACTTGAAATTGTTTCAAGAGACAACTGCACAGTGGTATCTATGAACGGTGCTTCAGATACGTCGTTCAAAAAAAAAACCGGATTAGTCTTATCCGTGGACAAATCCAATAAAGATTAATCCACAGAAGGAGAAACTTGAAGCAGCTGGCTCTACATATCATGATGCAAAGCCATCACAAAGCAGATCAATCTTTGGATCGTTGCTTTTCGCTCGAAGTTGTCGGTGGCATACTATTCCATTTGCTGTTAGTTCTTTCAGTCACTATATTAGTGCACCTCACAGCGGCCACCTAATTTGCGCTAAAAGGGTGGTGAGAGATTTCAACTCCAATCCATTAATTTTTCATTTCAAACGACATCTTTGACTTTGTCAAAGTGAAATTCTCTAACAATAATTGGGTTGGCGATTTTGGGGATAAACAATCAGTTGCTTGTTGTCCCCTCCTGATCAAAATCCGCCCGTTTCTTCAAACTGAAAAGGGTTGGCTTGAATGGCCTTGCTCTCTTGAGAAACTCGATTCCTTTCACTGAACGAATCGCTCAATGAATCTGTGCTTCTATTGGAGGTAATCAAATGCAATGCCTCAAATTATCGTAAACAAATGATTTATGGTGGTGAAATATTTCCTAGTAGTTTGGAGGTCATTCTACCATTCACGGCCAGTTCATCAATATTTGAGTTAGCCACAGCGTTCTAAGAGGGCAGAGCAATGTCTCATTCACTCTTGAATGTTTTGATACAAAAGTAAAGCGTTGATATGTTGACTAACGGCGTGCCGTACTTGCAAGTTGATTTCTCCATCAAAAGACTCTATGACTTAATTAGGGATGGATTGTGTATGGTTGTTCACGTCAACTTGGATTGAGGTGATTAATTGTGTTTGTTTGATGAAATGTGGATTACTCAACAGTATTGTTTCAGATTTGTGTTGCTCACTGTGGCAATACTATTTGAACAGCCCAGACAATTTGATTGAATTAGTTGGATTCTTTTTAAACAATAAATGTTGATTTGGGCTGGAAAAACCGGTTTTGCATAGATTTCATTTGCTATCCATTTTCATTGTAAAATATTTAATTTCGTTCTTCGATTTATTTGACTTCACAGTTTATGGATGTATTGTGAAGAGTGGTTGAGAAGAACGGCTGCCGCAAATAAACCACAAGCCAAAATCAATGGCCGGCGCTATGGTTGTTCGCCACCCAAGCAGAAGGACGATCCAAGACCTATTTTTTGAAACGATTCCCAGCACCCGAAGTGCAATGCTCATCGACGTGGTTCGAGTCCACTAAAATTTCTTCAACGGAAGTTGAAGATATTTGAAGCCGTATTTTGGAATTTCAGTTGTCCTCAATCCGCCGGGGTGCACTCTCCAGCAACCCAAACATTTGTCGAACAGTTGGTGACGGTCGAATAACACAAGTGGTGGCTAGCTGGCTTTGAAAAATGTTATAGTGCATTGACCCGACCGATTGAGCCATGGCAGTTGAAGCTCTGGAGCGGTTGAGTGGCACTTGGAGATCTCGATTATCTTTTATTTTATCTGCAGTATGGTTGCTCAGCAGTCGCTCCGTGATTTTGCGCGGTTCTCATTTGAAGAGTTACTGATGTTTTCTACGTTCTTCGTCGGTATCAATGTTCTGCCGTTCATATGCAATCATGGAATGGCAAGAATTGGCATTGCACCATCGGTTCACTGTTATGAAACAATGAAAAGAAGCAGCAAAAGTCACTTGGAGTTGGGCGAGCCGTCGCATGGTGCGATTGCAAAATATGATGTCTTGATTTTGGTTTACTACCGCAGCGCACTGGGATCAAATCCCATCCGCGGCCGTCTAAGAAGCCCGAGTCTTTGGTGAGAATATTGGGTGCTCTCTAACTGGTGGAAGTGCGTTGCATAATGACGGCTTTTCCTACTCCTCATGAGATGAAACATGGAAATGTTTTGTCCTTTTTGGGTCAAAAAATTTTAAAGCTGTTAGCCTAACACGCATCTCCGATTGTTTACAAGCACGCGGTTCCCTTATGCGCCAATGTGACAACCATCAGGACTTGCTCTAATGAATTAGAAGATTAGATTGATCGGACCACTAGCAAACCTGGAGAAGAGTAAAATCAAGCTAAGATGCAAGGATTTCCCAGTAGCTATGTCACCTTTGTGAGAAACAAAATGGATCCCTGCATTAGAGTCAAATTCCAACTGTTGTCCAAATAATATCACTACCCTTTTTCAAACATATATATAACAGTACACTCACGAATCCGACATGAGTTCAAAGAAACACAATTAATGCCATATATTCAACTCAACGTCAGAAGCATAACGAATTTGATCAACAATTAATTTGTTGATGTATTCCATTAAGATAATTGAACGTTAAAACACTAGTAGCCTCAATCAACTTTTCAGCAGCATCTCTTGAAAGATCTTTTTTTGCTAGTGTAGAACTGAAACTGCTCGACTATCTGATAGAGCCATTCACAATTGTGAATTATTTGGAGATACTGTGATTGGAGCGACGGTTAGAATTGATAATTACGGAGTTTTTATCACGCTATAAGATTGGTTTATCATTGTATATACTACTATATTGGACGCAGCCATTAAGATTACACCAGCTTTGACTGCTTCAAAAAGTGAAGTTTATGCGTCATCACAAGTCAGCCAGTTGACTGAAGGCTGCCTTTCTGAGATGAACCCGTCCTCATTGAAAATCATATATCCGCAAACTGCTCTCCGATCTCGAAGCTCGGTAGCCCAATCACTGCCAGACTTTACCACTCACTCAAATGATAGAGTCGCGTTCTATAAGCAGTCAAAGGATTTGGGCTTTTATATCTTAACTTCCTTTTAGCCCAACTTGGATTGATGATGCCTAGTGGACCTGGAGATCGGTTCACCGACATTAAACAAAAGGAATCTTATTCAGTAATCATTTAAAAGCAGAATGCAAAGGATTCTACAAATTGATTTTAAAGGTCAAGACTCTTCAGGTTTCAAATGAAAGCAGTCTGTTTTAAGTAGCACATCTGTTAGGATAATGCGGAATACTGTACCATAGCAATAACGTTGATTGATTTAAAACTGTATAGCAAGCGGCCCGACTTGGATATTCAAAGGTTCCAAAATTCCAAGTTGATTATGGAGAGGATCAAATCCATGTGAACGGAGAGAGTTGATCCAAGATTGTACGTGTCGCAGAACAAAGTGATGCTTTATTTGACCAGCATCGCTATTCATTTGATCATCCGGCATAATAGTTCTTCATCTTCTTAGGATCTTTCAAATCAGATGTGTGTATTTCTCAGGAATAGATTCCTCGGTGTCTATTTGATAGACTTTGAGGCTCAATCGAGTAGCAGAATTTATCACATTCATGTGCCACCAGAAGGAGATTGCTTCACGCTAAAAAATTGAATCGATTATCTTGCATCGATTCCGAAAGTGTCACACATGCGACATTAAAGATCATAATTGTTAAAAAGGTGAAGGACCGTGTCACGATCAAGCGCTGCGGTGTTGACATTTATGTGGTGATGCATTGACGTTCCAGATGCTGCATCTGCAAAGATGTCCATATCACGTTCAAACCTAACTAACGATTTTAACGTTTCCACATCTCCATTAGCTTAAACCAGGTAGCCATTGACCAGGTAATCTGTCTTTTGGAACATCACCAAATAGAGTGGAAATGGTTGAACTTGTATCGCGACAGCCGAACGAACATTTTCCAGTGGAAAAGGAGCCAACAGATAAATATTACTAACATCCGTTTGCACAAGCTCTCACTAATAAGCAACTTTCAAATTGGATCAACCAAATGTTTTTCGCAGTTGTGGCGGCAATATGAGCGGCGGCCAAACTGGTTGAATGATTCAGGTCTTAGGGGGTTCTGATAATTCATTTGCACTCCAATGATGTACATGTTGTTTCAGATCATGGATATCTTAACGAAGTCTTTCGGTTGCAGGAAGTTGGTGCGTATCGAATTCAGCAGTGGAGTGATGATACACAAGTTCATCAACATGATCACTAGATTGCAGCACTTTCTTGAAATCGACCAGATTCGTTTTGTCACCATGTATTTTTTATTTTGTTTGCTGATGTCATTAAGTGGATGATTTTCATTGAAGCTACTTCATGATGAATCGCCTGGGCCAAATGGCTTCCCACTATCCGTTTCATTGGTAGCAGAAGAAACAAGTTTTTATATGATAGCGGCAGCAGTAGGTGCTCCTGCGGCGGCAGAGGGGACTGTCGTTTTGATTCATCAACGTATGGATCCTTCACAAAATAGTTAGTTTGGCAGATGGGCTAGAAAAACAGACTACGCAAATGACAAGATGATTGGACCCGCTGTGAAGTATTTTGCCTCTGTGCTGGCCAACCAAATCACAGAGGACTCTTCCGTCACTGAGCGGTTTGTCTTATTTTTTTGTGAATCATTAAATAAAAAGGAAATGTAAGTACGTTTAACATGTGGGCAGTTAATTGTTTCTCAATAGAATTCTAAGGGTATGATCGACAGAGCGCCATCATTAACGAGAAAAATACTTATCAAAAGATCAAGACGCTTCACACCTTCCTTCTACAGATAAGCAGGAGCACTTGGTTGAAATATCATTGGCCGCACTTTTCATGATTGCTCTTGCAAGCGGTTTGCAGCATCATTTGTTGACCTCCTACAGAACTGGCATTTCCTCGTTGGTCTTTCTACTTTGACAAATTTCTTTGACCTGCTCTGATCGCAATTTGTTTTGCGACCGCACCAATGTCCCGCCTTATTTAAAAATTGCTGAGAAAATTCGATACAGTGTTCCTTTACTCAAAGGCTGGAAATGGAGTAGCAGTCAGCTCACCAGCAGATTTTTTAGCTGATCATCGAGAGTGGGGAAAAGAAGAGGTGTGTCAACAACCGGCACACCAGCCAGAGTCCAAACAAAATCATCTCTGATAGTAAAGTAGCCGAACTTCCCGGTCCTGACAGCTACTTATTATTATGTTTGGTCCCACTATCTTGTTGGGAGAGCCCACTGACAATTGCATCGCAATTGGAAAAGCAAGAAGTTCGCCAATTAGTTGCTTGCATGAGACTTAGTTGGATGAGTTAATCGATGATGATTGTCTGAAGAAAATATCAAAAAGCAAATTGGGCACCGAGTCCATCACATAATGGCAAAGCTGGTAACCTTCAAGAGACGTCACATTTGTAGTGAACAAAATTATCTTTGAGTAAAAACCAGAACGTCTCAATTGAAGCGGTAAAAGCTGAAATGAGATTGGCATCACTGGCAGCTAGCTGAAGAGTGTCAAGAGGCCCTCAAATCCAAAGAACACAGCGCCAACATCTTTGTCATTAACGGTAACTTTATCAACTTCACTAAAATGACCTCAGTGATCCCTTAAGTTGCAGAACCAATTGGGACTGGCACAGATATCTTTGGACGCTTCGAAACCAAAATATGACTGATTTGGATAGATCATCGGCTTTCTGCACATTTTAACGAGCCGCTGATCTGCGACTGACCAAATTTGGAAGAATACAAAGATTTGCTCCTGCAGAGACATCGCCCGCAACTGATAATGCAATAAAAGACGCAAACGGACTCAACTTGTTAATACCCCAGATATCCTTTTTAGTGAAAACAATATGAAATCCTTCGAATCTGTGGTACTAACTTCAATGGGTCCTTCTCAACGGAACTATCGCGGTTGAAGCTGACGTACCCCCAAACGCATGATCACCAATTTAGATGGCAGTTCATTTTTGACGCCGTGAATTCAATTGTGAGAGGTTTTGCTAAAAAAGTTATCGCTCATTTAGCGTAGGTGAGGTCGGAAAAAGAAGCAGCATAGAAGATGTCACGCAGGCTGATCAGCATTCTACACTGCGAAATTGCTGCATTACAACTTATGAAAAGATGTTTTGTGATCCCTCTAGTAGCAAAGTTGAGTTCGCCACTCACCGTAGGTAAAGCTCCTGCTCATCTGAAAACCTGTTCCAAATTAGTAATAACTTAAAGCATCTCTAAGTTAACCAATACTTGAGGGCCAAGTCTCCTATTCCAAAACATTTCTTTATGTCCAGCACAAGCTAATCCATTGGTAAGTGACCAAACCCACCAGAATCAGAAGGAATCATTTGATGATGTTGGGTAAAAATAAACACTATAAGGAACACCTCCACTGCTCAGAGCTTTAAACATTGGTGTCATCTCCGCTAGGATCTGGGTGAAGACCCAAAGACAGAAAAACGATACCTGCATTCTTTCATGGCAAATAGTCTTGCTCGGAAACAACTAATTTGGTATTTAAGTTGATGTGCGGAATCGAAGTTAATACACGTGGTTGATCAAGTACATAAAAAAAGAAACTGTCCACGGGAGTGCCAGACTCTCATCATGAAAGCGGGTTAGACTACACATGCTAGGAAGAACCAAGGATTGGCAGGCTTCAAAAGATCGACTGTCGACATCCCGCGAGTCAGATCAGCTCATAGCAACCAAGGGCGTACAAGAGATATCCCGCAGTTTATTTTAATGCGTCGTTGCAGCCCAGAGTGTCAGGAGAATTGATAGGTGACAGGAAGCGGAAGATCAATTTTTCTAATGTGAGTAACGTCAAATCTGCTCTGAACTTGGCAAACCATTAACCCAATTATTATTATTCCAATCAAATCTTAAACAGGTATTATATTTTAAGAGGGAAGTGGAATTCATATTGACCTATTGGAAATAGATGATTTTAAGTTAATGTTGCAGATATGTTTCCAAAAACGATTAGTGCAATTCTGGTTACTTATCCTGATTAAATGCTTCAGCACTTCGATTAGTAATTATTGATGTTCTATTCGATATCTTGCGCGATCTTTATGTTGGATATTTACTTTGGGTTCACTGCCGAGATTGCTACCCCAGTGGACTGCTTATGCACTATCGACCTCGGTAGTATTAAATTTATTACCAAGTCAACTTGAGTGTAGTAGGGGCGTCGTTTATCATATGAAATATAATTTCGTGCTATAAAAACCTATATTGCGTTACTTCTGAGATCTCCACTCATTGTTTTTTCTATAATGGTCTATCTTTCTGGCCCTACGTTTACCACATGTGCCTACCATTGTACCCCGAACCCACGATCACAGAAGAACATCATTTCTAACGCTGCAGCGGCAGTACCACCCAGCAGACCTTCTAACTGCTTTGTAGCCCAAAGCATAGTGCTTCTGATCACTTTTTGTTTAAAATGTTATTCTATTTTTTTAACGGCAGGCCGCTTCTCAATCTTTGCAAAACATCCATTTTTCGCACCCATATCTTTATTTGGATAAATCCGTTGTTGGGATTGGACGAGATCTTACCGCCCAGAAGAGCGGATCTCTAGAGCCGCGAATTGTACACACTTGGTGTAGCTCCGCGCCAACATTAATCTGCCGAATGAAAAATTTATCCACTGGATGCCGTCATTGATGCGATCGCGTAAGATTGAGTTACTGTTTTAAGGGTGCTGCTCCAAACATGCAGGAATTCTGAGTTTCCTAGTTCGGCTTACCTGGTCGCTCATCTCCCGTGCCCCTATGTGGCTACACTCAGTGCTTCTCAAAAAACGGAAGTAATCACCACTAAGCTGATGATTTTTATACACATCTTTACCTTGGTATATTTTAGGTGTTTTAGTGCTGCTGCAGAACCATCATTTGAGGAGCTGCCTTAGATCACAGGGCTACACAGAAGCCCACACCTGATTAATACTCAGTGTCCTGTTATGGACACTCAGGCAGCCGAAACATATTTATTTTAGTCACGTGCAGCGATCTGAGACGAATGGAAGATATTTGTCGACCATTTAAGAGATCATGAGCATGACTTATCAAGCTGGCCGAATGGCTACATGGTGTCAGTGCATGAATGGATATCTTAACTGCATCATCGTGAACGGTTGAGGGAACTCAAACCACAACCACGGCCTCTTTGAAGAAAAGTGGTTGGTGTGAAATAATATGAATTGAACGCAATGGGATCTGGGTCGAAGATCCATCGCTGGCTCATATTTTCTAGCAATCACAGATAGATACTCTTTTTCAGTTTGTGCCAAGATCTACGGCGGGCTAGTTCGTTGGCTTGCCAGCTTGTTTAATTGCCAACACCAATTAGAGCAAATGACTGCTCATGTGATGATGACGGACTCCTAAAGCAATTGAAATTAAATACAACAATATAAGAGTGGACCAATCAGTGCCGAATGAGAACTTCTGAAAGCACATGTGGATTTTACTGCCAATTGATCGTTTTAAGTGTGAGAAATTAGACGAGTGATCGAATTGAATTTAATCGTTGTAGCAATCGTTTCGCCCACTCAGTTAACAAACCTGTATCGAAACAACTGACAGAAGAACAGCCAATCATACGTACATTAGAAATATCATAAAACTGAAACAGCGTAATCTACAAAGCAGAATTATCATCAATAAAGTTTTGAAAGAATTTCTGAAAATGATAAACACATAGCGCGAAGCCGCTTGCTAACATTCCATCAACAATATTTATGGCATCAGCTTCCACAATAATGAAGGACCATTCATGCAGCCTCTCAAAAATGATCGATGATTGAAGTATCGTTGAAGTGTTTGAGATTAGTGGGATCGATATTTAATACGTTTCCTGAGTTGTTATCACATTTTGCTCTTCTTCGATCAACAGTTCTTGGGGTGTTATTCATGATCCTCATTACAAGCAAACATTTCTCAACGTCTTCTGGGTCTAAAATATATTGTGCATCACGCCTCAAAGACGCGAAGCAGGCGCGCTTTTTCAGACTCAAGTAAGTCGCTTCTCAATAAACAGGAACATACGCCTGCCAAGGGATTTTCATTCGCGAACGGCTCTAACCAACTTAAGGTCGGAATACTTAACTGACTGAGTGGAAGAAGCACCATTGCAATTATTAGTAAATGAATTTTATTGTTAGTTAACATAGCACCTTCGTGCGAAATTTGAAAGAGCGCTCCAAACAAAACCAAAAAATCGGCTGAGCCAATAAACGGCAAACGCGTCCCCGTCCTGTAGTCACTTCATTAAATAGCAACGATCCATCTATAGGGATTGAATGGTTTCAGTTTCTATTCCCTGTTTCCGAGAAATCTGATGGTATTATCCAGTGGAATCGGTTAGTGTTCATTCTCGTTGCGGGCAATAATGGCTGACGTTGGTTAGAATGTTGATCAATGAGCAAGACGTAGCTCATCGTGGAGACGGAATTCGCCCGTTTGTTTTGAGGAACCTCAACAGAAAATGTACGACAAGTCATTACTCCAAAATTTTCCAATTTAGGAGAAGAACAAAAATATTGCTCATCATTTTCACGATCTAATCTCATGATTGAGCAATCATAACATTATCCAATTTAATGTCTTAAGTGATGAGCGGCTTATTCATTGAACGGTTAAACCGAGCAAGTTCAGCCGAAGCCGCTTCATCTCCAACTAAAAGCGAAGGAATAACTGTTCCTTTTCAGTACAAAGAGATGATCGGTTGACCGCATTAATTGATTTCGGTAACTTGAAAATTTTCATCTATTAGTAGCAATTAGCACCTGCTGGGAGGAGATTCTTGCCATTGTCAGCGTCAGTATCATCATATCCATTCGCAGCTGTTGCATCCGTTTAACGATGAATGAAAGTCGTTGATGCGGCAGCTGCAAGAAAGTCTTAGATTTTATGTGGGTCGTCACTGAAGAAATTCAACAATCTGAAGGCATCGAGTAAAACTGATGCAATCTCACCAGTTCCTGCCGACTTCACCAGCACCCAACGACAACCAACAGTTTTTTTACAGTAGTAAAGATCAACAATCGTGCTGGTATTGCAAGGAAGCATTGACAAGAACTCTCGTAATCGATCAGCTTTTCAAATTTGTTCGACAGGCTTTCGAATAGCCGTAGTAACTGCAAGAATGACTGGCAATGATGTCAGAAGGACGTCCTTTAATAGTACACGTCAATTCAATTATAGAGCAGCCAAAAAAATGTCAAAGTTGATCAGTATCTATTAGGTAATCTATTCCGGTTTCCGCCAGTCACTAAATATTTGATTCTGAATTAATGATGCCCTCAACAATTTGATCGGCATCTTCTGTGGATAAAGCCGATTCTTTTGAGGAAGTGACTTTCACGTTACCATCATCCGCAACTTCATCAATCACTCCGATGTGACTGTCTTCATCAATTTCAATGAAAGCTAATTTGATCTGTCAACTAAAGCGTTGGCCGTTGCGTTGTAATTGTCATTGGCAGCGGAGGACTAATCAATTCACATCACACCTAAAACGATAAACAACAGAGCATCACCGCTGCTAAGTGGTATGAACTCTCTCTACCCTTATCTACGGTTTTCGTAGCCAACAGTACCAGAATAAACACGGGAATATTATGACTTGATTTATCTATATTGGGTAATGATCTCTGGATATGTTGGAAGCGACAGAACTTTCTGCGCAAAAGCCTTTCCGTTGATTCCTATACACTCTTTAAATACAGTCAAAAAGCTCACATGTTGTGTGGAAATCAAGTTTCTTCAAACACTAGAGACTTTGCAGCTTCACTGGACAAGCAATAAAGTAGATTAATTTCAATTGGCATTGCCTAGGCCTTTGCCTTGATGGCTTATTGTCATCGTGCAGCAACAAAAAAATTTTATGACTAATATGAAACTGGTATTGATTTATCATCTTTTTCAATTCACTGAAGTTCTTGAAGGGTCCTCACCACAGTAATTATCGGATTGCACCGTGTGATGGGACTTATCGAATAGTGCTTTGGTGAACATATACCATAGTGGAAATAAGTAGCGGCTAACATATTGTAACGCTCGGGGGATCGGCAATCAGCTATTGGCTATCCATAAACAAGAAAGCAACGTCAGCTCACATCATCATTAACATCTCCCTTCGGCCGTGAGTGACAAAATAAAATTGCCAAGCACCAGCACTGGAATGTGTTTCGCACAAATCAATACTAAATGGGGCTTGTTTAACCATGGGAGATGACTTAGATTTCGAACCACCAACAGAGTTGAGTTAGATATTGGCGAGAATTCCTCCATCAGTATCACTTGAGTTCCATAAATATTCTGGTCAATTACTTGTAATTATCTGATCTGGGATACTGCAACAGAGCTTTGATGTAGTCTCGAAGCTGCTCATCAACCGGCGATCGGCCGATGAATTTAACACAATCACCTTCCAATACAATCCAGGCCCCTTTATTTGTTGTGGGTCATAAATGGCTTAGAGTAGCATTATGCGAAGCATACTAACCATTTTCTAATCGTTCATGATTGAGAAGGAACGGCGCGCGGATTCGTTTCCAATATTTGATAGTTTGGCGAGCCGCAGCAACTAGCCCTGATTGCAAAGTCAGGCCGCTGAGCGAATCACCGATTGATTCATTAGGATTCAATGCACCACAATCATAAAAGACTCGTTTGGAATTGCTGATACGTGTAAAGTTGTTCAAAATTGAATTGTTTACAAACAAGATGATGATTCCTCTCATGCACTGTGGCTTCTTAATTGATCTGAGTTCTCTTCTCGATCTTGCCCGAACGTCAGACAGCTTTCCTCCAAGCCAAATATTGAATAATGTTGATTTAAATACTGTATGACAATCTGGTTTTTTGTCACATTCTCGATAATAAAAGCAGCAAACACTTTTGTGATTTCGTTCGCGGTTGAATTGGTTGAATTATCAGCTTGATGCCGAGATCAGCTCTTCCTTTCAGTATGATAGTTAGTTATTACCGATGAATGTTTTGATCTTTAACGATGCGGCTGAAACAACATTTCATATTTGGATTAAACTAATTTAATTGAGAAGAACGAGTTTATTATGCCTTCGACATTAACTGCTCTTCAAATTTGGTTCGAGTTGCTCTTCAAAATGAGCGGAATTTGGTTCCGTAAAATCAAAGCGCGAATTGGATGTATGACGTTTTTCCCATTCAAACATCGTTTTACTTTATAGCAGTCAGGTTGCAGGATGTTCTTCTTCGGTTGCTTTGTGTCTGTCACCAGTTTCCTCTTGGGTTCTCATTGCCCTATTCCTGTTACCAATGAAAAAGGCTGCCGCTCACTTCTGCGATTCGTCTTTGAAATATGGCTATTCCTCCACAATATATTTAACAGTTGCCTCAAATATTTAACAGATAAGCAGCGTTGGTCAGGTGGGAAGCCACAGAAGATGAGGTCAAATGCACTAATTACGTGAATCATGCTTTGGCCGTGAAATGCGAAGCTATTTACGTTGGCCGGATAAATCAATCCGAAAGTGGAGGAAGGGTCGTCACAACTGAGCAAGTTGATTGAAGCAATTTTAAAATATCATTGACTCTGCGGTGGCGTTGATTAACAATCACGATATGGAATGCTGCCGTTTAGCGAAAAGGGCTGCGTGTTAGAGCAATGCCACAACACTATATGGAGGATCCAAACTATATAAAAGGAAGGGTGTACAAATGATTGCAAGCCATTTCAATAGCAGACTTAGTTAGGTATGGGAACCAGACTGTACCGGACCAGTGATCAATATAGACGAACTTACAGTGGACTTACGGAGGCTCAGCGAAAGACACGGAATACGAGTATCCGGACCCGAATAAATCCCGTCGATCAAATCGAACGTTCTCAACAAAGATCAGACCAAATGATGGTAATACATTCATAGTAAAGTGATAAATAGAAAGAGCTAGGTGGAGCACATCGCTAAACTCTATAGTGATGGACGGGGATTTATTTCCGAGCGTCACAGCAGAGGAAAACCGGTATCCTGACGGCCCGAAGTTGCACCAGGAGGCAACTCACAACAGCCGCAATGATGGCAAGACCATGACTTGAGGTAATCAGATCAATGTACTTGAACCGTTTAGAAAGCCGCCAAATCTGTGTCTCTATTTGGGGAGCAGTCCTTGGCTGATCGTTCAATAGGTAGACTGCGAAGATCGGGCAGCGGCTTGGAGTGCCATTTTCGATACAATACTCTGCTTTCTAGAACAACACATCTCGGTGAAGAAAATCTTTGGTCAGGGATTTGTGGCCTGCTGGAGCAATTACAGTGGTGGCTTGACTGCTCAAACAATGTGGAACGGAGTGCCCTTTTGCTATGTGAATATCATACATTGGCGGGCGTGATTGATATTTCTGGCGTCTGTCTGCAGCCTTGTTGCCGTTCACCTCTTTATTTGATCCACTGAGAAGGGCACGTTGAGGGACTGCGGTATACAATCAATCACTGTAGTAAATTGAACAAGTAAGAGAATCAAAACTTGCGCAGGTCAATTGCAATTTGTTGTATTTGAGAATGCTCAAGTCAATCTTAAAGAAAAGGAGAAAGAAACTAACTCTACATCTCCGTTGTATCGATCTTAGAAATATTATTAGGATATGCAGTAAACAGCAGATCTACCAATACTGAAGGAGAATCATAAAAGTATCGATTAATCAATTACAATCAGAGGAAGGAAAACTAAAATAATGAATAAACCGATGAACGACGATAATTGACTCATTCACGCGATTCGCTGAGACGTTATCCGTAAGTGAAAGAAGAGATGTTGTTATTATATCAGGACCGTGACTTACACTTTAAATCGTTGCAACCAGTAAAGGCATCAAGGGAGTAGCGTGTTTAAGGTAATTCCGGATTGAAATAAACCTGGATGGTCGGTGATCATACCTACGCTAAGACTACTTCGTAGTTAAAATTCCGTCCTCACTAGATATTAGAGTTGAAACATTTGTAGAAATTTAATAACACCGTCAATTAAAACAACATGTTCTTTGACCACTTCAAATTGTCACAAGAAGTCAGCCCCACAAGACCAGAATGCAATTGTGGCCGGCTTTATATGGAACATGACACGGGCATCCCCTTATTGAAATGCCTCTAATTTTCGACTAATCTACGAGCACTTGGATCAGCGGCCCAATCATTCCCCCACCATGCAACCAATTGAAGTTCCGACGCGGCATTGTGGTAAACAGTTCATGCACCTGAGTTGAGAGATAGTTAGACCCATAGAAGCAGTTTAGGTCTGTCTGAACGCCGTATTACGATATCCACTAATTAATCGAAGAACAAGCCGAATATCGTGCCGTAAGCTAGTTCCGACAAATGCTGTCGTCAATAATTAAGCAGTTAAATATTTTGCATATCCACTCACTAAGGAGAACCCATTTCAAGTAGAATACTGTAATTGCATATCGTCGTTAGTGTTGCTTCCGAATATGAATCATGTTTTTCATTTGGATCAGCAATCAACTTGGCCTAATTCATTATATTGAAACAATGTTTCTTCTTCCTCTGGGCAACAGCAGGTTGTAGAATGACAGAACTCGATGAGCAAGGTCCTTGATTTTTCAACAATCGAAAATAGTATAGTAAGACTTGCTTGCCCTTTAGTTTCACAACGCGGCAATAAGTCAATCATGCACATTTAATTTCAGCAACCTCTGTGATTCCAGTATCGAAAACTGATCACATTCAATTTGATTGGGAGTATTTGAACGAAAAAGGATTGGGAGGACCTAGCAGCATGTCCGACCACACAGAACAAAATTTACTGACTCCAATAAATGTGTTGGGTAATATCGAGACCTTCAGTGACTATTCATCTTTAATATATTCAGGAGGGTGTTTCGTGCAACTATCCGCATTACGTTCAGTATCTGAAAATGCGGTTGACGCAACGATTCCTTGATCCTTAAGCATCAGCAATGGAGAGCGCGCGCAGTGGACTGCTACACTGAAAATGATAGCTGCTGGAGTAAATAACTATTTATGGATGATACGCTCAGGCTGAAAGTCATTTGTGGCAGCCAGTTCGGCCTTTAAAATACCATGCATAATAGCAGCTTTCATGGTGAACGCCCATTAAAAGCCAACAGATCTTCGGTTGGTGAGAAAATCAAACAGAATATAGGCATTGACATTAAGCTTTGAGTCTAAGTGTGTCTGGCAACAACATTGCAGATGGAGTTGGATCCTTCTCCTTCACAGTGGTACCACTGAAACAGGCATCACTCAAGCGTTCCGAAGTAAATCGGTTACTAATTGGATTGGCTGTTTTAGGTGAAACCTAGTCTAATACAATTTAAAATTGTTGGGATCACTGTGGGAAATTGTTTTGAGACCCGCAACGAAATGCCAATGAGATTCAGCACCACCTTCAGCCTCCCCATGTTTCGTTCACATTGTGTGGATACAAATACTTTCACTTGATTGAAGTAATTCGCCATCATTCCATCGGTGGGATGTTCAACTGGACACAGTTCACTTTATGGATCATCTTTCTTGACACTCACCAATATTGGCACAACCAATGGATTTGCGGAGATGCTCGAAGCGGCTGCAGATGGGTTATTTATTTCATTTCTAGCAGTCCATTATTTCTTGCGATTAAAGCAGGAGCAATTTGTTTAGCGCCGACGAGAGATGGAGTTGGCTGCTTAATGGGTGCCAAGTCGGTCCGTCCAATCCAATTATTGATTCATAAATGCGTAAAAATGAGTGGTCAGCGACTTCGCTCCCGAAAATACAGAACATACTCTTGCTGTTTCATTCATCCAGTAGCCAGGTAGCAAAACAGAGAGGTCCTGAGGCACCTCACTTGCTTTGCCGATTTCCTTGCATTCAGTGTCTGAGTATCAGATTCAACCATTTTCAGCATCCTACGACTTGATTTCCTTTGCTAAAACATTAAAGCAGTTATTTTCAAGGCGCCATGTTTAGTCAAAATCAACTTCAGCAAAGACACTAAAAGATAGCAGCATCAATGCCACACAGATCAACAACTGTATTTGCAATTCTCCTTGGTCCAGCCCTAGTCATGATCGATATTGCTAAAGATCGGCCACCCCATTTCAATTTCACTTTTAAGAAGCCAACAAAGCCAGTGGCATTTCACCAGTTTGAGAAAAAAAAATCAAGTGTTTGGACGGGCAATCATTGTCGGGTCAGACAGTATGATTTGCCTTTCCCATATATAATGAGTAAAGATAACATTATATGCCAAGCATTAAAAATAAAGCTGGCCTGAACAATCGCAACCTATTAAACATATCAAGGGTGATCGCCCTAAACATTGAGTGATGGACACAAAGAGGGACAGCATCAACTGGCAGTTGCCAAACCGAATCAACAAGAAATATATACCTTGAAGCCGCAGACCCCCTTGTCAGCTATTGCGGAAGGACGTTGGTGGCTTTCATTGATGTCATGGGTCAGCCTTTGAACGTGCGATCGTTCTCCTAACATTGTCTTTAGCGTTATCTTCATTCACAGAAGCACCTCGTTGTCCTCATTGAGCTTGCTTATTTGTAAATAATTGCTCAGCAGGAGATAGGGCAACAAGACAATCTTATGATGCAAAATTGCTCTTCTTTAGCCAATGCTCGATCCAAAAGTTCCACAATATTTTGGAATGAATTTAACGGACCCTTGTTCGCAGCAGCGCAGTTTGACTTCAGGAATGTCTTGCGAAGCGCATCTTGAACACCATCATTGACAACCTGTTGACATCCATGCCACTTCTAACACCATTTGCTTTAACGATTGTATCTCCAGTAGCAGCACTCTGACCTCAATGGGGAGCTAAAATGCTGAACCAATCATCGATGGCTCAAATTTGATTTGAAACAGCAGATGAAAGATTGAGATGGCTGGCCATGAAGAGTAGTTTCTACTGGCCCGCAGTCACCTTGCTAAAACGGCTGATTATCCTTTCGGCCATTGGTTACGGCTCCAGCACCAAATGTATCAGCCTAATCTGATGAACCAGAGAAAATCGGCCTACTTGTTGAGTATTTATCGGCGAGTTGCCAAGTGTAAAAGCAAAATTCGATGACATTCGATTTGGACTTGGCTTCTACAAAGATTCATTGCTATGAATAACTAATGCTGATTAGCCTGATACACCAGCGCAGTCTATTTCACCAACATGATGGTCGAAAGGTTCGCATCAGTAAGGGAAATCATGAGGAAGGTCGGCACAACAAGTAGCACTTTCTCAGCCTATGATGTGAGAAGCAGCAGCTGCGTACACAATAGTAGCACTACCGTTGGAACTATGCTTTGTGAGTCAACCGTAATAGAATTTATTGATTCACTTCTTGTGATCCTTCTCTATTGCGTAACTTACTATGCCATTTACTACGAAATGGGGACTTCCAGCTGATAACTCTAGCATGACTTTTACTAGTCTCAAGTAGCACCTTGAATTCTTCTAATGGCTCTCCGCCAAACGACGAATTACTATGCATTTCATGTTTTTGAGCAGCAGCGAGATTTCCGATATCCATCCATTGGAAAGGCAAATCTATAGCAAGCTGATCATTGTCTTAATTAGTATCACCCGCAAGTGTGAAACTCTCATCCACCGTCGATTGAGCAATGTAACAACCAGAGCATCTTTATTTTTTTGATCGAAGCCCTAGTGCAGATATCTGCAGCTTCTATTGCTTTATGTAATTCTTGGGTCCAATTATTTCCGATTAGGCTCATTCCTCTTGCAGTAATTCATAATGATAGACCACAGTAGCGATAAAGATAACGAGGCTCTTACAAAAAATTAGCTGCCCAATTAGTAAGAACTGCCATCGATCGCAGCGCCATCCGACAGAAAAGCGGTGATGATGATCGAAGAACTAACACCAGACTTCCAGTAAATTGGCAATAGCTAATCCTATCTGATGGCATTTCCACAAATAGCATTAGTGAACTTGGATCACGGTATTACTGGCGTGAATCTTCCATGTGATATGACCTGCTAAGTCTCATCTGTTTAAAAGCCAAATACCGTATGCAAAACGAATGATCATAACGAATACTTCGATGATTCATAATGTTATTATATTAACATCGTTGATCCTCATCATGTGGCTGTCACTCTGTTCTCTTCGTTGGCTTCAGGGTCCTGCTTTTTAAAAAAGCCTGACACTCAACGTACTCCCATTAAAAGTGTCGAATTCACTGACTGTTAGAATTACTCCAATTATCTTGAAGATGACGCCCATGCTGGTAGCCCAGTACAAGGAGCAATGGTCTCCACTGTTAAAGAATCACACAGAAGGTCACATTCTAAACACAAACACATTTCATGGTTTGGACGAAACTGGACAGATTGGAAGTGGTCAATAGGCCGCATGGTCAGCAGCTTCTGTCAATCGGTCAACGCCACCGGTTCCGCTGCGGTCGCTGTAATTGAAAATGCAGGTCTTGGAAAACCATTCTAAGCTCAGTGATGCAAAGCAAATGAAAGGAGTCGTTGCTCTCCCATCAACAATAACTTGACGATCGAGTATCTAATCATCTCTGCGCTATTGATGATCGGTTCAGCGGCTTAGGTCTTCGCTCACGTCTGCTTTCTTGTATTGGCGAAACGGCAAATTCAATTCACAGTTATTGATGCCTGCAGGCTTCTGAGCTGTTGATCAGGGGAAAAAATACTTCATTCTCCAGAGTGTGAAATGGGTTTCTCAGCTCACCTGCGGCACAAAATCTCTCTTGAATTTCATCCAAATACAATCATGTTGACATTGATGGAGTCGCGGTCGGAAACTCATATGCTTCACAAGGGTATCTATTATTAGCTCTTAGGGATGTTCCTGAGCAGAGCAATGCAAATTAGAAATAAGGAACTTCTCATGGTAATGAGACAACTGCAAAAAAAATAGTGGTATCCCGTGACAATTCCGCGACTGGTCGTTCAAAATCTTAATCTTGGCTGAATGGCTGACTGACAATATTTATTTATACCTGACCTACATGACAGCGTATAGCTCCTTCTTATCAAGTATATGTTCAGTTAGTATGGCGAACGCTGGATGCTCCAATTGATATTAGTGTTTTTCTTTTCATACGTATGATGAATACTTACAAAATGTTGCAGTTTCCCTGATCGTCACTATCGGTTGCAAGCTGACCGAATGCCAAGCATTACAAAATTCATTTCTCAATCATTGGCCATAATGGGTTCTGCGGTCCAGTCTCACCATGAGCATCATCTTAACCTGATTAAAGAATTTGCATGTCACATAGAATTATGCACGAAATGTGAGCTTCTTATTGCTTTCAACTGAATGGCAAAGGTCAATGGGGATACAAACCTATGCGAAGAATTGAACCGAGGCTCCTAATTCATTTCATGGTTTCTTACTCTGTGTGCAGTATTGTCGTCATCGAAGGAGTGTTTTCGATGAATTTCAATCCTCATAGATATGGTTATCGGTGAGCACTACTTTTCATTTATTGTTGAAGCAATGTGGACCGCTGCGATCCTTAAAGTTTGTGGATGTTACGTGTGCGCCTACTTTCCCAGGCGGATCATGGAATCAAATTTAAAAGACGCAACTGTGGTCTACGAATTTGGTGATTTTGACCTAAGTGGCATTGCATGGATAGTGATCATCATTCATTAAAAGTGTTCGTTTAGCAGTAATTGATGTCGCTTCAATAGAATTAAATTGCTTCTCTGACATTAGCACACTGATCTCTTAATATCCACAGCTCTATCTGCTGTTCTAATCGCCTTTATTGCCGCCGGGGAGATCAAAAAAACAAAGGAACATCATTCTTTGACAAAATACACCCAACTTCGAAGACTCTAAATCTAGGGGTTTCGGTTTCCAAGCATAGTTTCTTCGTTGACTGTGATATTAGAAATAAATGATGAATTGAAGATCCATTTTGTATATCTATTTTATTTGGTATTTGAATAATACAGGGTATATTAATGATCAGTTGTATGGTGTTTCTAAATCTTTATATTAAATATTTTACGTGCGGCAAATGTTAAATGTATTTTGAATAAAACGAACTTTAGGTGGCTTTTGCATCTCAAATATTGAAGAAGGATGAGATCAATATTGAATCATACTTTTTAAACCTGAAATGTCTCAAATAAGACAGGCAATCCTTGAATTGGAAGGACTTTAACAGAGAAACATTTCCTTCATCAGATCAAGAATGCTGAGCATTTCAAAGCTGTAACTATCAATTAACCTGGTCGATGTGCCGCAATAGATTAACTAGAACTGCCATTTACATAGGGTTAACATGTAAAAATGCTCTAACCTCAATTGAAATAGAATCAATTTCTTTGAAACTTGATTAAATGTATAAGAACTAATAGAATAACAGTAGAGAATACCAGTAGAAAGATGACCCTAGTCAAAGTCAACGGTTTCATGGGTTTTTCTTTAGTTTAAATTTTGGAGTTTAAGAGCGGTAAATTTAGAAGTTGCTGTAGGCTGGGTGATTCGAATGACTGAGAGAAGTATTGGTTGATCCAAAAGCTGGAATGATATTCAATCCTTTCTTTTCTCCTGCCCACAGCCTATAATCTAGATAGTATCCTAGTGGAATAAATGAAGATGCTATTGAAATGACCCAGGTAGTTGAAAACCAGCTCAATCAATTAACTTGTTGACAATGTCAGCAAAAAAGACTGCCGCATTAATATAACAGTGTTTAATTTGCTGGTTGGAGATATCATTTCTAGTAAAATGATGCTTCGTATCAATATGTTTTCATGGATGGAAGGAATGAATGGGCGAGGTATCTGCCAGAAAAGCTGAACATCGACAGAGAATTTAATAATAGATACTGTGTTGCTGGCTCATCTAGTCCGCTGTGCATCATTGAGCAATTTTTGCATTCCTTCATTAAATGAAACATAACTCCACTGGATGATCTTGGATTGCTCAAATGTCCTAGTTGAAAGGACTAAAATTGACATGCACTAGTTCTGTACTACGGTTGCATTGAATGGTCGACAAGGCTGTTCATTTGCAAAGGTATTCTAACAGACTGAAAGTACGCGGAGAATGACCTTCTCAATCGCTAAATATATGCTGGCCTAGAAGTGATGTATCAAGGGATTAACCATGTCGGACTGTATTAGACAAAGTTAGTGATGTGCCAATCGGCAATTTCTGCCTTAAATATTCAATAGCATCAAAATGGTCAATGAACATCATTTTCAAGTCTTTTGTCTAAAAAATCGTTTAATTATTTGAATCCGCGCTTCAGGAATTTCGAATCTCTTTTCCCTATAAGTATTAGAGTCAAACTTTCTTCCCAATATAATTCGGTTCAAGAATGATATTCAGAAACATAATCGCAGTTCTATATGATTTACTCGAAAGTTGTTCATTTCAATGCATTTGTTTGTCAATAAAAATAGATGAATGTCCAGAATTTAAAGCATCGTAACCATAAATCAAAATTAAACAACTTCAATTGGAGAGGAAGCATGGATGCAACCATCAATGACAATAGAAGTTGCCACCTCGAGGATCGCATTTGAATGCTTTGAGCGAGATCTGTAGAGCATGTCTCAAACGATACAACGTCTGTTTCACTTCCAACCATTTCATTTTGATAAAGATGTTCCGGCGGGAAAATCCCAGAGACCAGATCGTTAGTTGATCCAATCAAGAGAGCTTACTTGGCCGCAACATGGCATGTAAATCATGTTGTCGATCTATCTCCATGAAAGGCTTCATCCCAATATCTCTTCCTTTATAGTTGGATCATGCCTATCAATGAAGGTCAGGACATACTTTTGAAGATATCATTTTGCAACGTGCCATATCTTAAACGGCTTAGAACAATTGCATTTATGTCTGAACTTAACCAACGAATTCTATATGTCATATATGTGCTGAAACGATGGTCCTGCAAGTCAAGAATCATCATCTTTTCATGAATTGACTCGATTTGTTATCGCAGTGCGGAACATCTTTTTGATTTTGGTAAAGTCGCTCAGCTATTCGGCTGCAGTGTTGTATCGACAGATTTTGAATTGAATAGCAATAAATTTGCCTCTTGGCTTACAACAGCAACTAAAATGTTTGGAACGCTTAAGGGATAAGGTGTATTTCTTCTCTAATCGATTATGGTGGTGGATGGTAATCGGTTTTGTCATTTGGAACGGTGCGAATTCATTCAAGTTACCATTATTGTTACTAATAGAATTATGTATTCCGTTGAAGTCAAATGTTTCCTTTTTGAAATGATAAAGTGTACGTGCCCGGTGTCTTACATTGATAGGAGAGTCTCCTCATAGATTTCTTATTATTATCAGGTTGTTCGTCAGGAAACAAGTTGATGAGTATTCGCAATAGAACTGTAGGATTGGTATCAAGTTTGTTTGACATAACTTCAACAGTAGGAACAGTATTCCCCTCTGATTTCTCAGCTCATGCTCGAGTAACAACAACACTGAATGCGTTTCTCATTTGTTCATTCAGCTGAATTGTTGGTTTTCATTCATTACATTAGTATGTTTAGTTAGACTCATTAGATTTGAACGAAATATGATAGCCTATTGGCGACGAAGTTGAATAATTGGTAAATGTCCTTGGATCTACTTTGGTTTCAAATGCTATTGAATTTTCTGACATTAATTGATGAATGTGAATCTTTGTCCTGAATGAGCTAGTTCTAAGAACTTTGTGTGTGACGTGGTCCGCCGGAAATGCAATCTGAATGATGAATTAAACTAATGACATGAACCATTGATTTGATGCTTTACAGTTTGTTGTCTGACATTACAAACAAACGCATCCATTTGAACACGAAATGAATCATCGAGCTATGTTATCCCGGTAGTTTGTCCACGCATTTGACTTGGTGATTCATAATAATTACTGTTTGGACATTCATTTAGCAAAACAATCAAATATCCAAATGCAAATTTTTGTTAATGAATTGGAACATTTAACACAATTCATTAGGCTCCTACGTTCCTTCCAATGTCTTTCATTGTATACTCAACTTTCCCATTTTGGAACAGTTAATGGGCTACAGTGACTCGGTGGATGCATCTTTGTCCTTGGAGAGATTCACAAAGATACTTTATTAAAGTCCACATGCCATTTCATGAAGAAAATGACATACATTATCAACTGAGTGATTGATCACGCGATGCTATGAGATCTAATTAAAAGCGCTAGGTCTTGAATCAGTTGAATTAGTAAAGATAAACTACAGAATGGTTTATTCTATTGACCTTTAAATTTTGAATCTTGCGCTTTCTCTAGAAAAAATGGACAATTGTTTGATTTCTTGAGCGATCTTATAATATCTCGATCAGTAGATTCAATTGTTGATATAGTATTGATTTGAGTCAAATATCAATGACCATCGTTTTAGTGATTTTGAAGCATATCTTCTTTACAGTTAAGAGCCATCTGAATCTAAGCTTTGTTTTCAATTCAGATCTAGCATCTAGTCAATATCTGCCAGTCAGCTTTACCCAGAGCCTTGTAGGTCAGTTTATGGTTTGTTGCCAAAGAAATAGTTCAATTATCTTTACTCTCTCTATTAAACTAGTTGGTTTCTAAATGATTGTCATCGTCAAGTTTACAACATCATCTTCTCTACATTGTTTACATTCCAAAATTTAAAAATTCAATAAATTTGCCAAAACTTGAACGATTATCATTTTCATCACTTTATCAAATGGCATTTGAAGTTGTTTGACTTTGCGTATAGTTATATGTACTGATAACTCTACTTATTCAAGTTATTCAACTTTTTGACTTGAACGACATCAAAAGTTAGTTAAGGCTATGCAATTATAATTATTCTTTATTTGACATAGAAATATCTTCCTCTCCGTCAAACGGCCAAACTCATTGGAAAGAATTTGTAGTATTTGATTTTATTGGTTTACATTCCACATTGATTTATTCATTGATCCTAACGTTTATCAGTGATATAGATTGCCATAACATTTTCTTACTATTTAAATTAGGTTTTACTATCGTGGACAGTTCCATATTATGAATGGAATATCTGAGATAAGATACACATGAAGTAGATATTAAATTATGACAATGAATTCCATATTTGAAGATTTTACAATGTGCAAATCCATATTTCATTTGTATTCTGTTCTTCAAATTCATCAACGTCTGATTCTCTTGCAAATTACCTTACTCACCATGATGGTTTTAAGAATTGCATTGCGTCAATTCAGTGAACATTGATTGATAACCATGGAGCTGCTGCTTAATCAATGTTGATCAAAAATTGGATCACAACAATCTTCACCAACAGCTTCAATAATGATTTAACTAGCCTGCTGCAAATTGTCCACTACTGATATCTCCATTCGAAGCCTACAGAGCTTTGCTGGTAGTGGTGAGGCACTAATCAAAGGAGCTTTTGAGTCCAAAATATTAAGAAGTTGCTGCGGAGTCGATAGGTTGGAGATGTCCATTAGCATAACTCAACAATTTTACATTCAAAGCATCCTTCAAAAAGTAATGGTTCTTAGAAACTGGTTAAATCCATGAATTAGTGAAAGTAATTGACAAACGGATCAAGAACGTTATCAACAGTCTTTCGGCTTATTATCCCTAACGCAAATGTCTTACTCTTTAAGCCGGTTCGTCAAAGTAACAATTCCTATATATTGCATATCATCATTGTAACAATACATTCGATTGCAACGTATTCAATGTTTTCGAACAGATGGCATCATCATCGGTCAATGAGTTTGGCCGTGACATCAACCAATCATCAAGAAGGAGATTCTCAACAGGTTGGACACAGTAAATTCAAATCAGAAATGACTTTCAGAAATCAACAATTTCATTAACTAACAGTGTATGATTCAACTGCGGAGGTTTGGTGATTACAGCAGAAAATGCGGAAGACCAAAAATCGTCAATTCTATTACAAGATTTGTTAAATTGATTGTCGGCATGGGCATAATGATCTTATCACTAGTGGCTCAAAATTCAGTTGAGAGAATGATTAAAAGATGAGCATCATTCCCGTCTTGAATACGTTATTAATTCAGGGCCGGGCACCCATTATGCACACTGGCCGAAACTGTTGGATAATAAAACAAATGACAACGTTGTATTCTATGGGCCCAATACTAAGTTCATCTGCTCAATAGAAAAAACAGACAATGCTGTTTGTGTAAAAGCATCTGATGTCAAGGTTCTTCCAAACAGCCTAAGTGATATCGTTAGTGCTGTCGGATTGCTGAAATTAGTTACAATGCTCAAACTATCGGTAACAGATGATCAAATGACTGAGAATGTCCCATTTACCCAAAGTGTGTAAAGAACAATAAATTATTGCTGCCTAGTGCAAAGAAAGTACCAAGCAGTTGTTGATTTGTCACTCAATGGGATTTGCTTCACATTCCAATAAACAACGGTCATTATTGTTCATGTGAATTAATTATTTCAGCCATAATTGAATCGACTCGAGCGAGATTGAAAATGATGAAAATAATACTGAAGATGTTCATTTGAGCTAAGCCGAGCAAAACACTCAACTTGTTTCACATCAAATGAGTTAGGATTGGTGAAGAATATCTGTGCTGAACAGTTGGTCCAGTTATTCCCTTCAATGCATTGACTAATGTGGAACGTTAATCTAGTTTAGTTGTTGGTCAAATTCGTATCGTTAGATCGGCAGTCATCCAATCGCTAATTAGATCACGATTTAAATTTGAAAATGACTCAGATTAACTTACAACTCCCGTTGTTTACCAAACCAAATGGGGAATTCAATCTTAACAACCTTAATGATTTCACGACCGAAAACGGTCTCATCCTTGAAGTCACCTAGCGCCAGCTGTTGACAAACGAATGATATTCCAAGAAGTGACTATCAAACACATCAAGGCAGGAGTGAGCCAACCAATGACGGCGTCTACTGATCCAAATGATTATTGAAACGTTTCATTTAGGCTTAGAATTCTCGTTTTCAACGCCATCTAATTACATAACTTGAAGAATATCCATTGCAAATGCTCAAATAAGCCATAGTGACTGATACAGGCGATCCACCGTTTGTGATGAAGTGTTTGCTTCCATCCATAAGGTCAAATCACAAGTCATTTAAATGTTGAACAGCGGCATATAACTTAGTATTATTCCATGGATCGATTCAGCTTCAGTTATAGAGGAACACCCCAAATGATCTTTCTAAACAAGTTCTATGCGATCGATGAATCATATTGCTTTCTCTATATCAGATAGTTCCATTGCGGTTGACCACATTGAAGCAAGACATTCCTCTATTATTGATTCAACTATATCAGCGGCAACTCATCTGTTTTTACGGAGCCTCAACTTTCAAACTCAACCCACAAGCGTATTAGCAATGAGACCAGCATTCCGATGAAAGACGGTTTCAACAACGGAGTGGTTATCTGTCTATAGCAGCAATGACGGAGAAGCAAAACTCGTCTACTGTTCCCATTGTTGTAGATATGTAAAACGAACCAGTCCATAATACAATAGATAAATCATAGAACTGGTTTGTTCAATACATGGGTCTCACTATTGGCGATCACAGATCTACCATGAAACCGAGACCAACCAAAAAGAATGCCGCATTGCCTAGCGCAGAGCATTTAATCAATCAACAACAGAGCTGCAACATGTTGTTTATGCCAAATCGAGAAAATATTGATATCTTGAATGGATGGATAATATCACCAACTGTTCAAACAAATGAGAATTGGCCAAGACAATCTTACATACAGCAGATGAAACTAACAATAGCGGATTTGCCAACTTCACTGGTGCGTTTGTTAACGAAGGAACGTCTTGATTGGTTTTAAAATCAAAAGATATCAATCCAACTATATTCTTAGATCATGAGCAAGCCGACAACGACAAACAAAGATACAGGATTTAGCCCAGTAAATAAATTTAGTTGAAGAGCACGGTGACTAATCATTCATCCTCCTTCCATTGTTGTTGACGGATTACTCAAAAGAAAGAGGATATTCGATGGTAGACAAAATAAATATTGTTCTGATTCGTCTAGGACAAGATATGTAGCAAAGGGATCGGCTTAAGATTTAGGGCATAACTACAATGATGTTAGTTCTGCGGGGATGAAATAATATTGAATGACAACGTTGCATTGAGTAGCGGCCGCTGACAACTGCGGTATGTCTAAATTAGAAAGGGTGACACATCCTTGAATTTGGCAATTCACTATTCTATTTATTGTTATCCTCCTGATGAAGCATTCTAATCTTGAAGATGGGTTCTGAAATAAAAAAAAGGAGAGTATTCTTCAAGGGAAATCCTTCAGAGTTGTTCAATTCAATCAGAAATTTTTTGACGATGGGACTAGCTCTTTTCAAAGTTCTGCTCATTCACCGTTCGTCAACTGTTGAATATGCTCCATGCCAGTCTGGGTGCAAGAACAAATCATGATATTGATATGGCGAAGCAGATAATGATGAGCAACCTTGCAAGGAAACACATTGGATCCGCAGAGTTGCGTCATCCAATGAATATTGAGCAAATTCAGTGTTGCAAGAAATATCCGCAAGACATTTCTGATAAAATTCAATTGAATTTGCAAGTGCGAAAATTGTAAAAATTGAAAGCACCTGCAGTTCGTGTATTTCAAACCAATGTTGACCGAAGATGCCAAGAAGCCGACGATGGTTGGAAATATTGAGAAATTCCTCATATATAACAATTCATGGCTCAGTTTCTTAGCTATGGCATTTCATTTGTGACCTCAGCGGTAACACGTCATTTAGTTTGTCCATTAGTACATATTTAATCAGGTGCCTTCAAAGAGTAACAATATGGTGTGAATCATAAGGCTTTTCCAATGATTTTATCAATGGCAATATTCAACGATATCACACTTATTTCCGGCTTCTTGACCGAATATGAGACAATTGAAGAATGTCATCACCAATAGCGTTTTAATTAACGGCAGTTGGTTACCGCTTTTGGGCCGCTGACCAAATAGCAAGGAGAGACCAAAGCGTGGTTTGTGCCTTGTACAAAATTGGGCTTCCTTATTGTTTTGAAAAAATCAATCACATTACGGGTTGTCACAATCCGATGAGAACAACCTATTTATGAATGAAGCAGAGTAGCATTGCATATTATCTCAAATGATACTTGATGAACTAAAAGCGCTTCAGTCCGATATTATCCTAATCGGTGGAAATCGTTCCGTTGCGTCACTTTTTGTTCATCTTTTTATTGAGAATCGACTCAAGCTTTCTGAAAATAAAAATCAATTATCTCGACAATCTATCACCAAGTAGCAATTATAACTCAGTTGCCTAACTCAAGAACAGCATTGAGGGTCACTTTGATGGTAAACTCGTACTTGACACTTCAACATTTGACAATGCTCTGAGATTGTAGAATCAATTGAAATAATTTTGATGGATCTTCGGACGACATTCCTGCTTGTGTGCAAGTGCCATAAAAGATTGATTTAACTGCCTTTCTCTCAATGTTCATCTCATTGCTGATTCACATTGAGTGCGTCAACCTGCATTTGAACAGCATTTGCCTCTACATCGTTGACATTGGTGGATTCTACAATCAAGAAGTTATCATCGCTTCAACTATTGTTAATCTCAATTCCTTTGGTTCCTTGACTGGAAGGGTTCTATCCTACCCTTAGGATATGAATTCTTAATTTAGGTTGGCGATGCTTTACATTTGATCATCAACTGGTTTTGGTGAAATGAATGCAATGATCATCCTTTAGTACAACTAACAGTGGGAGGACTATCTTATAAACTCCTCAGAATCTCTGACTGCTTCTTAACCCGTAGAGATTCTATTCTTCTATTCCAAGATAAAATGTCTTTTTCAGCGACTTCTTTTATTTGACATTAAACGGAAATATTTTTTCAGATTCTCTGAGTAGATATCTAGCAGCATCGAATGCGTCAACACATAGTCATAAAATTAGAAGCATTTTCAAAGAAATTAAATGATAAATGATATTAACCATTTACTTATTAAAATTATATACTATATAGAATCTCAATATCGAACAATGTTTTGTTGAAAAAGTTTATTATATCTAATTTCCGCCGATTTGATAAAACAAATGGAACAGCTCGGGTGCTTTGGGTGAACCTGATAACAGGTATTTTATATGTACAAGCACTTACTGCTGTACTCTTGCAAAACTGTTGTCACAGATCACCGCCTTCAATAGTATGTTTGCGGTTTAGATCAGCTAACAATTCAACATTCTTTGCAACAGCAATTGTGGCACCAGCACCTAAGAACATATCCAACAGGGGGTTGATCATCGATGAACACTATCCTCCACAGAGCCACTTTTTCAACATCTTTCCATTCTAACTTCGAAGTCATCAGACGACTCAATTAATAACACTCTGCCTGCGGACTGAAATTGATTCCGATGTCTGCCATTTCCGTTGTCAACACCAAATCCAGCACACCAAGGACATCTCACTCTCTTAAGCAACGTAAATGCGTCTGACAAGTCGTTGATTGGTGTTATCGAGCCCGCAAAGCTCGATAGCATTGCTGTTTCTGAACATGCATCGATGATTAGGAGGTTGTCCGCAGCAGAATGAAATTCCATTTGATTTGCTTCTTCGGGTGCGCTCCCAGCTAAGCATTTGTCTCGAAGATATGTTGCACCATTTCTGTTCCTTCAATATACCAAAGCCGCATAGAGACCAATGGATTTACACCCTGCTGCTTATGCTGAATCCATTTGAACTTGCTTTGGCCTCCCCTGATATTGCATTCAAAAATGATCAATTTCAATATATTTCCAAGAGATGTAGCTTTTCAAGAATTACTTGCATTCCCAATTACTTCATTCATTTCAATGAGCATCTGACTCATTTTGCTAACACCGATAATTCAATTTAGTTCAGATTCTACCTAGTGATGAAATATGTGAGGGGTATCTATATAAAAATCTAATCGATCAGTCGTCCCAATATTATATAAATATTTTTGTTTTACTCTGTCAATGAATATATCTATACTATAGAGCGTTCTTTAAATCTTCAAACTTATTCGATTAATAAATAGTAAGTTGCTTCTTATATCACTTGTAATAAATAAAGATGATAGAAAGAATCTCTGGACATCAAAAGGGATTTGGCAGCTACAATGAAAAAGGCAATGTTGAATTAGAATTGATATGAGACTGGAATGTTATTCATTTAAGACATCGTTGAAAATTCTAATCGCACCCTAACTTTCTCTAAGAACAGATATAGTTTAATTGTAGTATTAGAGTTGCTTGAAGCAATAATAGATAGAGGGACAATTGCAAATTAAAATACTCTAAGGAACTGATACATAACTTTGATAAACTGTAATTGATAGGGGTTCCTTGAGTATCTCGAATGCTTAACGGCAGCAGATGAGAAGTTGGTTAAGTTGATCCCTCTGTAAGTGTGCTAATCGGAGTAAATCTCTAAAATATTTGTAAATAAAATTGATGCAAGGTCCGTAAAAATAATCGGCTCACGTTAAACGATCATTTCACAAAGTTGGTGAGATGGTTCAGTTCAGCGTGAGATGCATCAGAAACTACAGATGTTAGTATCAACAACATCTATGAATGAATTTGTTCCCAACTGTGAAAGTGAGTTGATTCTTGTTCACAATTTCGATTCTCATTGATCTTTGAATCACATCATTACTTAATGATTCAGTGAACAATTCTCAGTGTAGTTAAATGGTTGTTAAAGGAATGAGAAAGTTCATCTTCTGATCCAAAAGAATCACTACATTGAAGTTCTCTCACCTCTACAACAATAGTTATTGTGAAGTAGAGATCTGCCTACCTAGGACGAGCAGCTATATGTCCTAATTGATTCACCGATACGCAATACCGACCTTATTTCTGTCTTGATCAAAGTTTCACAGTTCTAATGCGAAACAGCTGATTCATCACTTGACTCAACTTCTGCTCTTCAATGATTGCCTTCTTTGGCGAGCGGATCAGCCTGTTTCACCAACTACGATATCGGATTCAACCCAATCATGTTCTAATGCTTCGGCAAAGAACAAGAGTATAATCATCAAGTCACTGCACGTCATCTATCTCTTGACAATGCATAAGGTCTGAACTGAGAAAATGAAAAGCGAATCGAAGCAACAAACTAAATAGTAGGTGTAATGCTCCAAATCATAGATGAATCATTGCTTTTAGACATGTCATTGCTTTCCACAATTTTATTTGAATCTACGTTGATCAGGATGCTGCATTCCAATCGCCTAAACAAGCCAATAGCAATGTTACAGTGGATTCTCAATGTGGCGTTCAAGTGCTTGCATTCAATCCTACTGACTGACATCCAAAATTTAGCAACGACATCAATCGTATACTTTTCTTTGCCTTGATCAGTCAATGTTGCTCAGTTTGTAAATCCCACAGTTACGATTCTTAGAGCAAGCTCAGTACCAATAATGAATGAGATTACTCTTTTAATAATAAAATCTGTAGCAGTCGAAATCATTGTAGCTCCCAAGCCGCTCAACAAAGAAATCAACGTTTTTTTTAAAACTCAACGATACTTTGTGCTAATCCCCCAGCTATGGAGCCCAACGGACAAACATAATATTATAAAGTAAACTAATGACGTGAGTTAGCTTTCCAGCAACGAAGGTTTTAATTGCACATTGTATTGTGACATTCAGTGCTTACTTATTTGCATTCGGGGTTCTACAATATTAAAACTTAAGACACATTTATGTCTTCTAGATTTTTATCTTGAATTTCTGCAAGCAGATTATCAAACTTGATATGACATTATTCATTTACAATTTGTCGTCATATCATAATAGATTATCGTCTGATGATCCAATTTGTGACGATCCAGAATTTGGTTTTTTGATGAGGAAATTTAGTGGTTGTCATTCCCATTGGACTCTTTCATTCGACTTTGCCTGTTATTTTTGATCGAAAACGCGAAAACAATGTATTATTGCCGTTAATAGTGTGTACGACTATCGCAAAGTGAATAGTACAAATATCTTATGACAGTCACGACACAGATAAATTCCTTGATACATTAATCAGCTACTTACAAAAAGAGTAAGCAATATATGATTTCAATCACATGCATGCTGTTTATATCACGAATTATAAGCAGAAATGAGAAACACAGATTATCTAGAGAGTAAATAATATAATATGGATGATAAGAAGGCCAATATTGCATTGCGATCGGTTTCAAAAGAGAAGAATATCTTTTTATGCGATCTCCAAAATGATAAATCAACTTGTATCGAGAACATTAAAAAATATCAAATGCATTAATAAAATAACTATATGATAACATATAGAAGCCGTCTACAATAATAAATCATATCCAGATGTTAAAGTAGAATCGTCTTAACTAAAAAATGATATTGCATTCAAGTCAATAGTAGTGAATGATTTGATAAATGAATACCTCGGATTAGTCCTGAAATGTGGAACCGGCAGGGTAGATGCTGTTGCACACTTGGTATCCAATGCAAAGAAAAAATGCACTGAAATGCAAGACGTTTCAATTTTATTAAATCTGTTTTGCTCACTTACAACCCTTATATTAATGTTTAAACGCTATATTTTAATCAAAAAGAGTTTATCTAAACTGGATAAAATCCACGTCCACTATTCAAGGAATCCACGCATCTTACTGAACGATAGTCGGTCATCTATCGTGGCCAATTCAAAGCATTGATGTGACTGTGTAATCACAGTCGATGGTTCCAGCAGATCCATCTTTGGAGACTTGACCAACTTTTTTGAAAAAAACATTTTCATCTATTCAGGCTGTGAACAGTTGAGAGCCGTTTCATTTACACTTAAATTCTAATTCCACCCTCCATTGGACTACTTCCTCTTGAAGGGTTCGTCCTGACTCTGGTGGACATATGTCATTATCTTCAAATGAATTGATGTCGTTGGATGTAGCAGACACCATTTTTAACTGTCTGGGTTTCTTCGACCTTGAAAGGAAGATGTTTGAATAGCTCATCATGATTTTGATACCACCCAAAGCGCTGCATTCGGATCCGCAACTACTACGGTAAAAGGAGCCCCTTGAATATCCTCAATTTTATTTGTTATTGGTTTTGTTACGTTCTGTTCCACATCTTCAATAAGTAGTGCTGATTTAATTAAGATCAAGTTAACACCAATATCAATTTTAGCTAGAATTTGTTGCTTGAAGGTCTAGTAATCCATGTTGACCAGACGGTTCCAAGGTGCTTTCGTGACCATCAGAATTGGTCTGAGTTCTATCGAACATTGAACATGATTATCACTAACTCTGGGATCGAGTTTGTTGCCATTTTTCACTCAAGACCAGTTGTTATAACCTGTCCATTGTTGATATTCTTTACAGAAGGAACGGCTATGACCTGCGCTACTCTATGTAATGCCGGAGCTAAAATCACAAATATAATTGGGGAAGAATTTTTAATATTGACATTTGCTGTATTATTCATACCCGTCGACGTGGACCCCGACAGGTGCTACTCACACCCACAATCGAATGGTGTGACGAGATGTTTCAAATACTAGTCAATCGCATTTGACATTGATCATTTTCAACTTGCATTGCAATATCTCTATCAATCGGTTACGTTTGATTGATTTATTCAATTGATCCCTATTTAAAATTCTGTATGAGGAGTTCTCTAAAGCAAACAATACCTCATCTCAATAATTGAAACATTCTCACGCAAAATTTATGACCGTTTTAACATATCTTATTCCCCACTGCTGTTGAGTTCAAACATTTGACCACCAAAAGGATCGTGGACTTTATCATTCGGTTTCAATATCTAAGCACCGTTGATCATCATGTATAGTGAGAATTAACTGGAACATCTGGGCACAATGTTCGAATAGAGATCTTAAGAATCAAAACATATTTGCAACAACAGAGTCATTCAATACTTATTTCATTCTTCTCGCTATAAATCTCCTTCAATTATCTGCCTCTTCTTTAAGATTGAATTAATGAGGTCCCGTTCATACTTGCATGCACCTTGTTTTGATGCAAAGCCATTTCAAAATAATTGTTTGAAGTTCATTATCGGATTAGTCTAACGAGAATGGTCGGTAGACAGTGTAATCACTCAATTATTACTAATGACTCCATAAATTGATCAGTTGAATCTGATGTGAGCTCGAGAGTTTAACAGCAAATTGGATCAGTTTCTGATTGAGTGACAGATTATCCATGAACAGCAGTAATTGCTGACACAATCCTGCAGGGGATTCATCCACATAAATTACTTATTGAAATGTGTAGTTTCAGCGCTTGTACTTCGTGTAGACCAGAAGAACAAACTTAACATTGCTTTAATGCTCCATCAGTTATACTATCCTTGAGCTCATTTTGTTTACCGAACACATTCGGTTGAAAGAAGAACGACGGTGGTTCAATGACTTTGAGCGGATATCATCTAGTGTATCCTACTACTCAATGGCTCAGTGCTTGAGCACCTAACTATAATCAACCATTGGTATTCTCACACTTGACATTAATTTCACGATGTGTGTCATTTCTTAGTTTGATTCTATTAAGTTTGAAAATTGAATCCATTCATTGCGAGCATATAATACTTTATCTTATCGCTTGCAAAACTTGGATTCAGCCGCACAGCAGAAAACTTCAAACTCCAACAAAACCTGAGATACGTGTTCATCTGAGTTTCTGCCAATTGACAGAATTAATCGAGTTTAAATTTTTTGAAATCCCACACTATTACCTTACCGCTTTGGATTAATTCATTCACCAAGAATGGGCCATATTCAACTCGATTACCCCGTACGTTGCAGGATGAAAGCCAGCAATTGATTTATCAAAACTTTGACAATTCTTATTCTCAGCTAAATCAATTGGCAGAAGATGCCTTTGAATTTTTACATTTGGTTGTAACTTACTGTCAAACCATGTATCTAGCTGTGATAAGTTATCATCGCTGAACAGGAAATAATTTGTAGATTTTATTACCCATACCCTCAGATAAGAGCTGCCCTGTGATGCAAATTCGGACTTTCGGAGTGGGCCACCGTACTAGCTGCCCTGACCACCTGTGAGCAAGACCAGATTCCATTCCGTTGGGCGAGCCAGCCTTTCTACCTTGTTCATTCCTTTACTCTTCCTCACCTTCGTTGAAGTCCAAGAATTAGCAACAATAGCTTCTGAGCAGTGTCCCGAGTGTTCAGAGGAAAAAATGAGACAAGCTGACCACAGCTGATAATGATACTATCTCGGATTCGGTGTTCAATTGAAAGAGAGTTGTCTTTTCTCCGTCGGTTGGAGCCTCCATCAAAAAGCGTGTTACTGTTCCGAATGATGTTGAAGCAGACAGAGACAATAATGCTTTACATTCTTCTTGCCATACGTTGTTCACTGGCGGATTGGCCTGTCCAGTGCTGGAGGAGGCGCTACACAAAGGGTGGTATGGCAGTCACGTATTGCCTCTTCTACAGAAGAAGTGTGGTATTATTGGTGGTCAAGCTGCTATGATATGACTAGGTCCCTTACGTCTGTTAGGTGGAGAAATACGTTATCTAACCAGAGAAGCTGCGGTTAATGAATAATTGAATGGAATTGTTCATCTCTTAAGTTGTCCGATGGTAGATTATGTTGCCGCTTCGATCAATTCTGAGCTGGAGTAGATCGCAGCCTATGCTGAAACGGCACTCACTCAACATACAGGGCCTCACAAGATTTCGTTTGATGACGCCAATCCTTTGGCCATTCATGTTCATGATTGTGCTTTTGCTGATACTTCAGGATCAGCACTGATACCTTTGCACGGTTAGGCCTGATTTAGAAAGCCAATAAGCAAAGAACTGGGATGGTATCGTTGTCCCCGATCAGATAAATGATTTTTGAAAGCGCTGAACTGCCGCCACTTTAAGCCGCTCGTCAGCCGCAGTTTCTCGCTTTGTTTCTGAACCAGTTCGGAATGCACCCGAAGGTGATTGGTGCTGCTCATCCGGCCGTTGAATGGATTCAAAACGATCCTGTTGAATTGCAACTTGTTCTACTTTATTTCTTGTGAATTCATCGCTATTTGTACTGTCGTTGATTGGATCTGGGGGTGGACTTCTCATTCAAACAAGATTGCTGGTATTGTTCGCACTATCTTGTAAAAGTGCAGCTTACGCACCATTTGCAAGTGAGATATATCATTTGCAGTTGCCCTATTTACTACAGATTGCCTTGGACGAATAGTTTATCCAGGCCGATTGATGGTAGAGATAGTGCTATTAATTCTGCAGATTCTGTTACTGGTGGTTCAACATGTAAGTCTTCTCACAAAACAAAAGGGACCAAAATTAATGACTGGTGATTTGCAAGACAGGCCACTGATGCCTTAGATCCAACTCACTATGATACTAGTAAGCCATGTCAGTTGTAACAGCTGAGGAAAGTCGCTATTCATTCGGCATCAATGATGATTACTGAGTAAATCGTGTTGATTCACCAATTGCTAAATGAGCATTAGCTGTTGCAAAGTTCTCATACTCCATTGAATTTACTCATGGACTACTGAAATAGATGTCTCATATGGTGAAAGCTAAAAATAAGTTTGCCTCTATTCTTTTCAATGAATCTTGCAAATCCGAAGGAATCAAATTTGAAGTATCCTTTCTATATGAGTCATGAAAGTCGAAGTCAGCTGCTGCGATACTAAAGGGAGATCAATGTGCTCGATATGCTCCAATTGACAAGCCAATGAGGCAAAGCAACTTGGATGATGCAAGTGTCGTCGGTGTCTCACTTCCTTACAGCAGATATGGGTCAGTCTACAGGCGGTGGATTCGTCATGGCAGCGCTGTTGTTGTCGATTCAACTTGTCGTTTTCATAATCGGCAATGTTTTATTTGAAAACCCCCATATACAGCCATTTCAGCAGGAAATTCATCAGCACTGCATGATATATCTATTGGAGTTATGTAAGGAGAAATAACTGGAACAGCTTTCAGTCACAAAGATTGTGCAAATGCAATTGCTTCAAACGATACCTCAACAAATTTCCGAAAGAATGATGACTAGGCTGGCTCCATCAGCTCAAATAAACAAGAAATGATCGTGTTCACAGCAATCAATTGTGTTGAGTGAAATCAGTTGCAGTCACTGAGGCGACTGATTAACTTGGTGATGTCAAACACTCCTCACACCAACATGCATTAATGTGCTGGAAGCAATGGAACTGCTCAATGCTATTTTTGAAGCACTCATAATGTGCAAAGTCGATTCAGTGAGCGTCATAAGATACCACTGCAGGCTGCTGTCCTTCATGATATATATTTGCTGTTTCTGTTGCTCCTACCACTGTGAGCACATGGAATCTTGAAGAACTGTGCGAAGTCGCCTGTTGATCAGAGGATCAGCCGACGCTTCATAACCATTCCTACCAGCTACTTGGCCTCAGTTGTCGAAAGGGACCAGCTGACGGTCGTTGAGAGTTCAGAGAAAAGTGCGTAATTACTTGTGGTTTTCGCAAAGCCAGACTGGTTGCTCCTAAGTTTTCTCAGCCTCATAAGATTGACAATTTCAAAACATCTTGTCCAGTGATTACGCATGAGAGTTATAGCGTTGGAGATATAGTCGCGGCTTCAATGTCTCTCCCAATCGTCGGATCGACCCCCCAACTACATTGTTTTGTCGTGAATGAAAAGCAGCAATTTCTAATAAACAATTTCGTTGGGTAGATATTGCGGAATATGGTTTGACAAGCAAGCAAATAATTGAGTTAACTTCCACAATCAAACAATTCCATATAAGTTGGTACAAATGATTCATAATGCTCCTCAACAGTTTCGAATTCTAGTCACTGGAGTCGAGCCAGCTATGAGTTCCAGTTTAAAGCACATTGACCACCGCACGCAAATATTATTAACGGATATTCTTATGACTCGACTAATCTTCAGTTGCGAAAGTCAAACTGCTCAAATCCAATATCACATCAATGTTCAACCAAATGGTCTTGCAGTCGTTCAAAGTGGAGTTCGGGCTGATCGTCAAGCTTAAAACATCCATTGTTATTTGGTATCTATGAATACACTTTTCTCAGCTTAATGGATGAAAAATGTAACATTCAGTAGTCTTATTCGCAAGCCCTACTTCTACGGGTCAACTCATATGACGTGCTACTTAAGAAAATTACACATGGCTAGATGCCGAACAGTTATCACTTCGCTGTTTAATTCGTGGATGATTACTAATAGCTGGAAATCTTCAGCGGTGTGGTGTTGCAACTGCTGATCCGATAGTGAGTTGGCAGATGGGTGCACCATGTTTAGTGGGTCGCAGTTGTGATAAATGGGAGTCAAGATATCCAAACTAATCCCAATTAACTGCTTAATCGAAACCTGCTTTTTTAGCTGAGGTCGTTACGTACTCTAACTGTGATTGGGCTAAACACAACACGAATAAAAATAAGTTAGTGGGTATATCTTCCTCAAAATTCAAAAACGGGCTAGTGGTTGTGTAACAAGCATCCATCGTGGGAATTGTTGACTAGTGGTAGTGAATTTAATGCTCTCACTGACGGACTTAATAAAGGCGCGTTTTCAAAGCAGGTCTTCAAATATTGATCAACAAAAAGTTATAACCCGGCTTTATAATGTAAAGACATTTGTGCGTTCATCCCTGCTAGCAATTTCCCCAGTCCCAACACATCCAAGCATACTTCATCCTGGCACAACTGTAAGAGAGTTCCCGTCAACGCAGCCTCTATTGGTTCATCTGTTCATGATAGAAGGGCAGCAGCTAAATTATTCTGTAAGAGGTATCGCCACTCAGCGGTAAAATATCAAACACATCCCTTCAACAAGTAAAATCATGTCTTGTTTAATTTTATTGATTTGGCTTCTAAGCCTTTTTGGATTATTATTGCTTGATTGATTTCATAGCTTCTATGAAAAAGAATTATATATATTTGTGGCTCACAGACAAAATGCTACAAGCACAGCAGTCACACCTACGATCCATCACTAATTGTCTTCTGATGACCCAAGATACATAGAAGGTAAAACTTGCAGGGAGATTCAATTGCTCTTTGTTTGAACTTTTATTCAATTGTTTTGGTTTAGGAACCGAAGCTATAATAGACTTCGTTATTCAAGCGTGGACAGTTCCTCAAAAAATACGCTGTTCGGCAACAAACAAACACCTAACACCGGCACTGATGGGTTAACCGTGTGCACGCCAACATAAAAATAACTTTGTTTGCCGCATTGCTTGAGGAGTTAGATGAGGCATCCCAAGCAACGCACATCTCAGAATCGCAAAAGACCCCTTCATTCCTGCAAGATCGATCGATATAAAGGCAGTGGCTGGGCCTCGCTCTCACTTTACCGAGGCGGTGAACACATTTGTCGGAGCGATGTTGCACATTCAGGTCCTAACAACTCGGTGTGTGCTGACAACTGCTTGAAGGTTCCCAAAGGTGTCCACCTAATTCTGCCGTTAGATTGAGGTCGAATTAGCGTGTCATCCGCGGCCGCGGTAAGCCTTCTGCAAATCTACCTTTTCTTCGTCGCTATCGCTCAGCAATCTGCGGACAAGATGGCTTGCAGTTTAGCCATGTTTTAGTAAGAAGTCCTAGCATTCTCGGCGATGGTGCTACTTGTTTTAAACATATATGATTTGATATAATAATATCCATTTGCTGCCGCACAGTCGGAATGCAATTCTATTGGGAGGCTTTGATCTTGCAACATTTTACATTGGATTCCTTTGATATTTATTGACTACTTGGGATATTATTGAGTTAACAGATTTTTACTGGATTTAATACATAACATAATTATTGAAAATGATATTATATAGCGAAATTATCGAGAATGCTATAAACTAAAGTTAATCAATAATCAACGCAAACCAATTATGTATTGAGAATATTTACTATATTGAATCTCAAATTTGAGCACACAGCAACTGGCTATTGCTCTGCGAAATGTACAGAGCACGTTATCAGTCAGCATTATGAAGCAGCTGCTCCGCCATTCAGTTGGCATTTCATCAATTGTTGTTTCGGTTCTACAAACAATTGATATATTGAGAGCTGGTTCCCCAAAACAATCTTTGAAATTGGATCTTTCAATATGTCACGAAGCGTGTTATCACTATAATTTAGTTAACAACTATTATTTGGAATGAAAGGATAACTGGAGTATTTGGCAAACACATCGTACCACCATCAAGGCACAAATTAAATCATGCTTTGATGGATTGAGTCTATCGCCCGCTACAAGTCAGGTAGAATATATGTTTCATTCGAAACAGATTTGGCCAGAAATAGAATCGTACCAAAATCTTGATCTATAGTTACATCCATGATGATCGAGAACGATGGTTCATGCTAAAGCATTTTAATGTTTTCTCGAGGAAATCGTTTTCAGTTCCTTTAGTATCTGTACAATGAAATTCGATAGATATTTCTGGAGTCTTTTGAAAAACTTCGAAAATCATTATTATTTTGTATAAGAGTGATTCGAAGAAACAGATTTCCAGCCTCAAAGCACTCAATGAAATGTTGCTCCTAAAGAAGGCCTATGCCTTATCAATATTAAATTCTGCTTTTGCAGTAATTGAATGATCACCAACATAAATAGATATTATCAAACTTTATTTGTGACATCATCAAAGATTTATAGTACTCTGTGCTTAGTTATTGGTAACTTTTGATCAATTCAACGGATAGTAGCTCAAAAAATCTCATCCATGCTTAAAACCATACAACTCATTGCTGCATTCCCAATCAGTGTTGTCAGAAAAAGGCGCCGCCGAAATTTCAAAATAGACTAGATAGTTCAAAGCGCCATTCATCAAAGCTGTATTGGCATTCATTGGGCAGACATCGTGGTTCTTGTTGGCAGCACAGGAGAGCATTGATCACGATGCATCCCAATCATAACAGGATTATTGACTTTAAAATAGCGACGGCCATCTTCCAGAAGAAACTCGGTTCCCCTTTATCTTGTCTCAAACCGCTGATAATCACTAGTTACTTGTTTGAGAATCAGTAACAAGTTTCGCTTTTATTTTCTTGTTTGACTGATCTTCGTGGAACTAAATGATATGCAGCAATATTTCGGATGACATGGATTGATTTGCTACAGCAGCTGAGCATTCTATTTGACAATGACTGGTTGAAAATTCACTGGTCCAATTTGGAGTCATAGGCTTTCAATTTCATGCCACCGAATCCGCTCCTTCATGAGCAACAAGAACCATTGCTATTTGAAATATTTTTTCTAACGATAGTATCGCTCGTGAACAGTGTAGTTAGTTGTTCTTCAAGTTCTTCAACAACCGGTGATGATTTTAGGAGGTTTAACTGATCATAGTGTTCTGCACTAGACAAGACTATTCAGCAGCCTCTCCCTGTTTTGTTGCCTTTTTGAAGATTCCTGGGTGCTCGGTAATTATCAACGTTGGTCGCAAGTCTCATCCTAGATTTGATTGGAATATCAGATGGATTGTCAGAAACCAAACTGTTGATCAGGGAGGACTTAACTATAAGATTAGTAACAAGGTGATTGAACAAATCCTCAAAAATAAGATCTGCAGTCATTTGTCATATTCGGTTTCTGGTTGTCCAAATAAAGCCCCAAATATCAGCGTTCAGTGACTCACCTATTTCAACATCATCTATTACTGCACCAATTTTGTAAGTTAGGCGGTCAAGTTGAAGTTTAAACGAAGCGTAATAACCTGTTGAAGAAGTAGTTGCTTCACTAGCAGAGCAGTTTCAACCTTCAACATTTTTATCCTGAATTCCAGTATTTGAAATCAATGGATTAATATGATTGAGTGATAGAAGTGATGTTGTTATGGAAAATGTTGTTTGATCTCTTCTCTAAAATATATAAATTCTTGTATCTTGAGTAAAAGACCAAAAATATACTATGGAAGCCCCCTCCATCATCTTATGTTGATTGTCATTAAGTTTGAAAGCACAAATGCATGAATCACATGATCCATCAGCCTTCCAATATCATTGGTCGGTAAGAAGATGAAGCAGCTGATTCATAGTGTGCCATGACTCAAATATAATTGCACTAAAAAAGATCGTTGACGATATGCAAATTTGAAACATTGATTTGGACCGTTAAAGTCCATCGATAATTGTCGCATTCTCTATTGTACTTGATATGGTTTTTCTTTCAGGTAGTAAATTTTATACGATGAATGACATAAAGAGAGCCGATGGGTTTAACCATTTCCTTCGAATAATTTCTTTAAATATTGGAAATCAATTCTACATCTGCTTCGATAACTGGAAGTGATTTGTCTGCTAAGCTGGAGTTACCTTGGAAATATTAATATTTATTTATCTGACCATTCAGTACCATTTGATTTGAACTTGAATCATTCATTTCAACGTGATTAGAGTTATGTATTGAGATAAATATCATTAAGCACTCACAATTGGTGAAACTTCGTCAGAATGAGTTTATTGACCAAAACTTGGAAGTGCTACCTTCAGAAGTCATGGAAGTGGGGATCTGATTAGAGCAGTGGAACACGTTTCACGCTATCTTACCGCACTTACAGTGATACTTCAAGTGTGTTTAATTCTAGCTAAAGTAGTCATTTCATTGCATCAACAGTAAAGATTTGTATTTTGAATTTGTGGCGTGTCTCACACAATATTGTGAACCATTCCAATTTGTACCACTGTGGCAGTTACAAACAGTGATTTATAGCCCTATAAACGCACCCTAATAGAGGCACCTTCTGTGTGAAATGCTTGAACTTACTTTTCGCTGTTCCTTTTGTAAGCATGGTCAGCCAATTGAACAATCGAAACTGTATTTCTTCCTAAGAGTGGAATAGTTTGACGTCGGATAATTCTAGACAACCAAAAGACGTATTTTCTTCTGTTTAACCAATCTGGTGGATAAGGCCGGCATATAATAGCTTTGCGACTTCTACTTTCCGATAATGTCTCACATTTATTCCAAATGCCAAGTATAGAACAAAGGCAAAATTCGCAACTTTAATATTCAGGATTTCAACAACTGATATATTTGTCGGACTTTTCACAATCGATATTTTTATAGCTTTATCTAATTATATTGAAATCTTTTCTAATTTATCACTTGCAGTTCAAGCATTTTCACTAAAAAGGATATTACTATTGCAGTTGAACTTGATATCGTTTTAGTAGATGTTGGGAACAGCTTTGACCGTTTTTGATCCGCTACGATGGATGTTCCTCTGTTCAAGCATTTCAAACTCTGAAATATCTTTTCCAATTCCAGCGATTTATGTTCTGCCCTCCAGTAAATTTTGTCTTCCAAATTTCATTTTTAATTGGTGGTATGGACGGCCAGCTCATTGATTACATTCGCAGATAACTGCTCTGAATGTCGAAAATCGTAGATCATAAATATAATTTTTTAAACGCGACTGAAGTATAATGCATATCATATTATATTAATAGTTTATTTCATAAAGAGTTATACCATATACACCATAGCATCTAAATATATTGTCGTTCTAAGAAAAAGGGAGAGGAGGATGAAGACATAGGTGAACGATTTGCAAAGCCGTTTCAAGTTTTTCGATTCACAATCGGTGATAAATTAGTTGATTGAAACCCTTAAACGTTTTTTAATTGATCGGGATGAGATGGTAGTGAAAATATGAAATGAGTTCGTCTCACAAAGCAATCCATCCTAACAAAATGAGTTGAAAAGAAACAATTTCACAATGATGTCTTTCCTGAGAATGATTTTTGTCACATTATGATTGAAGCAAACATTTGATCACCATTTGGAGCATGGACTTTGAATGTCTTTTTCTTTTATCCAATCGGTTCAGAGGCCGAGGCCTATCAATTATTGAGAAAGATGGAATTGGGCAAAAGCATCAAATGAACGTGCAAAGCTCCATTACCGATTTAGAAGATTGCTGTTATTGATTTGCTTTTGAATTTGTTTTTTGATTATTGATTTTTCGATTTCTGCTGTTGCATTTTAGAATGTTTTATGCGTTTCACCGATTTGATAGATGTAACATATTGCTTGCTCAACTTCTTAAACACAATTGGGATTGACTCTATTATCTGTTTTGAAACGGAAAGGTGATTTCAATGTCAAAGAATGTAATCTATCAAATATTGATCTTCATTCAATTAATTAGTCAGTTGCTGCTGATTTGAAACTGAAAAATTCTGCAACAATAGAATTAGATTGAAGTTGCCCAAAAATCATGTCTTAGCCCCATTATTTGGGCAATCAACTCGGCAACGATAGATTCACCAATAATGAATTTCTTCGAGTGGTAAAATTTCGGGCGTTCAGCTATGCTTAGATCAATATCGCCGATTTTACATTTCATGAATGCGCATTATATGCAACAGCAGTCAATTAGTGTTGGTTGATGAAATTATTTGATTGAAATACCCTTGACCATGGCGCCTGTGAGTGAGTAGCAAATTTTATTTTGTGTTGGAAGCCAAACTAATTTGTACGTCGATCGCACTTGTCAATCAAAATGATTTGAACTTCCTACCGTCTGGCGACATCAGAAAGTAACCTTCAAATGCATCAGGTTTTCGTTCAACGTGAGCTTGGTAACCAATGTCAGCCAATGTAACTCTGCTAACTAGATCTGTTAATAATTTTTCAAGGAGGTTGACATTACATATTTTTAAACATCGAACTCACTCAGTTCCATCTGTTGTCGAAATATGGCCACCATTGACAGTTTTAATTAATACATTTCGTTGAAATTAAGTTTGGTTTGTTCTTGCAACTGTTGCTGTAATATCCAAACCACCGCCAAAAGGAATTCAACGTTACCGAGCATAATGGTTAATTTCACAAAGGCCTTGTTCTCTTACGTTTAATTTGACTAATTTTTTTTCAATATTTCTTCTTTCAATTTATTAATATCTTTGACGATGAAATTAATTGATTGCATTGCCATTCGTTCGGTAACGTCGAAGTTTTTGGCATCAAAATTATTGGTTTTCCAATGTTGCGAATATCTTGGATTTCCAACATTAGGATAGCAGCAGCGGGGGCAACTGGACTCAAGTGCAAGGTAATCAGGTGACTTCACGGTAATTTGATTTTACTTCTTTTTATCAATTTAGATGAATAATTAATGGATGTATTAACTATTTATGAAGGTCATACTTTTGCAAGCGTTTTCCAATGAGAATCTTTCAACGAATCTTAATGAATAGTTCAGCAACATCTTTATCATCATAGTATCCAATCTGTTTTGATTTAACCCAACAGTGTGTAATGCTGTGACAATGCCACCGAAGTCTAATTGATGTTGGATTGAGATCGGGGCCACTAATGGACCTCGATATGTTTAAGTTGTCAATGTGAACGACTATGGTTTGTTGTTGCTACAGTAAATTTTTACTAAGAGCCGTTCAGCGCCACTCCCAATCTTATCAATCATGTTTGAATGAAACCACATGGGTTTTTCTTCAACTACTTTTTGCCAACGCTGCAATACATAGCAAACACAAAAACTTTTGAGACGAAACATTTGATGACATATAAAATTAAGACTGTACCTGCGAACCTTTTCTGAAGTAAATAATTGAGGAGGGTCTTCTATATTGTGCTTTCAATAATCTACTTAAGTCATATAACTACTGGGAGCGATTGCAACTTCTTTGCTTCGGGATATCAACCACTGATATATTTATGAAATCATTAACAATTATCAACGTCGTACTTCAACGATTATCAACGTCATAGTTTATCTATTGGTAGTTCAAGGAGTTCTCCATATACATTGGCACATTCTTCAATTTTGGTGAAAGTTGCTTTGGTTGAACGTTCGCAGGTTATCAATTCTAAGTGATAGTAATGCAAGTTTAGTTCTTTACCATCTCAGGAGAATGGATGTTCAGTTGTTAATCACAGCTAACTCTGCAATACCTTCCTTGATTGGAGAAATTTTGCTCTTGTTATGTTGAATCACTTCCTTCTCTCGGGTTTATGTCTGACCTGATACATGCAACTTATTAGTACATCTTTCTTTGTGGAATGGATCTTAGAATTACGGAAAGACGTAAATTATTCTAATATCGTTGAAAAGACTGTGAAAACGAATTATGCACTGAGATATATAAAGCAATTACCTATTAGAATAATACACAATATCCAACTCCGAATATTAACATTAACTTGAAGTATTAATGATTGAACTTCATTTACCAATCCGTTGACTAAAAGTCGTTATTATTTAATCACATTTTCGTAAGTCAGAGTGCCATTAAATTCTCTCCAAGGATTCCTTTTGAAGATATCAAAAGTCACTCATTTCTCTCATCATTGTTGATGAGAAGATACTATTTTGCTGATGCCATATCTCCGCCACCGACGTTCGTCATTGGTAATAATTTTTCGTTGTCGATACTATTTTTTGTTTAGTGGAAGACAAACTAATATCAACAAAACCGGATATTAGCCATGGGGTTAAGTGCCACTGGAATCAGTATATCAGACTTGCAAAGTAGTTGTTGGGATTTATAGAAGCAGTTTTTTTTGTACTGAGGCAAATATGAGAGATTGGGTTCAAACTATACAATAGCTTTTCCCATTTTCCACCGTTATCCTTTCCTGCAGATGTTCCAACAGAAAGGTCAAATTATAGGGGATAGTCTACTGTTTAATTCAGGGAAGCCGTCTTGACACTTTTCAGAAACTATTATCGGAATTGATGCCAGCTGTCAAAACACTATTTCTATCCATCATACTTCTCCAAAGAAAAATAGAAAACTATTTAGCTATGGCCAAGAGTTTCAAAACATCGATTTTCAACTATTCTTGTTTTAAGCCAGCGAGAGACTTCATTTTCATTTGCAAAAAGAAAGGGCCAATAGGTTTTTATGATTTCTACTTGTACGGTTTTGGGTGGAAGTAGTGCTGCTATGCCATTCATTTCAATGAAATTGATTTCACTACTTTTAGGAGACATCCAACTTCATTATCATTGGCTTGGAACAACATCTTAGAAGAATGCTGGAGTAATATACATTGATGTTGACACCAATATCTGAACTTTCTATTGAACAAACGGATTTGTTGAATTGTGGGAAGTCTCTTTGCTGAGCTTAAGTTTACCTGTCATCGATTCAGTTGGATAGCGTTCAACTTTTTGAGCAATTCGTGATCATTTCAACAGATTCAAGTGTTCAAATTTTTAGTTATTAGAAAATGTCATTCAGATGAAAGTACTTCGTTTGTTCGTCAGATGATGCTTTAAAGATCACTTGGAAATCATCGTAGTTGGTCTGAGTTTCAAGCTGGTTTACTTTTCAATATTGCATTGTGTGTCAGAAAACAAACTAATGATTATCTACGATTTATCAACAGGATTGGAATCAGATTCATCGAACCGATCATCGACGGTGACAACATCAATTGATTGCAACTTATTGCTTGAATATCCACTAAAGGGATTACGTACATCATTCTGAACCGCTTCAGTCAACTTAATATGAATCTCATGATTGAACACTTATGCTGCTTGAGGCACACAATTCAGGTTGAACGAAAAACCAAAGTTCTGGATAAGATAGGGAAACTTTTGGCGAGACTGTTTTGACCTTGAATATCTTCAACCGCCGTTAAATTATTCGATTTCAAGGGGTAAATTCGATTCATTTCTCAAAACCATTTGTACTGAATATTGCTTTTAAGATGACCTGTAAAAATGGTGAAATCATTTTTTGGGCACTAACGCCGTGTGAAGTACCTGTGATGTCCTCCTTACAATGTGTTTGTCAAAAATAAAGCCGAATCCCACTATTAGAAATCCAAAGAAAAAATTATCTATAAATCGTTTCTTGGTATGTCCAACGATTTCTGACGAAGAATCGTATTTATTATTTACCGAAATGTGATTATGCAACATTGTTGAATGTCCTTGTGAGAAGCTCCAAAGACTCATTTGCAGGAATAGAGACAATTTCGAGTTGTTTAAATTACTTGTCCATATATGTATTTTAGATTTTAATTACGGCATTTATGAAGGAAGAATGGAAAGCTCTGAGCTGAAGGATGTAAGCACTTTCCTTGAAGTTATTCTCAGATATGCCAATTCAAGTCATGATCGGCTTTAATAAGCAAAAAATAATATTTTTCTAAAGATATTCAGTTCTCTAATAATAATTTTTGCTTTACACCCCCACGGTTATATATGATGGTAAAGATGCACTTATAAATTAATAATGAGAAGCAGATCGCACGCCCCTATTAAGAAAAGCAGGCTTCCAACACAGAGTGTCATAGGAGCGGACTGGGGTCTGATACTGAGGGACCAAATGTGCATAAGCGGGAAGCCCACGACATCCTGAAACAATTTAGAAATATTGCAAACTAAGTTTCCTGTGGAGTGAGGAGCTTCTAGATATGTGTGGCAAACGCGGTTTGACGAATCCGCTTACGGCGGGTAGAGTGGGTTCCAAACACATCCACGTCGTTTTTGAAAAAGCATGTTGGAGAGAGAATGATGGAGTTTTTATATCGGTTGCATGGAGCTTGCACTACAAAAGCACTTTGAGCCCTACAAGCACGGTAGGATTTCACTTCCTTTACCTTTTCCTCCTTAACATTACGAGGCGGTTTGTTGGCTTTGTTGCTCGTTGGTTCGCAAACACCCACTTCTCTAATCGACTGATTAGGTGTCAATCATGGACAGTTATATAAGATGATAAGAGAAACTTGATTCCAAGAAATACTTAACCACCAAATAAGCAATTCCAACGTCGATGCCGGCATCCTATGAGACCGGGCAAGCCATTTATGAATCAAAAAAGGATTTAGTTAAACGCTAAAACTTAAAAGGTAAGAGAAATAATAATCGGATGCTCAGTCATAAAAATATTTATCGGTACCAAAGGAGACTCATCAAGAACTCCACCAAAGAATGAAAATTCGATGAAACCAAATGACGTAAACAACAATCAGATTATCCATTATGAATTGAGTCGTAAAGCAATTCATTGCTTTTCGCAAGGGCAAGTGAACTAAGTGACTTATTCAACATATAACAACCATTGCTTTTGTTGGAAATCTGGCACAAGACTATGTAACACTGAATATCCCTTTAGTTAATGAATCCGCATAGAAATTTGCATGTTGGGTCGAGGGAATAGTGGGATTGATAACCAAGATCTTAGCCGAATTGGAACACAACTAACAATTGGATTCGTGGACATTAAAACCATTCAATTTAATCTCTAGCATTAGAATCTCATTTGGAGTGACTGCCTGATTGAAAGAATTATATTCCTCCTCCATAGTAAAGAACGCACATGCGGCCCGCCTTTTCAGTTTCCACTACTTGGCATTTCATAGATGTAAGAAAAATCACCACCGTCCAATTGACGATCGGCAGACTTTGCTGCTCAATCACCGTCTCAGTAGCGACAAAACCCAATTGATATTCAACGTGGTCATACAAAGTGAAATGAATTATCGTTGACTATTTTAGCACGGTCCATTCACAACATGGATGGATGTTGCAAGGTCCATTAAGATGTCGACTGAGTATCCAAAAAGCCAAAAAATATTTGACAATAATGAGTCTGCAGAAAAATTTATCGACTCAACATTTGATTTGCGCAGTCATGATAGGTCAGGATGAAACGCAGAACCAATGGATGCAGGTAGCTCTACGTTTGGTTTTATCATCATCTGTGTAGGGTTGCGCTTCACTTGTGCATTATATCGTGTTGGGTGTTCTGCTTTGCGTTCGGCTTCGTAGGCCCCGAAATACGTTGGTTTGGTTCAGCAACTTCAACACCAAAACCGCCACAGAGCTTCAACCGAATTTTCAACTTCGAACAACACTGTGAGATACGATTTGCCGAGTTTCACCAATGCATCTGGTGAACCCACAATTGTAACACCATTTACATATAATGCTGGCAAGCAGTAGGGTTTGTCCACAGCGAAATGAGACTCATCTCGATCAGCCGAAGATCGTTGAAACACCAGTGGTTAAAAAGAGATTACAACATATTTACCAAGGATACAATTATAAATCAGTTTATGAATCAGTTTAGGTGACCACGATAGTTTCAAAGAATATTGGACATTACCTGATTCGGGAGACAGTTTCATGTAATTTTGAGCTGGAATATCCTCTTCTAGAAATCCTGTTGTCGAAACAATTTGAAGATCATTCACTTATTTAACGATGGAAAAACAAGAAGGACTGTAATTCTTTCATTTTTAATTTTTGCCGAAGATGTTTCAGCTTCGCCGATTGTTTGAAGCTGAGAAACTGCATGGAAATGTATTTTGACTTTTCAAATGCCCAGGCAGGTGGCAACTTCGGTGTTAGCACGCAACGAAAAAAAAGTAGTCGATTTCCGGTTGGAAAATGAACCACTAGGTCGAGGATGGCGCTACCGATGAGTGAAGATCCGATTGGAAAGAAACATTGCGAGTTTGGGCTGCAGAATCTGAATTAACAGCGTTAGCAATAATAGAAGCAGCAGCCATATCGGTAAGAGAAATCCATTCTAATGAGGTATCTCGCTATTCTGCTGTAATCCATCTATATTCATTTAAAATATCCTCACGGTCCTCTTAAGCATTTTCTTTCGTTTCAACAACATTATCCATGTTAGATTTGCCAACAGAGTTAACATCAGCAACTCAATCACCGGCATCTGCGGATGAACGAGATCTCTTCATTGAAACAATTGACATTGACTGGATTTGCATTTTGAACATCTTTCCGGATGTCTAGTTAGTGATCTTCATTGATCTAGGTCGCCTTTGATGTATCACGTGAAGCAAAATCCGTTGTCTTATCATTGTCAAAGGTAGCAGTCAGCTGATATTGCGCGGTAACACCACAAGCAATAGATCCATCAGGATCAGCAAAGCGAATCGGTAGCTTGCGGGCGGCAAATCAACAATTTCTGAGAACAGAGTTGAAATCTAATTGACACGAGAGCCGAGAATAGCTCAGTACTTATGGATTTTGCTCCGCGCCTAGGCAATTCTAGCCATTTCGTAGCTAGCAAAAACACGGAGGATAGTTGTTTCAGCTTCCTAGGCTTGCCTGAGTCTGTTTTGGTCATGCCGTATGCCGCTCATCCAGACACTTTTAAGATCGGCGTTGTATATTAAGATCATCGAAAGCGGCGGAACAGGGTAGTAAACAACGCTCCGTGTTTCGCCAAAATCGAATTTGTGAGAAGCATAGCATATATCCCAGTGCCACTGTACAAAGAGTGAATAACAGCCCCTTCCACTAGCAATGATCTGGGTGTGTAATTATTGCGTTGCACGTTCGTTGAGCCACTACATCATGATGACACATAAAAGAGATACATTTCCGGTACTGTTCAATCAGTTTACGAGCATATTTAAAGAGAGGGTGCACAAACAAATTATAAAAAGCAACCGCACAATTCGTTTAATCCATTTTTGCATTGGTAGATTTAATTGAACGTACCAATCTCGCAACTTCAATTGGTCAATTAGCCGTGAAAGAACCAACTGCATATATTAACTGATCAAGAACAGTCGTGAAAAAGTACGAACTCTTGCTAACAAAAGAGCTTGCGTTCGCTCTCAATTTCAGCAAAATTTACGCAGATAGCAGCAGTGGGCTGTGAAATATGCGACATTCTAATGAATCTCGTCCCTTGATTTTGTCTCAAAGCTCTGATTGTTAACTATCGCAAGCTCAATTCCATTTATCATTGCTAATCATTTAGCAACAGTCCAACTTGCATCACTTAGGCGATCATCACAACTTGTGATAATGAATGTCACAACAGATCGGCAACGAAATGTGTATATGATTTTGAGGCTTCCCTCTTACCAGCTATGGCACCAATCAAGTATTCCCAAGTATCTTTGAATGAGAAACTGGCCCGTTTATCTCTGTCAGCTGCAATTAAAGCTAAGATTTAACTGTGGGGTGGTTGCAAGTTATTTTTTAATGATTCACCGATCGCATTGTTGAGAGTGTCAATGAGTTTCTCAATGAAAGAACATTCAAAGATACGAGAAATCTGACATCCATAGAAAGTTAAGTCAGTGGTCAGATCTGCAATAGCTCAAGTATGTTGGCGAGCAGCAGAATTAGAAAAGAACCAATTCCATTTCATCATCAGCTTGCTAATTAATTTCGGTGACGAGAACAACAATGACGGTCCAACTGTTGCCGCCATCCGCAGCAGCCGAAGCAGCCGAAGCATGGGCTGGTCTTGTTCAGAGAGAAGGAACAGGCCAAACTGAAAATCACTCAATAGCCAAAGGTTCCCTTACGTGACACAGATAGCTTTTCATTCCTACTTGTTTTTATTTCTTTAACGGATCCTTATCAAGAGAGAGTAGCAGGATTGAAACTGCCTGAATATCAAAAGCATGAGGACCTTGTTGTTCGGCCAAACCCATTTCACCAGGTAATGGAATTTGGTAAAGCATTGTTAATTTAGGAAAAACCAGTTCAGCGAAGGGGTTGTCAGCCCTTTAACCAGAATAGACAATTGCAGCAATCTTATTGGCGTTGTAAACCTGGACAATATTGCAATCAAATTTTACAAATATTCATTTAAAATTTCGTGTATTAGATAATTTAGTACGCCTGGTTCCTGAAATAACGTTGCTTGTAATAATTATAGAACGTTGCACAGGCGCAGATTGCAAAGACTCGTTTTGTTAAGTGTTTTGTGAGACCAAACAACATTTTAAAGCAGTTCTTCGTATAAAACTAGGTAAACTGCGCTGCTAAACGAAGTATGATGAAGTAAATCTAATCCGAGTTCACTGCGTTTCAATCCTGAATATCGGCAGAACGACATTTTTTAATAAGAGCCTTCCACCAACGATCCAACTTCACGACCTTCAGAACCTATTAGCAAAGCCCCCCAAGTAAATATAGCAGCATTGATCCCTTTTTCTATTTTTGGACACACAGCATCTCCATTATATGTCTTATGCAATTAAGGAAGTCCATTCATTACCTTCAAATAATAATGTCTTCTGAGGCTCCTGGAGTTCTACATGCGGATCTTCGGGATCTTTCCCATGTCTCTCCGGTGTTCCATTGGGGTATAATCCACTTTGCGACATAGAAAAGCGGCGGTCTCTTTCAAGTACTTCATCCAATTACTTCTTTACTTCGGTATTCTAAGAAGGCTTTCTATCATCCGTGACGACGTTTGCCGTTGCCCGAGCGGCAATGGGGTCTGAGTGCAAAGGAATGTCTTCTGTCAGGTTTTCCTCGGCTTATTGGACTAGGTTCCTGTCCCAAACACCATCGTTCGAAAATAAAACATCTTGTTGAAAAGTTGATTTTTCCCTTTGAGACATAGTCATGTGCGTTTCATCAGAGAGAGTCGAATAATCCATTAGTCAATCAGCGATTAAGAAGAAATGGGTTTTTAACATCAAAAGCAAAAGGAATATCTTGGCTTTTCCTTTGGTTTTTTTGCCCAAACACATGTTTGGCACCTCCGATCTGCCCACAAGGATGAACTTTTTTATAGAAGCAGCAAATGCATCAAATTAAAAAATATTCAATTCGTAGTGAAACCCATCATCCTTAGTCCAAGAAGTTTTCCCTTCAAACATCAAGGAAATAGAAATTGTATAGGAAGTCTATCCGGTCAATCATGTTGAAAGCGTTATATAAGCCATTGCCGAATAGTTTAGGAAAGCAATTTTTGACACCGTTGACACAAAATCAGCAACATCAGAGGAGCCTAACTGTAATCAAATTATCAAATAATCCGAAAACACAATACGACAAGCATTAGCACTTGACTCAGTTCATTACTTTACAGAAATACTTGTACGGAGCTCAATAAGCTATTTAGTTTTCGTACGAGCGTCATTTCTTCTGATCCGCTTTTTGCTAACAAAGTGAGCACCATCGGATTAACCATCTATAAAATGATATCGGTTTGAGATGAGGCCGTGTTTTTGCGATTGCGGCTGTTCTGAACCAAGTAGAAAACAGCGTAGTTATCACAGTTCATAATGGGATTCCCAGTAACCGAGTCAATATATTTTGCCATCTGAGCTTGCAACATCGTGTCAGTCAATGCCTCCAACAGTGAATTGTACTCGATTTCAGAACGCACCAATGAATTAGCTTTAAGCTACTTTGTGATTCATATCACTGGTATCCTCCAAAGTGGAATTCTAAAAGATCAAGTGGACACTTGACTTCGAAATGCTATGGCCCAGTTGCTGCCAGTGAGTCTCATTAGGTCAACTAGCAATGCAGCGTGGGAATTACCATTGAAAAGAATCAACTGCTGGGAAACTGTTCCTTTTTAGCAGAATGTAAACAAGTCGCTCATGCTGTGTCTTAATAATTCCGTAGTAGCTCATCAGTGGCAGAAATATTTTACAGGGATTATTTTCTGGGATCCAGAGTCGATCCGACAAATCCTTTCCACTCTGATGATTACCTAGGTCCGAATTTAAAGAAATCTGATTGAAGTTGTTCGTTTAACTAGATTATGATTTCTACAGTCATCAGTGATCAAGGATCTTTCAATTTAAACGGTGATCCAGTAGAGCGGAGAAAGGTTTTTGGACAAAGCCTCCGCTTCAAGTTTTTGATTTTATTAAACGCAGGTACTCGACCAAATGTAACTTCTAAGACATTAACTGAAAGAACAAAACCTGGTAAGACTAAAGCGGCTTCGCCATTGCATAGAGGCATTTGGCAAAAAAACATCTACTCAATCTTAATGCTACAATCCAGGGAAGTTTGTTCTGTAACGATGATCCAATTCATTTTCACACGAGGCTCTTTGTAACCAGAGAAATAAAAATGATTTAGAGTTTCGTTCTACCAACAGCTCAATGATTATTTAAGACCCTAAATGGATTACTGCAACATACTTATTTTCAATCCACATTCAGCATTCGCCAATGCAAGGCATATTCTACATTATTTTTAGCGGCTAAGTCATTATATAAAACAACATTTTTCAAATTGATTAAATGAGCCGATCTTGGCATTGCTCGGGCATCAGGAAGAGGGACAGCCCATTTTTAATACCAAGGTCCTCTATTGAAGGTTTTGCCGCGGTAATTTTCTTCAAGTCAAATCCACTTTGGAAAGCATGGACTAGGGTTTTGAAAATCACTATTTAAACCGGAGGCATCTGTGCACGGCCAACGAGCGCCAACAACTTCTTCAAATGGAAGAAGCGGAACAGAGAACTACAAAATTTCACCTTGCATTTGATGAAGCTCGGATTCGCAAGCAAAATTGACCATGGGGGCCACGAATTTGAATGGCGTGTATTTGCGCAATAAATGTAGTCGTACAGCAGGCAGCCCCAAAATATTTTACCGGTGGTCGATCATTCATAATATATATTGAATTATTTGTCAAACACCGATGTCCTTTTTATATCATTTCCGATCATTTTAAGGTGCTGGATTGGTGGGAGAACGTTGGCCGATAAAAGAAAACCGGTCAAAGTGAGCTTCAGCAACTGTATTGTTATCATTTGTGGACGGCGGCTTGGAGTTCTATTGATGTTTTCGTGAATTACTTCAGTTTTGAATGTGTCTTTGCACTCATCGCAATGAATTTATATTGTTGAATGTAATTCAATTTTCGGTGGATTATTGGAAGCTGTTTCCGAAATAATTTTAGCATCTGCGGTCTGACTGATATGTCATTGTAAGAACGTGACAGATATTCTTTGGTAGCACTTCATGCGGAACAGATAATTCTAATGCCAAATAGGTTGTTGGACGTATTTGTGCAAAGTGAGCATCTGAACAAATCCATTGTTTCAGTCAGAGAAGCAAGCGCTACTGACGACAACTCAGCTGTGACAAAGGTTTGAAAAACTGTATTGTAATCTGCGCAGGTAGTAACGAGCAGAAGCAATAAAGCAGATGTGTGAGCGAATTTTGTTTGTCTTCCCTTTCAAGGCTAAGATGAATGAAAACCTGATTTGAAGCGGTTGAGCATACCACCGGATGATATTCTTGGGTTAATTAATTCCAAAGAGGTGTTGAAAAGTTTTCAGCATTGTGTGAGACCCACATGCATGAACAACACAGCGCTATTGAGAGGTTCATTTCAGAAATGATCAACAGCAGCTCCTCCAATTGACGTCGTCCTGCTGTGTGCTGTGATTGGTTGTTGCCACCGCGCAGCGACTCTACTTTGATAGGGCGCAAAAAGAGATCAAATTTTTGATTGGAGCTCGTCAGAGCGCAGAAAGGTAGAATGAGCTTGGGCCAAGCCCGTCTTAAAATTGCAGAGTAACAACTGCTTTAGCCATTACTCGTTGACTAAATGCTATATAATATATCTTCAGCTTGGGACTAAATGATCGGTCTGCAATTGAAACAGGAACTTGGTCTTCGACAAATCATCATCATCAGGAATATAATAACAAAGTCAGCAACGACGTCAAGTTGCATTGGCTTCCACTTAAAGATGATGTTCAACAAAAGCGGCGACGCCTTACATTCGGTGGATCATTTTACAAACTGATTGGCTATCCATTGTTGATAAGACTGATCTCTTTGACTGGCAGCAGCGGAAATGGCATTGAATATCCCCATATTCTTTTCCAATGTTATTCATTCATGACCTAATAGTAAAAAGCTTTTTGCAGTTATTAACTCAAAAGTTGACCAACCAGAAAATCATTGAGATCCAATTGAGCTTCTTTATTTTCACCACTAGAGACCATTGTACTAAGAACATTGATTTTTGAACGAAAGAAAAAGACGCCTCTTTCCAGCAGCTGGCATTCGCAACATTTTTTCCATGAGAAGCAGAAAATGAATGTTCGATGTGTGCACGGTTTTGATCCATCACATTTTTACCGAGGTTTGCCTAGATAATTCATTCCCTGGTTAGGAATGCGGCCTAACAAAAAACAGTCCGCGCTGAAGCTATGCACTCAATCACGGAAAGGATGGCATTCATCAAAGCAGAAATAGTACGGTTAGGTGTTCGTGCTGAGTTTCCCTGTAAGTTCTAATTACGAATAAAACTCCGCCTCAATAAGTTGAGCAGCTTTCAATTGAGTGACAGCGGCAGGGTCATCAGCGAGACCGACTGAACTGTAAGCCACCGGCCGTCGTTCCAGTCAGTCAGCTGCCGCATGACTTTTAAAATGAGTGCAATTAAATGCTATTATTTATCTTAGTTCATTTATCAATGAACTAATCCACCAGAATCTAGTGATATATAATCTATCATATAAACAAAATCATCAACAGCAAAAAGACTTTGCCAAGCTTCGGCATCGCCACTGGAGATTTTCCCAGCGTCAGCCCTTTTAGTGACAATCTTTTCAGCTGATGAAGTGTCACCACCAACCAAAAATAGAGAAAAGCAGCAACTTGATCCTCATTGTGAACCTAAAGATTTTTGCAATAGAATCGATTAAACAATTTATTCTAGTGCCCCTGATTCGTAATGTAATTTGCTAGTTACCAGCAGTAGGTTACTCGATGATACTAATTGCTGCTTCAGCATCAAATCGACAATAAGATCATTCTCAAGTGACGTAACACTTGGCCGCCGCACAACCAATTGCAAAAAGTCTGTTCAACCAAAGCGCCAGCTTCTGAGCCACCAACTAAAAAAAGGGGGATGAAATGCAACAATTGTTTGATGTGTCTTAATCAACATCATCAGTGAAGAAAACAGCAGATATATTAGCTGTTTGAACCAACGGATTCACCACACTAGCTAAGTTATCCACCATCAACCATAAGTGACAAACCAATTAGTTGCGTGTTTTGATGTCAATGATTAGAGCCAGAAGGACATCGTTATTTTGACTGAGACGCCGCTGCGGCAATTATAAGATAATATATTAAAATTGAATCAAATGTAAAAGCAGAACTTTAGAACAGATTGTCAGCTTCTTTAAAAAAAGCGATTTGTATGGCAGAGGGGCAGCCCGGCACACGGCAGACCAATTTAAAAAAAATGGATGTACAAATTTGTCAGGCTCGACGCTTTAAGAAAGATTTTTTGTTAGCAACATCACCAGTAGCACCAGATTCCACGCCCAAAAGGGAATTGTACTGTTTGACGTCAATTTGACTGATTCTTACCTAAGAAAATTGGTAGTTTCTGCTGAACTCCAGTTTTGTGTGGTCCAGAAATTTGAAGTTCCGAATTCCTCGGCCGGTCAATAAAAATGAAGTCTATTTCGAAATTGTTGGAACATTGAAGACCGGATCCGTTCACATCAGCTCTCAAATCTAAGATATTGTCAAATAATATGAAAAAAGTGAATCTACAAGCTCTTCGTTCTCAGACGGAAGTCATTTTGTTATTCTGTTTTCACAAAATCGGTCTTAAGCTGACACATACATTTGAATGAAACTCAGCGACCTTTTGGATTCGGACTATAGGTCGAATCGGTAATAGCAGCTGTTTCAACGGGTTTTGGATATTAAGCGGAAGTGTGCATAAAGCTGTTAGTTCTATCTGCAAACCATTTATAAGCTAACTCGGTTGTATGATCAACGGTTTGTGAATTGAAAAACCAATGGTATGGAAGACTTTCCAGTTGCAATTACATTTTATTAATTTCAACCACTTGAAGATGGAACTCAGGATTATTCTTCAATTGCGACGTACCTTATAAGTTGTAGCGACTGCGTCCAAGTTTAACGATAATCTAAAATCATTAATGAGCTGATCAAGCCAATTGACGTGACTCGTTGCTAATTAGAGTTGACGTGCCGCCATATCTTTAGAATTTGTAACCTCTTCTTATACAATATTTCCGCGGCGCACTTGTATCAACGATAAGATCAGCATTCATAAGCTTTTTCATCATCTTCCACAACTTGAAATCATCTCTGGGACCTGTGATGCGACGAAAACTTTTATAGCAGATTAAGCATAGAAAGCAATCATAAATCAAATTTTCGAGATTCCAGAAATGATATCGGTGATTGAAATCATTCCTTATTCTATATGTATCGCATGCGAGTACTTGATTTCCAACGGATTGAATTGTCTTGATGGATGATGATTTCAACGAATAAGCAAGAATCAAACAACCAAGGTTAGAAAAACGAATGAATTAACAACATCAAACTGCACTTCCTAATCACGCAGCAATGATTTCAGTTATTTCCCCTGATAACTGCAGCAAGTAAATTACATAATTGCGGTGCACATCCGTGACCTTCATCTGCCTTTAGATATCCGGAGGATTAAAATCGTCAAAGCTAACTCCACATATCAGATTAGTGCTGAAAGAAATAACATTAATTACAATCTATTTATAGCCTTTCCAAAGTTGTTCCCCATTCATTCGAGTTAGCAAAAATACAACATTTTACGCTTCACTGGTTCTTTTCTTTCAGCTACGACTTAAAATTATCACTATCAAGCAACTAATTAGAGATATTTCTCAGTTTAGTCTATTTTTAGTGAAAGTCAGATTACTATTACATTAAAACATTGGCAATTTCTTGGCATAGTTTTCTCAAGTAAAATCGAAATTTCAACTAATTATTGCATGACTTGATGCCTTTTCATATTAGAACGATATTCAATAGTCTTCGTTCGACTCCATGATAATTTAATAAATAGAATAAGTTAATAGGAGAATAAACGCAAAATAGAGCACCAGCCTGTGTGATAAGGAATGGCGTTTGATCGCATAGAGTTACAAAAGCAGACTGGAGAAAGACACTTACGAACTAAATGTTGCCCGCCCAGGTGGCTCACCACGGAGCCATGGACAAAGTAACCGCACCACAGTGTATCGCTTAAAAGTGTCAAATATTTCAGAAAACATGAGAGGGCCCCTCACGTTGGACGAGCGATGGAAGTTCTGACTCAGAACCGTGGCGTGGGTGGGTCCCTTCTTAGAAACTGGAATGGGATTAAACCCTATCAATCGCCTTCGAAAATAAAACATCTTGGGTTGAGCAAATTGGGTGGTTAGTAAATACAGGTTGGGGCATTGCGCGAAGAAGGGTCCTTCAACCGATTATGCGGTGACTGGTGAGAAAACGATTTTTTTAGGCGGGATGAAGGATGACCACCTTGTGTGTTAGTTTGGCTGCTAGTTTGATCACAAGCACCAATTACGCCTAACGAATATGCAGGGCACCATCATGGATTCGGTAAGAGCTCGATCGCTCATTAAATCATAAACAAATAAGAAAAAGGAAATTAATAGTCGTGAAGTGAAAACCAAAACCTATTTTAATAACAGCATAACAATTTTGTTAATTAACAATCGAAAAGGAGCACTTCAATCAAGTTGTAGGAGATGCATAAATAGTATCACCACTGTCCTTTAAAAGAGTGGATGACTTACTGTCACTTAGTTGACAGGAAGTCAGACAAACGATAACAATCCGATAAAACCAAGGTGCGTAAATCACTGAACATCAGCTATCATTTATTGAATCATTGAAGCAATTGATTACAACATCGGAACACCGGACCACTCAGCTCCTCAGTCATCATATCAGCTATATTCCATTGTCTACTTTCTCTGGCTAAGTAAAAACCTACATAGCGCATTCCTCCCATTAAAAAACACCCTTTTAAAATATTGTTGCGCTCTCTGCGAATCCGAAAATGGTTGCCAAAGAAGATACCAGCGTTGAAACCCGAAAAGGTGTAAAGAATTTCAGCAGCAGTAGCAACCGATTTATAGACCTGCATTTCCAACACATCTTCTCAGACCCCTTGATTAACCAATCTGCAACAGGATTCACTAGTCGGCAAGGCCCTAGGAAGCCGGCCTCGTGCAGTCACGAGTATCGGGGTTTTGAATCCTGACGAACAGATACCCACCCAGTGATTCTCGCTGACCAAACTCTCCAGCTAATGAGCTTCAGAGAATCCAACCAACTCAACAAATGAAGAAACAATCTGATAAACGGTAAATGGACTTCAGATTAAGTATTTGAAGTCAATTCTAACGAAATTTAGATGGACAATCTACGGTGAAACACGGAACCGACTAAATAACCGAGGCTGAAATCCAATATCATTCAGTGGCGAATATGCTCGGAAATGAAGGGATCGAACAATTGATGTGCAAACTCCTGACTCTTCATTGTTTAGCTCATAGGAATCAGTGTCGAGTAGCTCTTTGTAAGGGTTACATATCATTGGAGTGACTTGTGAATGAGTGTAATCCTCTTAAAATATAAAATTAATGTGATTGACGTAAGACTCCATATACATCGAATTCCCGTCGTGCAATTCAGCCACATCAACTCCAATTAATTGACGCACAATGCTTGCACGACCTGTTTGTTGTGACAATCAGCACCCTTGTTCTTAGGCATAGCAATTTGATGGTGCAGCAATGAAGAGACCAACCACTTCAGAAAGTGGCACGCAATTGTAGTTACTCTTTGAAGATAAGACAAGCCATGTTTAGCTGAAACACTTCGGGTGTCAATCCATTAAAGGAAAATCGCATTTGCAGGTAGCGAAAACCAGCAGAACGATTGAGCTTTCAAATCGATTTTGCTACCGTCGAACGATTCAGCGGATTCTATGAGTTAACAAATTCAACAAGCTGTTTGCCGTCAATTTCTGCCCCAACCACTCCAAGAGGGAATGGAGTTGTCACATCGATGTAATCAGGCTTGCATTGCTTGGAAGCTGCCAGAGCCGCACAGACGTTAACAAGTTCATACCTAACTACTGGACTAAATGAGTCAGAGATATTGACATCCCAATGCTGTGGAAAGCAACTTCCAACTGGTTTGTTCCAGGGAAATCACCAGTTGGTTTTCGCATTGTGGGAAACAGCCAACCTCAGTCAAGACGACTGTTTCCACACTGGAGATCATACAAAACAGTAATTACTGTTATCAAGCAATGCCAAAGCGGTACATGAAAAGCAAATTTCTGCTTAAGTCGGCAAAGTTTTGGTTGAACGGTAGTAGCGGAAAGAAAGTCCGCGGCCAAATATGTAAGAGGCGGCCTGCCATGATTGGTATGTTAAGAACTGTTTGTAACTCTTCTCAACACTTTGTGAAGCTCATCAGCATCCTCAAGAGGAGATTTTTCCAAACTGGAATTTTGGCTTCATCACCTTCAACACCAGTGTAAACATCAGCAACTTGATCATTTTTATCAGAAGATGCAACTAACTGGTTTTAGATCAATTGTTGTTCATCCACAGCTATTTCTTCTTCGTCTTTTGAGCTGATGTGAAGATATTCGTCAACTTCATCGAAGTTGTTAATCGAAGCATCGTGCGAAAAAATTGCAGCTGCGTTAACTTTGCCGTTTTTTCCAGTGGACATTCGACGGAAATCGAATTTTCACCATAAGCAGCTCAATGAACATTGATTCGTTATGAATCTTTCGGATTCTTCCCATTGCCAATATTTGTGACATCCACGATAGCGTCACCATAACTGGGATTCTGACCTTTATGATGATTGAAGAGGCAGAGACAATTGCTGTCAGCACCAAACAGTTGAGATCCACCCGAATCAAAAGAGTACAGGGTTGAATCAGTCATTAGCATCTTCCTTATTTCTAACCACAAAGCACAGAGCGACAGAACATCTTCTGCGCAATCGAGAACTGCGTCAGCAGCCGAAGCATCGGGTTGAAACAAATGAATCTGCAACAACTGGCCGTGGTGCTTATAAGTCACCAGCCAAATGGCGCTCTTTTTGAGAAGAATAGCAAGTTACTATTCTTAATTTTGTCTACGTAAACAGTCCTTATCATCAGAGACTAACGCCGCTTATCCTGGCCTACCAACAAAAGAGTCATCACCAAAATGATTGTCCAAATTTTTGACATTTGAAAATGGAATTGTGTTGGGGACTGAAACTGAGTGAGAACCCTTTCTGCGTAGGTGACGACCAAAACACACAGCGCAGAGAATAGAGGGTATTAGATTACAATTTCAAATGATAAAAGTATTGCAATAGACTTCATTGAAAATCTTATTGAAGTGCTTCCTATTTAATATCTTGCTTTGCCACTTAGGAAAAAGTAGTAACCTAGTCAAACTTGGAGCGACCGTAAGACCAATATTTCCCAAAAATTTTTGAAATTCACTGATGGTTGACCGCCATGCCAGCCATCGATTAACACTACACTCATAACAACAGGAGCTAATTCCCAAGTGACCAACGTATGACAAATGGCATCTAAGACAATCATTACTACGCCTTAACGATCCTCATCAGCAACATTCGAACGATTTTGTTAAATAGTTGAATCGGCGGACCAAACTGAGCAGCTTTGGGTTTGAAGACCGATGACGAAATAGTAAAGATTGCAGGATCCAGTAGTTCGTACAGTTTTTGCCTCGAAATATTGGCAATTCGGCGCATAACCTAATATAGCAAATGCGTGGTAACGCAATAATGTGAAAAGGAATATCACTAGGAACATCGTAAAAGATATCGACAGCCCCTTTTATAAGTGTCTGGGCTTCATCACTGAGCTTCATGGGGGCCGAACGGCGACTAGATCCGAAAGGGCGAATGCAGCTATCGGCGAGGCACACAAAAGGCCTGCTTATTCCGGCAAGCAGATTTCAATCGCTACTCTCAGTAAAGTAGAAAATTGTTCAAAATCATCAAACGACCGTTTTCGTTCGTTTAACAACTGCTACAACTACGAAACAACCAGCGTCTCCACCGGTTTGCTCACGGGCCTACTGGAAGGTGCATCAATCCCAAACGCGGCTGTTTACAAGACAACTTTTTGACCTCAGAAAAACTGGGGTTTTGAGATACTGCGATGTGCGTCGCCATAGAAAGGGTCCTCGACCAATTCAGTCAATCAGACATGCGGCGATTTTTGTGTTTTGCGCGTCACGATCGTTACGAGCTCTCTCCGATAAAGAGTTTCTTCAAAAACACCCTTCATTTTAATTGGCTGTTCAGGCTACAATCATCAAGACCAATTTAATCCAAGCGGTAATTCAGAAAAGACAAGAATAGAATGAACAACCAAATACATAAAATGCTTGAGTATGAACGTTTGGATCACCACGTACAACAATTTGACAGTTATATGGAAAACCACTGATACACTTAAGGGGTAACCGTTGTAGGAAAAATGTTTTTACAGTCAGTCAAACAATTGCAAATGAGTACTGTCCCATATCCAACACGAATTCTGGAACCCAATAATACTTAGATAAGAGGCAAACCACGTATACCTGAAAGCCCAGCATTAACAATTCAATGGATAAGCAAAGTTATTGACATATTCGAACACAGGAGTGCTTAGCTCATTAGTCAACAAATAAGCGAAATCAATTTTATTATGATGTTTTGGAAGAGTAAGAGCGTCATTTCATAATTTTTTTGTTAGATGATACCTAATTAATATATCGTTAGACTTGTTGTGATCTCAGTGATGGATGGCCACGCTCTTGGCAGAAAACTTGTGCCAATAGATTTTTTGTTCCACAACATTTTTAGTACAGTATTATAAGACCCCCACTAGAAAACCTTCGTTGGATCCTTGCTTTAGTAAGTCAAACTTATTCGGCATTACTAGTGAAAGGATCGACAGATTTGTTCTTGTTGCAGTTCCAAGTAGCCGGCTTTTCACAAGCAGCAACATATCACCACCAACTGATTGACAATCACCAACATTTCCAGCGCAGTCGGTGTCTCACTATCCAACTAGCTCATCTGATAGAGCAGCATTGCAATTATCAGTCAGAGGGTTTCACTCTAAATCGTTTAGCCCATTTTCAGCACAATTGTGACAGATCTAGCTTCGAGCTTGGAAGTACTTATGAAGTAACTTAAGAGGAAAAGCAGTACCATAGCACAATCAATATAGAGCAGCAATCAACCATCAGGCATTTGTTCTTTGAAGAGTTGATTGGTCAGGATCTAAGTCAGAGCCATCAGTTTCAAGTAGGACCTTGTATGGGCCAGTCATCAATGGTGTGGCGTGGTAAAGAAACATGTCGATAATAAGCTGCTGAACTACTTCCTTGACGTGAGCAGCCATAGATCCGAAATACATTCGCAATTATAAACAACATCAAAATCCCTCAATCCCTTTTAGTAGTACTCTACGATCATTCATATTCGATAGAGATCTGAAATGCTTTGTGACCAGCATAGCCATTGCATCTGTACATCAGGAAAATGGTCTGTTCATCCGCATCTAATCGAAGCAAGCAGTAAAAATTGTTCTTTGAACGATAAACAGATCCATGATTTGCTGATGAACATTGGAGCCGAAAGTACTAAAAAGATTAAGCAATTTTTTCTAGCAGCAAGGAAGAGACTCTTTTAGAAAATAGAGTGAATTGCGGAGCATCCAGACTCTCCAAGCATACTCAGCATTGACACAGCAGAAAGGGCTTTCGCAGAGTTGTGAGGGATGTTATCACCATGACGAATTGCAATTGCGACATCCCCTTAATGAGTATTGAATTAGTTTCGCTTGTATGAGCAAGAAGAACGGTAGCGCTTTCATAGCCACTTACTGGACAAAATGCTCCAATGAATTAAAAAACTTCAATAACAAAAACCCTAAAACAACTTGTGGGGCATTAGCAAAGCACCAGCTGTTACTGGAATTATTGTGAACCGCAAACGACGGCTAACATGACTCCTGGCAAAGGAAAGAAGAACCAACAGGTAAATATTGTTCTCAAGCCTTACCTCGTTTTGCGATTTTCAAAGAACTTTGAGGATTGAATCCACAGGATCTTTGTTGAATATAGTAGAGCTACTATGAATGGCAGCTGATTAAACCTCACAAGACCTGCTTGTATCTGTTCTTCATGAATGATTGGTAAGCTATTCAAGTACATCGATAGGGTGATCAAGGTATTCGATCACAATCGTTTGAAGATGGAGGAAGTTAGCGCTCTTCTAGTTCTGCACTACTGATGGCATCACCGAATTAATCATCATGTTCAATGAAATAAACAGATTCATCGACTGCAACTCACCATCAGCAAGACTATTGTCTTCATGATCAACTGCTCTCCTATGAAAATATTTATCATCTACTTTGAAATTATTATTTGAATCGCACTAGCGATGCTTTTGCTATTTACGAAAGGTTCACCATTTCTGGCTATATTACCTGAATGAATATTTATGTCTCTGAGCTAATCAGCGTCAGTACATGCATGTTGGGAGCTCCTTCAATCAAACTCAATATCTTTGCAAATCAATATGCTTTTGGATGTTATTATATGAGAGTACGAAAACAGCGACGGAGTAATGATGGTGACATCCTGAACAGCCACAGCAGCAAAACATTCACTGCATGTCATGATGAAGCAAGAGCAAGCTCCGGTGGTAATCACATTTCTTTCACATGTTTTCTGTTGTGACAACGATAGCATCTCAATTTTCTTCATTTTGGCTTCGTCAATTGTTCCCACTATGACAAACTAACGCTGTAGCCGCTCAGCAACAAGCAAAAGGATTATCACCAACATAATTGTGCGATTTGTCTACATCTGCACACGTAAATGTGTAACAGTCGGTGCAATCAGTAAGATTCATATCGGCCTAATTACTGTCGGAAGCAGGAGCAGCGTTGCAAATTGCGGCAATTCGCATAGCATATTAATCTTTGACCATAATGCAGTTGACATCATTTAAAAAATTTCTGAAACTTCTCCTATTGGATAATCACTCTGCCAAGTAGCTGAACTAGTTGACCTGAGCTAGATCATTGAATACTCACCTGCAATTGAACTATAAGGCGTCTCCCAGAAACCCAAAACATGACTGCTCGACCAAGCAGTGTATAGCACTTGCTCAAACGCAGCGTGAAATAGTCATGCAGTAACCAACGGATTGAAAATGGAGTCTAGACCAACGATGGGGAAATCACATTCAACATGATCAAAACGGTAACTTTGTTAAACGAAAGGCTTCGAAGAGAGCCAAACCAAGTAGCTGTGAGATTCAAGAACAAATCGGAAGTAAACTAGTTAACAGCAGCCATCAATATCATTGATTCTGTCCAACGATCAATCGCTTTGTTGGCTCTTAATCGGCCTTGGCGAATCAATCAAACTGAAAGAAGGAGCAAAAATAATTAGGAAACAAAGCCGTGCGGCAGATCGGCGGCTCCTTTGAAAGCGATCTGGTTTAGACAACAGAGCGACGCTGTAGCCCACCGGAGACATCCACCGAGGGAGGGAATGTGGACATTTGGCTGGTCCACCAAGGCCCTCCCCAGGCCCGGAACCAGACCACAGCAATCAGGTGTGGATCGTCAGAGCTTTTACGCAACTTCCGAAAACCAGTTCGCGTACTGGGAGCCATTACCAGGTGCCTTTTTGATCCATTGCCGCCGGCGATCCACTCAGGTGCGCAATGGAGCGTGTTCGCGTCCAATCCACCGCCTTGTGAAAACCATATCTAAGGGTGAGAATAATTAGTTCTATTCTGATACCGGCATCTGCGCTGCACTAGAAAGCCTCTGCTTAAACTTGAGACATTGAGGCACGTGAAGCTCTTTCCTTTCTTCGTGCAGAACTTTAACCGGCCAATGGCTTTCGCAGTATGTTCCGCACAGCCATTTTGTTGATCTATTGTCTCAGCCACAATCATCGACCAGTATTGAAATTGATGGTTGAATAATAATACATAGATAAGATACAGCAGAATATTATCAAGAATGAGTACGACAGAGGCTAACGTGACCAACTTAACCAATTTCAAATCAAAGTATATTTCGAGCAATAGACTGAAATTTCATCCGTTTAAAAATGTATATAACAACAAAGAGTGACACCAATTCTATTCAATTCTGTAGCAGACAGATCGTGAAATCAATCAATCCATAATAATCACAAATCATTAAAGCGAGGTAACGAACAAACCCACATCTTTCAAAAGTTGAATGGACGAAGTAGTTCTTTGCAGAGTTTCAACACGGGAGATTAGCCGCTTTAGTCAATATTTCAGCATCATTACATGTGCTATGCTCTGCTTAAACAGTAAAGCAACATTGCATCACGGTGATGCCAAAATGATACCGCATTGAAACATTTTTAGAGGATGTGTGATTGGTTGGATGCTTAGCAAGGATGTGGGAAATATTGCTATCACATTAAATAATAAGTGTTTTATTATCTGCTCCATTTTATTCAAAGATATGCAATGGGAGCACGCCATCTTTGACACCTTCAGTCAGTAAATTGAATTGTCCTTGATAGATCAGCAGAGCTACTGAAGCCTGCTTTTTGAAGTTCCAAGTGGCTGCCCATTTATTAATGAGAAACCCATACCCCTCAACTGATTTTCCATTGCGAATGTCCGCAGCAGGGGCACTTTCAGATAATCCATCTTCGTCAACAGATGTCGGAGATTTCTGATGAAAAGCTAATTCATTTAGGTTTAGTTATGGTAACAGAGTTTTAACACAACGTAAGGTGATTCTAGATTGTGAACCAATCAACCGACTGCACAGCCCCACAGCAACAGCAATTTCTTTCGGTAAGCATTTTACCGCCGAATGCCACAATCCAACAATTGATGTGCAAAGTGATGACTGTTCAAGAACCAACTATCACGGATTCGATTAATGTAGCAGTGCGTATTGATTATTCTCCATTGGAGTAGCATGTCAATAAGACATGGTCGTTCAAAATTGTTGAACCTTTACTCAGACTTAGGTGATCGAAGATACTGATATTCGATTGTTGGATTGAGCAACATCTAGTTAAAGAGAGCGACCTCTAACTGTTCACAACATATTCACGTGTAACAATCTACTGAGACGTGCTTCGATATGCACGGCAATTGCATCTGATCATCCAGCAAAATTAAGATCATTCACATACAAACCTACTATTCTGATGGCCTTTTTCTTTGGGAGGTTAAGCTACCATGTTCAGCAGAATCACCTTAAACTCAGCCAATTGGATAGCACTTTCAAATTTCTTGAACCACGAAAACAACAAATTGTTCGAGTTCTTAATTGAATGTGACTATCTTCCAACGTTTACAAAAATACTCAGCGTTAGCAATTTTGGCAGGGTGTCTCTCGTAAGTCTTAGGGTCGGTATCACCATGAATGGATGATGTTATCACACTGATTTGAAGATCTTGCAACACCTCTGCTGCTGCAACAGCAAGAAAGACTCTAACACTTTTAACCAAATTACTGGAGAAAATCCTTCACATCAAAGAATACCTTCAAGGTCAGGGAACCTTTGGACAAGTCGTCGGGATTTGAAATATTGCCAGCTGTTCCAGACTGCATTCTGAACACTGAAAGATAGCTAACAGGACTTTCTTTTCGGGGAAGATCACGCAACAGGTAGACATTATTTTCTTGAAATGGCTGAGGCTCTGATTGACACGGAAGTCTGCAAATTAAGTCTGCCGAAACTGTTTTTACAGTAGTTGCGGCGATAATGACAGCGGCCAAATATGATCAAGGATACCTCTCCAGAATGGTATATGATGAATTGTTTGTACTCCATTTTCTTATATTCTCAATGCTATCGAAAAGGTTATCACGAACTGCTTTGGATCCAGGATATCGTTCTCTATCAAAGTCAGCACGATAGACGGCATTTGCAACAAGATCCGCATCATCTCTTGTTTGAACCGATACTTTTGAATCTACTTCATTGTCACCGACATCTTCATTGAATTCATCTTCTGAGCTGATGTCAATATATTGATCATATTCATTGATTTAATCCTTGATATATGCACTCGAACAACTGCGGTGTGAAATTTTTGTCTTAGATTGCGGTGGGCAAATATCTCTCCAAAAAACGACCGGAATTAGTTGCTGCTCCACCAGCTGACCAAGTAGTTGGAATAACGGCTGAAAAAGATGGATTTGTCTAAGAGAGTTTGGTTTGATCAACCTGAAAAGGGGAACTGAGCCGAACTAATATCCAATCAGCAATGTATATTTGGCATGCTTCTCTAGTCATGTCGTCACTAACAAATCCGGAGAGAAGACTTGAATGAGAGAGATTGCATTGCGGATTTTTTTTGGAGTCATGGCATGAGCAGCACATTCAATACCTTTAGCATACATGCAGTAAATTTTCTTCCTTATAAAATTTAAAGTTCTTTTTTAAGTAAGCCACGGCTTGTGGCATTCAAATCCTTCAAGTCACAGCACCTGTCGTCTTCATTCCACAAGTAATCAAAAACTTCAGCTTCAATTGACTGTTGTTACCATTTGGTTTGGTAACGAAGAACGACCCCATCGTGATGAGACGCTTAAGAGTGTGGCACTTCACGTTTGGTTTCTTCATTTTGACAAAAACTTTCATCAACTTACATGGAAGCTCGTTGACATATCTGACAGTCTGAGCCGCTTTAGCCGAGAGCCGTTTAGTGAATTTAAAGTTATATAACAACCAGACAGCAGCTACAGATCGTGTAAAGATTGGAGCAGCAACGTCATATGTGCAGGAGTCAGCAAAAGCAGTAGCAACGTAACTACTCTCTTGATCGGCAGCGACCGGCAGTTGCAGTGAAGTATTTAACTAAAAATGACTAACACCCCTGCCCGGCTGTTTGACAAACGAAATACTAATACTTCTAGTGGCTTTCCCTATCTATGCGGACTTGCATTTTGAATTGCCCGCGGGGGAAGCTCTTTGATATTAGCTATTTATTTTACAACTACCTCAGGAGAAGCAGCTGACAGTTGATGGCACTTTGTAGTAGTTATCGCAACAGCAATATGAGGGAACGGGACATTCTTTTAATGCTGACGATGGTCCTCATCCAGGTAAGGCACCATTGAAATAATCACAGACATGTTTCAAATAACACCAGACCTTTTTTGTTGTGGCAGACGAGATTAAAGTTTATCATTCATTACAGGCATCAACATATCAATTCATTAATAATTCGGCATTCAGAACCGTTGGGAGCAAATATTCTTGTCATCATGGAAAGTCTCATTAGTAGCATTAATCTTACTAAAATGAAGAGTTACGTTGTTGAACTGATCGCCGTTACCGCACATAAGTTGAAGAAAAGCAGAATCAATTGAGAAACGTTTGAATTTGAACATGAGCAAGCGAGTTATATCCAACGGCAAAGAAAGCAAGGAGTGACCAACTTCGGCCGCATCCAAAAGTGCAACACGAGCAAAACAGTGGGTGGCAACTGATGTTCTTGTAGAGAATAGAGATGGTGACAACGAGTCGCTAGCCATCTGTCCTCTTTTGTGACAACAATAGCACGTCATTCTATTTTCATTGGCTTCTTTAATGATTTCTGCAAACCGAGACTAGCACTGTTGAAACTCAGGATCCAAGAAAAGAGTCATTGTAACGATGATTCGTCAAAGGGATTGCATCAGCAGATGTAATTCAGTGAGGAGCTCTAAATGTTGTAGGAGCCATTTCGGCGTAAGTTGCGTCGAAACAAAAGCGTGGTAGAAAAGGGCGGCAACTACGTCAGCATTGCAATCCTTAGAAATTTTATGATAGGATTCCTTAAAGTATTTATTGTAATATCTTTTATTGCATAATATATTTTGACACGGGTTAAAATATATCAACCTTGTTGTACTAAAGCCTGCCTAAACACCAATAAGAGCATATAGCTTCTTCATGTTCACTAGAACTGGTCGGCTTTACCACCACTTGCGTAGCACTTCTTCCAATAGAGCAAAAAATAAACTGCCAGTAAACAAACTATTGAAACTAAAACCCAAAAGCAATTCAACTCTTTTTAATCAACATCATTAGCAATGTAACCCTTTTTGAAAAGTGGCTTGAACAAATGGACCAATCTGAAGGCATTTGAGACGGAACAACAAAACACAAGTAATAAAGTTTGCATCGTCCATTAGTTTCTTTGATTCTTGCCAGCTATCATTCCCAATATCCCCCTTATAGCGCAGTAGGGAATCCTTGATGCTCTATTGCAATAAAACCCTATGTAAAAAAATGAAACGTAGAAGAGGTCGCGAGGTTCTCTTATAGCAAACCCGCTCACATCGCATAGCACTACAGCGCCCGAACGGTGTTACACCTCCATGGAACAAATTTAAAGAAGCGGGAGCCTGACAACCACCTTCGCACTTAGCTATTTGTGCACCTAGAATGTAACCTTTCTTTAACTTATCAAGTTAATTGTTTCTGTATTTATCGAATCACACTATAAATAACAGTTTTTGAGGAGATGAGAAAATAATTCCAAAATCCGTTAAATAATTCACTATAGAATTATCTTTCGGAATGGTTCCTGCTGCATAGATTACAACAATTCGTCGATTCTGAAGTTCTACCACTCCTTTTTGAAGCAATTGATGGTCCTATCAAGGAATAACTAGTTTTACTGTCTTGATTTATTTAATTCCAGTTGAATAAATTTTTTTTAAACTAGATTTATGCATCATAAAGTTATTCTATTTGAACACTTGATCCCCCTTTAATTTGGTTTTAAATAATTTCATGTTGACAATTCAATTTGATTAAATTTCAGTGAAAGTAATTCACTTATGATTTTTATCCATCTCATAATTTAATTTGATTTTCTTCATATATCACATATTCAGAGATGAGGTTTTCTATTCCAGAGATTGCACTTTTTGCAAGCCATATATGTTGCTTTTATCGTCCTTTTGATTGTTCTCTGATAAAGAAGTGGAGGAATTACTTAAACATTTCCAATAGGGTTTAAAATTATTGAAAGGTATTTAATATAAATACGTTCCATAAACAAAAATTGAAATACTTTATATATTTCATTATATCAACTAACTAACTAATAAAATACTTTCAAATATGTAATCCCAATTTTCACCACATTTCAAGTAATTATGTTCCACAATTTTTGAATTTCCTCTTTATCTCGGCATTGCCCAGAAAGGTTTGAAATGATAATTTAGATAATTCAAACCATCAGGAACAGCACGTTGGAGTTGGTGATGAATAGCCATTGACTTAAAAGAGGAATCCCAATCGAATCACCAATTAAGTTGATACTAATGACATCAACTTAACGGAATTTATTGCTTTTAAGGATGCTAATGCAACTCCAACAAAATGTGCTCCAACTTTTGATGCATTCATAAAAGTGGCTTTGAATGAAAAATAATTAACAGCTATAATCAAGACAAAGTTGTTGAAATGTTCATTAAAATGAATCAGAAAAATTAGAGAAAAAGAAATTTTGAAAATGATAAACACTTTGCAACCTCATTATATGTATGAGTTACTGCGTTAAAGGATAGACAATTGAAAACAAAATATATTATAGTTCCAGCTGAAAGTTCAGTGTTTTGATCTATTGATCCTGATGCAGCTATTCCTAAGTTTAAAAGCAGTGACGTCGCAAAATATAAACGAATCAAGGATTTGGTTGAATGCGTTCGATCTTGCAAAAGGTTTTGGATGTTTGTCAGCTAACGACATTTTCAGACACATCAACAAATGAAAACAACATGTATGGTTAACAGATTCTTGAGAGTCAATTGAACTGAGCGATTTTTTTGCAGAAGGAATTACTATCTTGGAAACATCAAAAGCTGAAAAATAAGATTAATTACATTCAAATTTTTCACCAGAGAAACACCTTTGCCTTGATCGAATTACCATGATTGGAAGAAAATCAATGTTTTCAACTTGTATTCACTTGGACGTGAACCAGCAATATTATTATCAAATCTTGGACTACATTATCGTCCATTATTTAACCACTTTTATTTCAAGATAATTTAATTTTGGATTTATGCCTTTTCTATTTTTTGTATCATATATTCTATAATTCGATTTATAAATTTTCTATTCTCTGCTGAAGTTACTGCATTTTTACATTACATCTTTATATTATTCAGGTTAAACTTATTCTTTTGACGGTTTTTAAGAGCTTATGAATGAAAATGCGCTTTTGTCTAATCCTTCAAATTCTACAGTTGATTGTCTTGTTCTTGGGACTTTGCGATGTCCATTGATTATCGATCCTCTCATTAACCATTACGTTTTATTTCTGATATAAAAGCACAGATCATTGTTTATTATTTAAAATAGTTTTAAGATTATGAAATGTTAAATAATAACAGTAAATCATTAGAAACACGATACAAATACACTATTCATCTAGTTATATTAATCAATTTTGATATTAGTACCTTTTTTTATAAAAGATAATCAATTAACGGAATTCAAGTACTCTGTATTTGCTTCTCAATAATAATTTCAAAAAACAATTTTGGAGATACTAAGTCATTCTTTTCAAAGTAAGTCATCAGTATTGGTTTGTTTTTCAGAATATCATCTGTTGTTTCACAGTAAACTAAGTATCATCATCAGAAATGGATATTACTCAACTTGAATTGTGGAACAGTCATGGATAACGGAAACATTGACCGGATTGGTTGCCTGCTTTAAAAACATTTTTAATTGGTTGTAAGCAGTTGTGGTGTTTTTCAAGCAGCACACTCATTAGTTAGTGTTCAAAAATTTTTTTTTGCTGGAGACGCTTTGGAGGAGGATGAAGAGTAACCTCATACCCTATTGGTCAGCTGAAAAAAGCAATCTTTGCATTTATTTGGCAGCAATTGTAACAGTTCATGGCGGCTGATCAATGCAATATTTCTAACCTATGATATTTCATAACTGGAGTGCATTCCTCAGGAGAGTAACGGCCAAACTCACGAGAAAGTCGTTTATCGTCAAATCTTGCGTGAAACAGTTCAGGGCCATTAGTTTCATGTTTATCATTGAACACCCTTTTTTTGTGGTTGATCTGCTTTTAACTGCCGTTGGTAGAACAAAAGAATAACATACAGTTTCTTTAATTATATTACACTAATGTTCTATAGCAGATAACCTTTTAAATACATTTGTGGGATTGCCAAATCATCAAAGAAAATGTAAAACTGAAATATTTTGATTTTGAAGCTTGCAGATGAGCTTCATCACCAGAGAATTCAACCATATTCCTGTTGCCACTTCTTCCTTTATCTGTCTCATCAGCTGCCAAATCGACTGTTGCCCGATCTTCCACTTTTTCACATCTGGTGATAAAATCAATTGTATCAAGTCATTTTCAATTTCAACTTCAACGAGATTCATTTTGTTGGATGGATGTTGATTCTTAATAAACTGGACTATTCTACGAGGTTTACAAATTGTCATAGAGGTTTTTGTTTCGTCATGGATTTGTTATCACCATCTTATAGTTTGTCAGGAAGCAAACATTTTCTTGATTTTGAATCAACTATCGGATTACTATATAGCTCATTAGCCATATCCTGATCATTAGGAGCAGCAACTGAGTGTGATTTGTTGTTCTCTGTTGTAATATGGGAACTTGTAATATCTTTTATTGAAGGTCATTCATTAGAATATTCTTTGTTTGAATAATACTGTTGGAGGATCAGTTGGGTGGTTGATGCTCAACCGAATTACGATAAATTATTCCACAAATAATCAAAGTTTCATTGATGCTGCATAGAGCTCCAATGAGTTCAACTGGATTTGAAATATCTGATTTGAATAGATGAATTTGATTTATTGATCGAAATGACTTTCTTCTGAAAAATTTTTTCTAGTTATTGCCCACAGCAAATGCAGTCCAGTCCAATAACTTAAAACTGGGAAATGTAGTGTTGATGTCTTTTCCAAAAGTAATAAGTCTGACACTATGATTAAAAGCAAACATTGGAGCGTCAAAAGAACCATCATCTTTTATTTGTTGCGGGTTCGGTAATCATTTTCGATGTAGATTAGTAATTACTATTTACTAGAATATGATTGAGCAAAGAAATCTATTGTGTAAATAAAAAAGTACGTTCCTAACTAGGAACATTGTAGTGGGTCTTATTTGTTCCATTTTGATTCCATTTGATTGCTTGACTTTATAGTATTTGTATTTCGGATGGACGAATTAAGTGCAGTAACCAGTCGGAAGTACTCGGTTTTCGTCCAGGATTCCTTAGTCAACCTTTTGATGTTTTGTTAATCGGTTTTGATAGCAGTAGCTGATTTGCTAGATAGACACTCTACCCTTTCCCAAATCAATAATGATTCGATTGAGATCTCCGTCGCCGGTCACCACACCTGAACAATTGGCGAACAATAAAATTACATATGAGATGCGTCACAATTACTCCATAATCACTTTTGTTTAGACTAACCAAAGTAGCACAATATTAATCCTCATTGATTGCTTTCTATGGGTGGTGAAATGCTTACAGTTTTCTTTTGCTTAAAGCAGATACACTTTAATCACATCTTTTTGATGCATTTCTAATATTGGTAGCACTGTATTCATTCTTAGGTTTTGTATTCCTTTGATTGAAAAAGCAGCAGCGATGTGTCATCTGACATTGTAGGAAATCACATTCAATTTTCAGAACAAAATCATTTTTTATTATCTTTGAACAGGAAAGCCATATTCTATGAATTCTCTCCCACTTAGCAATGATCTCATCAAGCTCTTCGTTTGAAAGTGTTTTTCCTGCGATGTGAGCTTTGTAACTATTTTCAACTAGATTAAGCACACTAACTATATTTAATTGTGGGTTTGGAATGACCTTGAGTTCAGATAATTTTAAACAACCAACAATATCAATGATCTTTGTTGCCCAAATACTGTTCCAACTGACTTTTTGGATTGATATGTTGGCCTAGTTCAGATCATTAACTAGGTCAACGGTGATTTCAACATAGGTTGTCGCGGGTGAATCAACATCACCTTGAAAATAAGACTAATCTTTATTTTATTTAATGTGCTCAGAGTTAAATATAGGCCTATTGTAGTAACATCTTAGATGTCATCAGTACAATCAATGGGATGGAACTGTTCGTGGCATGGAATGTTTTTTGGTTCCATGCTATTTCCGTTCTAGCGACCACACCACCACAATTCAACTACTTAACTTCGGTTCACTTACTATTTTTTTCTTCAAAGTGGATGGTCAGTTGATTTGATGCAAATGATCGTTTTAACACTCCTTCTTGTTTAAATTCGTTACTGACACTGACAATCTCGTTGATTCGTAAAAAAACCATTCGCTCTCTGACGTTCAATTACTTGCAGCAAAATCATCTCTTTGGAGATACCTTACAATCTTTTTACTGTGTAAAAGAAAACAACAGCTAAAGGACCGATAGATCGCAATACTACATAATGCGCTGATACTAAGTAAATTGACTTTTTGAATTATTTGGAGTTCAATTAAAGGATCCAATACATTGATTTATTACTTAAAAGGGGTATTCAATTCAATAATAGCCGCATTCACAATCTGTTGGTTGTTATCACTGAGGATTTAAATTCTATTGTTGTCATCTTAATTTTTATCTGGTTTTGATTGTAAAAAAACGATATTTGATTCTGCTGAAATACCACTATGTCTTTTCCAAGTTACAGTGCTTTCGCCGCTAGCAATGAGTTTTCTACGATTATTCTTTTAATTATCAACCTATATTTTAATTCTTTTGGTCAACCAACAAGTAACAACCCGCCCTTGAGCACCAGTCCCCAACTTTTCAATTATTATTCATTAAATAGACAGAACTGTTTTCCTTCATACATTGGGGCCACTGACAACTTTAAGCGATATAAGCACATTGTGGAAGATTTTGGATGGAAATCTGTTGGAAAATGCAATTGCAATATCAAACGATATTTCAAAATTGAGTAATAAAATTTGATCTATAATTTATTTGTAACTAATTTAAGTTAATATACTTCTATTATATAACGTTCGGAATAAATGAAAACCATTTAGAAAAGTATAAAAAATTATCTGGTCCAAGTATCACAGAGAACTACTAAAGTGGAATGAATGCGTTAATGCAGATTGTAAAAAGTAAATTATCAACGATCAGAAAAGCCATCATAGAGTATGTGAGATTCAAATTGCGGAACTACTTCAATGATGAGGTTAAAAGATTGTATTGCCGGATTACATTGAGCAGTACGTGAAGTGAGGGACCTGGCTGTATCCATTGAGCCCTGCAATGACACTCACCGGTCCGCTCCCCAGTCGCTCATTGATTAAACGCAGTTTCCTATTAAAGGAGCCGGAGATCTTCTCTCCGTTATTCTTTCTTCAATACTTTCTTTTCATGATATTTTATCTTGGATATGCTAGAGGATCTTATCAAGAAAATTCCAAATGTTCGCAGGCAAAAATCAAAGAAACAAATTGATGGTGCTAATTCACTATTTGGTCTTCGGTGCTGAATCTCAAAGCCCATTATTCTGGTCCGATGGCTCAAGCATTTATCAAAGAAATTATTATTTTTGCTGATGATGTTCATTCAGACATAGATAAGGTTGCTCTGGAATCCATTTGACATACGATGGGAACTGCCGGATTAGGTCCTGCTGTTTTGGAAAAGTTGCCATTGAATAGCTGGTAGCAGTCCAGTATGGCTTAACATCAAAAATCAGTACACCACTATTAGCATTGAAGCTTTTTTTACTATGGCCAGGACTTTATCTTAAGCTACATTGAAAAATACAGCCTTCAATAAGATGCATTAAAACTATTTCATTAACGTAATCTACTACATATGTATCAGGGTCAAACATCGCTGAACAAGATGCTGCAATTTATTACGCTGCTTCGGTTTCCGACACCTTTTACGCTAAACGGGCTCTCACTCCATTTACAGCCACTGACAGAATTATATCTACTGATTCAAATGATTTGGCAAGTCATTCTGCAGATGATCCATCAGAGAATAGCTCATATTCAAAAGCGTTTGCTTCTGTTGGTAAAAACCATCAAGAACCCAAAACAAAAAGAAATGACATGCTACCTTTGTCACAAAAATGGACATACGGCTAGTCTGTGCTTGGGCACCGCGGCCAGCTACTCCTTGACCATAAACGCTGCCCAATGATTCTGCGGCTGTAGATGTTATGAGTGCCCCTAAAGTTCAATAATCGGTGCTTTCCTTGACGTTGAAATATTTGGCAACCGGCTGCTGTACTGCAAAGTGTTCCACATTCGATCTAGACCTTCTCACAACATTTGCCCTATCACTGATTTGCTCACCGGCTTAACTCCACTTTCCAGTCAAATTGCTGGTACCGGAGAGTCTTTTGTGGATGTTAAAGGCATTGGTACTGCGATTCATCTGCAAGGCAGATTATTGGAGAGTGATGTTTAACTACTGAGTGATGCAGTCGTAGCTTGACTCACAGCCGCCCAAAAAAGCTGGTCTGGCCTTCATTTATACATAATTAGGTTCAGTTCACGGTCGAATCGGTCTAGAAGCAGCAGCATCGGCATTCTATGAGTGACTTGTTCCGCAATCAGCTGTTTCCTTAATCTCTAGAAGTTTTCATCTAGGTTTCCGACATCCAGGTGGGAGAATCGCAACAAATGGAACCATGATTTATTTCATATCTGCCGCTGCCACATCAATCCCTCAACAATAATTCAAAAAAACTTCTGATATTTATTAATAAGTCGTGCACAGCACCGACCACAACTGCTCCAACTCTTCTTTAGGTTCAAAATGTGGGACAACGCCAGTCGTTGCTGTTGTTGAAAGTCGTTTGTCTCTGACCATTGCTGATGATTTCTCTGAAAATGATGTTGCTGTTCTGATTGCTAAAGGATCGTTTCCTTTTGCAAGGAGGGCTCATTTTATTGAACTACGCAACGGATGCTTTACAAATAAGGGTAATGTATCAGATGTAATAAAGAGCTCGCTTCTAAGCTGCTTAAATTGTCTTGCCAACGAGAAGGAATAGAATATCATATGTCAGGTCTTCATGAGCCACATCAAAATCAATTTGTGGAAGGTGGGAAAGGAGCATTGATGACGATGGCCAGCACAATGTCAACTGAGGCTGCTGTTCAAAGTTACAGGCTGAATAGACCTGTGAAGTGCTGTGTCGTTTCTTCTTTTTCATTGCCACAAAACATGCGGTAATTTTCATAACGTCTTTTGAATTGTTGGATGGAACAATATCATCTGCTGCTATTTTGAAGCGGTTTGAATGTAGGACTTATGCCTTGAACCCCAACAGATTGAGGCAAATCAAGTCTGCTCATTCAAATCGCGTCTGTGCTCTTCTTGGCTACGACATGAGTAGAAAGACCGACAGCGTCTACAATCCTGGTAGCAGCTCTAATGCTCACAGCTTCTCGTATCTGTTTGATGAGACAATATTTCATTTTGAAAATGTATAATTTGTTGCTATTAAACGCAAAAATCCGTTGGTTGTTAATGGTAGAGTTATTGCTGTTGGTTGAGAAGAACAAAATTTTTCCAAGGCGATCCACGACAAAACTATCAGAACTGCAACTTTCGCTGATGATACATCAAAAGATACCTTCAATATTAATGATGAATATATTGACAGCAGCTCACATCACCATTACAAGGAAGGTGTTGATGACAATGAATTGAATTTAAAAAGATCTGTTGCATTCACCGATGAGACTAAGCAAGATGCGCATCCTTTCACTAGCGTTGAATCCGCCCTACAGACAAATAATGGAATTAGAAGAGTTCGTGAAGGAATTGTCCATGATATTGCAAAAGTGCTTAAATAGTTCGAAAATGCTTTTAGAAGTACCATCAGACCGTGATTCTCTTCGAGATATTTAGCAACTGCTATTTTTGGGGTTGCTGTTGCTACGCCTACTTTTTCAAACACAATCTAAAAAGTTGTTGAGAACAAGAGCTTCAGGCAATACATGCTACTAATGACTACATTTTGGTTGATCCTCAATCCGGAAAAAGCCTGTTAGCAGTTGTTGGGAGGTTACGAAGAAATCAGCACCTAATACTGATTTGGTAAAGCCAGACCAGTGGCCCATAGTGATTATCAGTTTGAAAACATTGATTTTTTTAAAGCATTTCATGCAGTAATTAGGAATAATTCTGTTGAAAATATTGTTGCGGTTCCACCATCAAAGTCACTTAAAGATTATCACCTGGATGTGGAAACTGCATTCCGTTATTTTTATTTGGACTTTGCGAATAACTTGAAACAGCCTGCTGCATTTGCTAAGGCCCAGTATGCTTTGAAAGTCTGCAACTTACTCAAATCAATTTAAGGCCCCAATGAATTTGTTCTTAATGGACAACATGAAGCTTAGAGCTCTCCAACCGTTTGGTTCTCGATATGGTCCGCTCAGCTTGGCGTGATTTATGTTTCAACAAACAATCGGTACTGCGGGCTTCAATTATATGATGATCGTTTTATTATTGCGAGGTCATCAGGCGCAATGGATCATTTGCCATATCTGATAACAGCTTATTGTTAAAGATAAAGGTCTTAAAGCAATTCTGCGTCGTTCTCTTGCGCATCATCTTGCTGAAAAAAATGATGAAATTTGGAAGGGAAGCAGACCTTCATGAGAATGACTGTTCAACCGTTTAAAATTGATGAGTCTCTTTTTTATCCAACACAATCGATGACTTACCAATACAATGTGGTTCTTGAATCAAATGGCTTTCAGTTAGTTAATGAGAATCATCCACGGTCTAGACCTATTATTGGATCGTTGGTTTCTGCCGCCAATAGATTGCGGTACGATAATGCTATAGCGGGTCAGCTACTCAGTCGATAGCATGGTGCCTCTTGCGAGATCAATCTATGTTCTGCAAACAGCGTTTTTAGATACCTAACTTCTAACCCATTAACTATCCATTGGAACAGGTCTTCCTCGATTAAGTCAGTTATATATACTGACAGTGTTTGAGCGGAGGTCCTTCCGATAGAAAGTCAGTTGTTGGATATATGCACTTCATTAATCAAGCGCCAGTTACGTGGAGCGTCACAGGGATGTCAGCAGTTGCATTGCTGATCAAAAAGGAGAGTTCAGTTTAGACACTGTCAGAGTCAAATATGGAGTCCTTTCAATGTAGCTTTAGACAATCATTGGTATAGAAATTAGAATGTTAATAATTTTCTGCCATTACAACAGTGAAATGACTTGACTATCTGTCGCACCAATCACAGAAGCACCAACCTTATTTCAATCAATTATCTTTTTCTAAAAAGGTTGTGCAGTGATGCTTTAACCCTTGAAAAGTAGAAAATAAAGGAAATGTTGATTTTATGTTGAATGCAGCGCTAACCCGTTCAGCGATCTAGAATCAGACCAAATTCTTTGAATAGTTGAGCTGTTATTAGCATTGCTTCTGTTAATTACGTCCTTTTCGATCTTCGCTGTTGCAGCGAATCCAAGAACGTATATCAAGGCAATCAAGTAGATACGACAGAAAAAGGTAGAAGAGATCGGCAGGCCCAGCAGTCAGGTACTGGCTTGGATCACAGAGCAACACGGAAAAAAACTGGTGAATGATCCACATGAACAGAAAGAAGACATCGCGGTGGCTCACCTTAATATAGTAAGGTAAAGAAGAATAATGTTTTAGCGAATCAATCAAAATATATTAAGGTAATGATTTATGTGAAAAAGATGAAGGCAGAAACCATCAAGAACCTCTTTTTGTAGAGAACTCGATTTGATCTCAGCCGTCACGGCAGCAGACCAATCACAGACGGCAAGGAACCGAATGTGGAAATCCGGGACGCTTACAACAGCCTCCCTTAACTCAGTAATCAGACCTCAGTCGATCCGGACATTGTAGTCGAACATTCTAAAAATTGTGAAAACGATCGTTCCCGGTTCCCGAGCGGCTACCGGGTGTGTGGTCCAAACAAGGCATTGAGCGACTTGCTCACCGGGCAGTGGAGTGGGGTCCACTTAGAAGCATGGATTTTCAAAAGACATCATCTTGGACTAAGAAGAAGAGCTGCTGTTGTATTACTGCCAAGTCGGGTGCAGTAGGAAAGTTCCTGTGATTCGTTCAGTAATGAGCCAGAGAGAGTTCTTTGGTTTGTGCGTCAAGACACTTACGCGGCCCGGTCGTTGGTACATCTGTTGGTGAACACTCATTTCTCTAAACCATTGATCCGGCCAGAAGAATGGACTCCTATATAAAATGAGACGCTAAACGAAAATAAAAGACAAAGAGAATCCAAAATTAGCATATGAAAAGCGGAAGCAACAATTTCCAAATACCAACTTGAACCTTTTGAAAATGAAAAGGAAATCCATTAACACAATCAACAAGCAACCGTTCTAGATTGAAAGTTGCAATTGTCTCACAATCAAGTATGAAATAATGTTTTAGCGGAATCAACTGAATATCATACAAACAATGACTATCAGATTAAATCGAAGCGGCGTGAGCATCAAAACCAAAACTAACACAAATTCAATCATTGCACCAATCAATTAGAATAATTAATCGCACCAGCGCTTTGCGCCGTAGTCCACATATCGCCATCATTATTTTTTGTTTCAACCTTTGCAAGTGAATACGCAACGTTGCACAACCCTGTTATAAAGTGATACATCATTGAATTATGCTTGGACAATCTGTGATTGCAGGGATGGTTATCCACCAGCATGGCATAGTGGTTATCACAATAAAAAATAGATTTATGAACATTTCTATTAATGCATTTGAGCAAGTGCATTAGGAGCAAGGCGTCATTGACTGCTTCACTGAGTCAAGTGCATTCAGCAACGGATGTCAACAAGGCCACTGAAGACAGCTTTTGGAGTTCCAAGACACTGCCTTTGATTATTGAGGTACATATAAACACCAACTGATTATCAATTATCAACATCTTCAACCAAATCATTGTCAAAGAATTCCACTAAGTCAATTGACGAAGCAGCTTAGTAATGAAAAGTATCTGGGTTTGAGATCATATATTGTAACACTTTTTTGTCACGTCTTAAAAGAATTCTGCTTAGTGCACCAACATATCCACGGAGTAACCCAGCAGCAAAGACAATATCATGCCATATCCTATTTGCAGCAAAACTCAACGATCGATCAATTCATCCGCAAAGTGATGACTTGTCAGCATATAACTCAGAGCCATCGGTCTCTTGTAGCACCTCCTGTTGGGTAATCATCATAGGTGGAGTCAGTTTCTGAGACTCATGAGATATAAACTGTAAAACCATTTTTGTGACGTAGGGCTCGTGAAATAGAGGAATTCAATTTTTAATTTAATCATCATCAATTTCAACAAAACAAACCAGTGGTACTCCAAAATCAATCATAATGATCATTCAACTGAGATACAAATGAACCAGCCGGGCAATAAAAAATGAAAATCAGGCCAGAAATATTAAGGCCCCCAAATAATTCAAGCATGCAGCGGTGTGACATCTTTGAACGGTAAATCACATCATCTTCAAGTGAAGAACTGTGAACCTTAAAAGATACAGTGCATTATGCATGTTCCTACCATCAAGAAAAAGATTGAATGAGTCTATTGATTGGCTGATGAGACTCCCCAACATTCAGTGAATACTTGGCATTAGCAAATCCAGGTGGTTATCACATGTAAAGTTCCTCGTCGATATCATCCGCGAACGAATGCAGATGCTTTATCCATTCGACGGTCCTTGAATTACTTTGATGCTGCAACGGCAGAAAGAGCACCAGTACATTATTACTTGATTACGGGACTGAATGCTTAGTATCATCAATACCTTCAAGCGGTGAAAAACCTTGTGAGACTTGTGTTGCTTTAGCAAAAACACCGGCTGGTGCTGACTTCTTTCTTTATTGCTATCGGCAGCCAACAAAGCATTTTTCACAGTGAAGATCAGCCATCAGCAAAATATTGTTATCAACCACTCCCTGATGCTCTGATTGACAAGCCACAATGTCCATTGACGCTCATGATTTGCATTAACGGAAGTAGCTGCAATAAGAGCAGTAATGAAATATTTGAGAGAAGAGCGGTCTTTAATAGTATCTCTTCAATCTTTAATACCCCTTTTAAAAATTTTTTAAATGTAAAAAATATTTGTGAACTATTTTATTTTGGCTACAGCAGGTGGGTCCTTATCAGATATAAGACCGATTTTACCATTAGTAACTCAAAAATAGTAATCAGAGAAAGCAGCAGATCTCTTTGAATTTAATTCATTGACCTTGACACCATCCTTTTCTCCATAAACTGTGCCAATGTCATTGTGATTAATATCCATTTTCGAGTTAACCTTTGTTATATCGTCCGAAGCCATTGCAGTTGTGTTATTTTTGTCATTGGCAGCAGTGGACCGATGTCTTCTTATACCACCTGTAGCTATCAGTAATTCTCTAACCAGTAAGTAGATTTGATTGCTAAGTGAATTTATTATATTGTCTCGACGATTGAATTGTGTTTGTTTGGGTTATTTTGTTCACGTCATTTTCTCCTTAACGGAATCCTATTGATTGTATACATTTATGTTGGTTATGCTACTGTAATCTTATACTTCTGTTTGACTGACAGTAGTAATATTATTTCTACAACGGTTACAATTTCATTGCGCCACTGGTTTTCGTTCTCAATAACAAAATGTTGAACTTGATATAGTAAAGAAGTTGCTTTTGAATTTGATTGGTTGACATTTTGACTTTCAATTCATCTACTCTTCTGTCACATTCAGTGTTATATAGGCGTTCATGATCTGTTGTGAGCCTCACGGATGTCCACTGTTGGTCCCTTAATGTCCGGCATTGGTCTGATTCTTCAACGCTCTGTCATCTGCAGCTGTCTTCCATAAGAAAGGCTGGGGATCTCATCTACAGTATTCATTCATTGATACTATTAATGTTGATCTTAAATTCTGGAATTGGCTACAACACGTTATGAGTCATTACACGACTGGTTGCTAGCAAAATTCACCGAAGCCATTCCATGCTGTTATCTTCACTGATTGGCCTTTCGATTTAAATCTTAAAGCGGATTACTTTGATCCGTTGGTTTAAGCATTTCTCAAAGAAAGGAATATTGTTGCTTACGATGTTGAATTAGACAAAGATAAAGGACATTTCGATTTAATATGCCATACGATTGCTACTGGAAGATTGGAATCTGATGTATTAAAAAAAGTGGTTTCAATAAGTGATATGTCCAACAAGTATTAGTAAACGTGCAAGGGGACTGGGGTGCTATTGGTTTTCAGGCAGCCAATACTGCGACTAGGTCACTTACTTCTGGTAAGTGGCAAAATCGAATATCTAATGAAAGGGATGATATTACAATCATTAATGAATTACATTGCAATGTTCCCAAAATCATCAATGCTGACCTAAGTGTCTCAATCATATATGCTGTTCGTGCATCGCACACTACTTAGCCCGAGTAGGGTTATATAGACTTTACCGACTGTCACCAAAACGAATATGTTGATGCAGAGGATTTCACTAACTATCCTGCTGATGTTGCGTTTCCTAGTAGCATAAGTTCAACCGTTAGGCTTTGTTGGTGACAGTCCAATCAACAGACCAAAGCAGAAAATAATGACATTTGATCGTAGTGCCTGAAAGCAACATTTGGCTAGTCAATGTCTGAGGCAACGGCCAGTTCTTTCTAGAACATCAGCTGTGGCAGATGCATCAGATGCTGTGGCAGTTCTGGATGCCCTCAAACGTCTCAAGCTCGTTGGTTCTTGGTCGTCGTACATTTCTGGCAAGCTCATGTACAATTCTAAACACTCTATTTTGATTGTCGTGGTTTTCAACATATTTAGGGTAACGCTGTTTAACTCAGCGACTTGACATCGTATTCAAGTCAGTTTGCTGCAATTGGTGTCACATTCGTTGATGTCAAAAGTATTCGTAATGGGACGGATTTGAATGGTGAATGAGTAGCGAATGCCCTTTATCATTTTCAAAATATGAGCTTAATTTCAGTGCGAGCCCTAGAAGAAAGGATGCCTGGGTCTCACTAATGGATGATTGTGTCGTTTCGAATGGTGGATTTACCAGGAAATCAGCAGCATCAAGATTAGATGAATGATTTGCTGCCGCATCAACTGTTGCGTTAATTTGCACAATGTGGCACAAACAAGAAGGTCATTCAAGTGAGAGCGTCGCAGGATATATAGACAAGACTGCTGGCGCATCCGCTGCCGGTGGATCAAAATCTGAGTTTTCCCGCAAAGAAAATGCGACACTTAATATTAATAAGTAATTTAGAGTACCGGCCACCAGCGTTTTTTCTTTTATTGTTGATGATATTGCGTTGTCAATGGCAGTTGTTGCTGCTGATGATAATTGCTACTTTTGCTGGTTGTTTAAAATTACTCAAAGTATGTGGTGGTTGCTCCAATAGCTCCCCGTTTAATAGCTGTTTCCTTTTTAGTAGTTTTCTTTAAAGTTTTTACACGACTATTGTATAAAGCAGTTTGTACAGTCCGATCTGAAAACAAGTTTTCATTCGACCTGTGCAACGATTGTTGGCAATTTGAAGAAATCAAACTGGAAATGTCTGTTCGTTATGAGTCTCATCAAAGTTAGGTCGGTGAACGATTGCAAAGAACAATGGTCACCAAAGCTAGCACAATGTTAACAGCAGCAAGTCTGTTTTAGTATTTAAGAAATGAAACAGTGATTTAGGCAGTGTCTTTCATGACTATGATTTTCACCGAGCATGGCGATTGGTTGACTGCTCATTTTGAGCGGTGTTATGAATAAAATCATACCCTGCTAAGTAGAAGCTGATTGACTGTGCTGCTTACGCCATAATCCCTCAGCAAATCCGCCAGACCAAGAAGGGTGATAGAGGCGTCATGAGTGCCTTTGTTGCCTACAACATCAGTAGAAGACCCTACAGCTTGTACAATCCGCATAACACATGCCCCGATCTCAGTTTTTCCTGCCCTTTGAATGACGCCGCGTTGGTATATAAAAATAAATCATTTGCTACGATTAACAGCAAAATTCCTTCTGCCGTTGGACTTTGATGAATTGCTAATCGTGTTATGCAAACCAGGTATGCACTGCTATCAATTACAAACATTTCACAACTTTAATTCTTTCAGACGACGCATCAAATAATATCCCTAATCATGATATCAAACATATCGATGTCAGCTCAGCTGATGTAGACAAAGATGTTGTCGATCACAATGAATTTGATTGAAAAAAATCTGAACGGTCCATTGACCTTAATAGTCAAGTTGCTCATGCATAGCTGGGTGGCAAATCTCGTAAGAAGCAACATGCTGCAGCCAAACGAGTCGAACAAGAAAATTATGATCACATTGGGTATGTACTGAAATGGATTACAAATGATTCAAGAAATTCCATTTTAAACCGGTCTCTTCTGACATATTTGGCTGGTGGGCCTATTGCGGCAGCTACTCCCAGCCAAAATCTTGCGGACTCAATCTCCAAAGTTAGTGGGCAATCAGAGCTCCTGCCAATCCTTGAGAACACTACTTGTTTGCCTGTTAAACTTTCCTCCTTGAAAAAGACCTATCGGCTCCTGTTACTAATTTAGGATGATCTTATAATCATCTGGTGACGCCGCAGCAACCAGACTAGTTGATCAAAAAATTCTTGGTGCTTGAAAGTATTACCATTCAGAAGCATTTAATCATGTTATTAGGTGTGAGAGCGCAAATATCCTCCTTGCTGTTGCAGCATCAAAGTCATTTGAGTTCACTAAATGGGTGTCACAACTGCCTTTCACCATGGTGATTGCGACTCTCAAGTTAACCTCAGTCAACAACCTGCATTTTGAAATGCGCAGTATCGTCTGAACGTACCGAAGTTACTCAAGCCAATCAAAAGAAACGAACAAACTTCTTCTAGTCAGTGCAATAAAATGCTTAATGCTCTCCAATTGTTTGTGCTCCACATAATATTTGCTCCGCATGGGCCATTTATGGTTTGTTGAGCATTCCCCTCCGGATGGTTGGTTTATTTGTCGATGACTCTATTATTGCTGGATCATCAGTTGCAACAGTCAAAGTAGCCAAATCATAACTCTGTTCGTTATTCAAAATGAAGAATCTTGCATTGATTTTGAGTGGTTTTCTTAAGCTTGATCTGGTTAAAAATAACAACGGAACTTTGGAATCAATAGAAGGTTCTCCGACAATAATAGCTCAACAGATTTAAAAGGATGACTCTCATTCGCAGGCTTCACTCAAGCAGAATAACTCGCACAAGCTGCTCCTTGAAGCAAATAGCATTGAACCGGATGTTGAAGATTTTCTATTTGACAGATCAATCGCTGATTCGATAGACTTTGCGACAAATAGTTTACGGTCCGACGTTGCGTCTGTCTTAGAGATACTAAGTCGAGCTCCTGGGCAACATTAAACGATCCATTTAATCTGTGTAAATTTGTGACTAGATATTAATAATCATTCCCATTAACTGTTCACTAGAAAACTGCTTCTCTGTTGAGTTAATGGCATGCTATGGCTGTGATTGGGCCGCAGCAATTGGTGATTGGAAATCTTTGGATATCATGTGCTCCTTACCAATCAAAAGACAGTCATTGGCAGCTGTAGAAGCAGGCTACAGTGCCTCTCCTGACTTCTGTAACCAAGACTGCTTCACTCACTGCCCCTGTTAACGAAGCCGTGTTCATAATTCAGGTTTTCAAATGCATAGATACTGGTGTTGATAATCCGATTATGTAATGTAATAACAGTTATGTTATCAATTTGGCACACCATACCAGTAAACACAGATCCTTCAAGCATTTTTCAATCAGGTATCACTTTATAAGAAGCTTGAGCGATGCTGCTTTTACTTTCCAAGAACTGATACGCAAAGTAATGTTTGTGATACATTGCCCAACGCGGCAAACGCTCCATGGTTCAAATCTCTGAAACAAGTGCTTCAATCGTTGAAATATGGTTAATCAATCTTATGTTCTTTACGAAGGTTTGAGTATATTTGATTTCTATTGTTTCTTTCATTTCTTATTTGTTATGTTATATTAATCCTATACATTCCCTTGACTGACTGTAGCTAAATGAATTTACAGCGGTAACAACTTGAGTGAATCGTTGGTTGTTTATTTCATTCCCACAATGTTGATGATGCCAATTAAAAACAATTTCTTGTGCGTTTCATTATTTGAAGTACTTATTTATTTATTGCTGCATGGCGGGATCGTATATACGAGACCAAAATTGTAGCAAAAACAGTGGTTAAGAGAAATCGGTGTTCGGGAACGTACGAACTTGGCGGAACTGCTTCGACAAACAAAAGAATGAGAATCCTCGTTCCTGACTGTTTGAAATGCTGAAAAATCCTTCCTAGTGCAGCGCACATCCCAGTTCCATTGAGCATCCCGTGTGGCTACACTCGGGTCCTCGAAATCTGTCACCGGTCTGCTCCCGTGTTGCTGTGTGAACTAATCCAGTTCTATATATAGTTCTTTGAAAACCAAACAAGTGGAGTAACCTAACCATTTTCATTAACCAGTAAATAGGAAAATGTTTGCTTCTAAAAATTGATTTGAAGACCTTCTAATCTTTCACAGGATACTGAGCACCAACCTATCAAAAAGTTTGTTCCATGTAAATTTAGAGGTCAGTGCGACTATGATCCAACGGAGTTGTCACTTCCATTTTCTGACCCTTGAATGGCTTTGACGCTCCACAGCAAAAAGAGTTCAGCACTTTCATACCTAATTACTGAAATCATTTGTTAACTACGATCAATAACCTCTAGCTGCCAAATTCTTTGAGTAAGTGGTCTGGATGGAGTGGAATCACTAATTGATGCTGATTTTATTGTGAACACCCAACGACAGCCAACGAGCTTTTTACCAGAGCAAGGATCAAACACAAAAAACCTATTGCTCCCAATCATTGGGTCATGCTCACGTTGACAAACAAATTTGAAGATTAGGTTTGCCGAATGTGGGCTAACAGTAGTAGCGGGAATAAAAGAAGCAGCCAGATATGTCATAGGAGACCTGCCATTAATGGTGTCTCCCGAGTCACTTCGGAGCCATTTCAGCAGTTTTTGAACCTCATGAAGATCTTCTTGAGGAAATCGGTTGGTTCCTGCTAGCGGCCTCTTCTGCAGGTATTCATCAACGTTTGCCTAAGAAACTTGATCATTATTATCAAAGGAAGAAACAGCTCCTTTCGAAACTCATTTGTTGTGCTCGATCCAATCTGCTTTGCTATCTTTTAACCTGATTTCATTAGGATCAACAAGCTTTTTCAAGTTAGCCGTTGATATGTTGTGGGAACCCATTGCCGGGGTGATACCTTTTTCATGGATAGCAGCAGACTCGTTATTTTCCATAACAGCATCGGAATTTATTGTAACTCCAATAGCAGCTTAAATTCATTGTTTAATTGCAGCAAATGGTAGATTTTAAAAATAAAATCTGCTTCATCAAAGCAAGCAGAAGAACTGACATCATCAAAGCTGTTATTAAGTGAGTGCAGTCAGTATGCCTTTCCACTCAAGTCGCAACCAACAGAACCCAAGATAACAACTGTATCATCATACTTGGTGTGCTTCATTTATTTCGGAATCACGGCATTAGCACCTCGACCAAACCGCTTTAGCATCGCAGCAGTGGATAATTGTCTGAGAAATGTTTCAGATAGGGTAGTCAGCCGATGCTTTTGTCTGCTAATAATCAAACTCAACAAAGTCAGCGCACTGATCACAGCTTCATTCCACAACTAATCAAGAACACCAGTTTCAATTAAGATTGTTCTGGCTTTCGTCACAACTCCATTTGTTCACGATTCTTTTTTGCCAACGGTCATGACGCGATATTAATGTGAATGATAAGCAACTGACATTGGTTGATTGATTCTTTCCTATTGACAGAAATTCTTCAACGAGCTAAATGCAAACTAGATAACAGATTCGTCAGTATCAATCGCCTTATCCAATAATTGTTGAATCAATTGAATATGAAATACCAACCTGGCTAAAGCTAATGATCGAGTAGCAATTGGAGCCACAACATCATTTCTTGACTTATCATTAATAATGGTCAGAAATTCACGACTTTCATCTAGAGCCTCAACTGGCATTGGCCCAACGGCCTCAACAAGAAGAATACCCAAACCAGCGCTGCCTGTGTTGCACACCACCAACTAGTAATTTTGGTCTAGTTTTGTTGTGGAAAAACTCATATGTTGAACAGCCAGCGGCAGAGAAGTCATTGAATTTGGTTATATCCGTTCCAACTGTCATTCTAGAAAGGTCCAACATGTCTTGTCTAATTGTGGGAACTACCGCAACTACAGATAGAGCAACGAAACCTTCATATGGTCCTCTAAGTGGCCTCCTATCAGCTGATGCATTTTTGAAAAGACCAGTGTCACCTTTGAATAAAACCCTGGCTCCACTCTTTGCAGCAACAGACATTGAACCTAAATTCGCTGTTTGGATAGGTCAAAAGCCATCAATTAATAATTAACCAGTCAGAGGTATCAGCGTATCAATGCTTTTGACAACAACGATTGGGACCACAATACCAGCATTCTGACCTGAATCAGAAGCTAAATCACGGAACAAACCACCTTTTGCACAAATGCGTGACAATCACCAGACGCAAAATAGAACCAATTGGGTTTCAATATAGGCTTGCCACGTACATTCAACGACCAAGCAATGCGCGATCGGGAACCATGGGCAGCATCTAGAACAGCCAAAGCAGCAGAAATATCGGCTGGAACTTGTGAGCCAGCAGAAGCTGGGCTTGGGGCCTACACTCACTAGCCAAATCATCAATTTTGCAAAACGATAGAATGTGATTTCTTTCAATTGATGCTTTCCGAATAGTTCCATACTTGTAGAAAAGGACGCTGATGCGGCGGGGCTACCAGCAGACGCGTCATCACCATGATGATTGTGCAGATCCGTTGAATCAATAAATGTAATTTGGCATCAGTCTGATAAATGTGGATGATCCTTTTCAACGTAGGTGATGTCCGAAAACGAAGCAGCGCAAAGAATAGCGGCAATTTGATGAGCTTATTAGACCTAAAAAACATTCCAATGGAATTGATGAAAGAATCTATTGAAGTCCTTCTCATTGGAAAATGTATTTTGCCACTTACCAAATATATATCACCCAGCATTGTAGTAGCTGCTTCAACATCAAAGGAATCATGAAGCTGTTCCAACATTACTAATGCTTGACGGAAGTAGATCCCATTGTATCGTACGTTTCCAAATTCACCGAAATTTTTCTGCCAGCAATCAACGAAAAGCAAATAAAATCAAATACAACCTTAACAATGTCAAAAGCAACATCACCAACAAAAGGAACACTGTGTATGGTAGTGGTTAGCACAAACGATCCAGACTGAGCAGTTCTGCCATTCAAGACCGAACTCCAATAAGTGCAGTTGGCAACATCATTGGCTTCTCGGATCTTTGCCCGCAAATATTGGAAATCTTTCTGATAGCCTGTTGTAGCAAATCCATGATAATGAATTTAGGTAAAGATGATTATAAGAAAACCAATCGTAAAGTGGATCGCCAGTCCCCTCTGCAGTCCGTCCGCTTCCAATCGGTCTCTTGGTGAGTGTAACCGGTGTGCTCCGGTGTCGCTGTGTGATTCAACTCAATTATCTTTAGTCAGGGCTGCCGATCTTTTCTACGGACCTCTTTCTCACATACGTTTTGCCTTAATATATTTCCAAGAATTCGCAGCAGCAGGCTATGAGTAGATGGCAAAAGCTGGCTGGGAAGAGTCAGAGAACCCATTGCATGCTGCTAACTTTACCAATTGCGCTTCGATCTTAATTCTCAATGCTGGTCTACTTGGCCGGTTGGTTCAGGACATCATCATACAAACAATATTTTTGAAGCTGATGCTGCTTTCAAAAATGTTATGGATGCATTGAAATCCAATTGCCATACGATTGATACAACCAGATTATTTCCGGCGGTATTGAAGGGGTGCCCCACAATGGGAAGTATGGCCGTCATTCATTAAATAACATAAAGAAGCCTTATGGTGCTATTGGTGCGGAGGCTTCCTTTATTATGACCCGGTCTCTCACGTTTTGTCAATGCCAAAATATATTACTCTAAACGAAAGACTACGATGAGTGCTTTAAATAGTTTTTACGCAATATGTTCCAGCCCTACAATCATCATCAAGTTGCCGCTGTTTCATATGCTGCTTTGCCATTGGACACCACCTACGCGAAAACGCTTCTTACTAAGCTTGCAGACGCTGATAGAATTATACTTACTGATGCATGAACTCTGGCCCATCATCTTGATGATGATGGACTTGCTGGTAGCTGACTCTTAGCTGCGTTACTCGCTAATGATATAAAGCAATTCAAAAAGCCAAAGCGCAAAGAAATCAAATCCTATCATTCTCATAAGATCAACATTTGAGAAGTGATTGATCGGCACCACTGTTCGCTTCCGCTGGCTTATCATCTCCAACCGAAGCGTCTGCTGCTGCGGCTATTCTGGAGGCTACTCAAATTCATCAATCCCAGTTCGCTAACTCGTGGAAAATATCTAGCAAGTTCCTGATCGATTCCAAAAGGCTATCCTTCGACTCTGGTGCTTCTCAACATGATTGTGCTATCGCTGATTAACTCAGCAGTTTAGCTCCTTATTCAGAATGATTGCTGGAACTTGTGAATCAGTCGATGACGTTAACGGTGTCGCGAATGTGAGGGAGTTCAATGGTGGATCTCTGGAAAATGCTCTTCAAGATCCCCATGCTGCGATTTTAATTTCAATCTTTGCTGCAAGAGATGAAAAAGCCTGGTTTTCCTTCAAAGAGAAGTGCCGTTACTGAGAGAGTGAATTAGCAGGCAAAGAGCAGTCTTGGGATTGTAGGAATATCTCGTTGGCCTATTTGCTGTTGCGCAAATTAGAAGGAATATCAGCAATCGTTTAGGCCAAGCAGGAATAGTTGATGCAAAGCTGTAACAAAGTCAATGGATATCTATTGATCGAGGCTGAGAAAGTGAGTTCTATCACAAAAGAAAATCTTCTAAAATTGTTAAATAGTAATCAACAGGACAGGATACTCCCACTCTTAGTCTTCTATTTGCTGATATTGTTGATCCAAAAACAGGTGTTGCTGCCGATGAAGTTCGTTGTCTCCTGGCAATTGTTGCGTGTTCTTCAAGATTTGAACATGAGGATTTACTCGCTACACGATCATCACATACCGCAGGTTGGTATATTAAAGTATATATATTGAACAAATATCGAATAAAACAATTCACCGTGTCTGATTTGAAAGCGAGCTTGCATCCCACCCGTTTAAAACATTTTTGCAATCTGCTGAAAACAACCATGCAGAAGCAGCTCCTTTTACGATTCATCAAAATGGGGATGTTTATTGTTGGCGAAAACCAATTGTGACAAAAGCAAGCACAATCTCAATTGAAACTAATAATTTTAATTACTGGCGGAATGAAACTGTGATGTGTGCGGTACCCTTGGTAAATCTGATTAACACAAAAAAAGCCAGACTGTTAGCTACACTTTGGTAACTATTTTATAAAGAAGATGATGTGCTGCTATATTAATGACTTTCCAAAGAGCTGATTAGGCCATGGTCCTCCAAAATTTGAGGCGAACCTCGTAGAATAATACAAGAGTCCTCCGTGCTGTTGTGTGCTTCGACTTAAGCTGAGTGCCCTACAGAGCTTACATTTTTTTCTACAGCTTTGATGTTGACAATACTGATTGCGGCTTTGATGAAACCAAATATTTATTGAATGATTCATCTTTTGCCGCCATTACAAAAACAGTTCCATTTGTTATTCTAGTTACACCTGCTGGAGCTGCTGTTAGGAGGAAGTCAGACTACTGCCGCTAATGACAATGGCAACACATCTACAATTGCTTTGGCCGATATATCAAGAAGTATTTCCGATGATGTTGAACGATATAATTTCATTAGCACAGAGAAAAAAAAAATGAATAGTGTCGATGACAATGAGTTGGACTCAAAAATCATTAATGCATCTACTGATCGTAAAGTAAATGCTCCCGATGCACACTCTTGTAATGAAGCCGATACAGACCGACTTACTACAAGCAATTGAGGTTTTCAAAAAAATGATGATGACGTTGGAAAAGAGGTTAAATGCATTTCAAACGACTGAGCCGATGGGATTTAAGGCCGATTTCCATTCTCGTTACTTGCCAACACGATTAACGCAGCTACTGCTATTAAACGAAATTCAGTCAACTCTATGAGAAAAGTTGTATTTCAATTAGTGCTTCATGCAATGGCTGCAAACAATGCCAATCTTTCGCAGGACCTTTCTTAAGACAATGCATATATTTGGCGGCCTGTGGGTATTTACAATGAAATCAGCATCAACTGGTGATTTTGGAAAGACTAAACAAATCGCTCAAAAGGCTTTCGCTGGTTAAATATTGTGATTGAAGAAAATCATTAAATGCAGTTATTTGAATGCAAATGCTGAATTCCCTCTCATTGGAGCACCATCCAAGTCACTCAAAAATCACCAACGGAAGATGAAGACTGCGACCTATCGTGGTGACATCGACCCCGACTTTACATAAGCAACCACTTGAATTTGATAATGCCGAGAATTGGCTGCAAGAATGCAAGATTGCCCAAATCAACTTTTCGTCACAGGGAGTGCTTTCATAGCATCAGCAAATGAAACAAAAATGGTATCGAATTGCATCCAACCCAACGAGCTTCAGCTGAACTTCGACTGTTCAATCGTTCAAAAAAAAATCACTACCGAAATCTTGACTAATTTGACGACGATGTAATTATTACCAGCTAGTCAGTTGCAATGGTCGAGTTCGCTAAATCATATTCCGGCTCATTGGTCATAATAAAACGAATTAAAGTACGGATGGGTTAGATTCTCCAACTTCATGGTGCTCAACCTAACGACTGCGCCTTGCTACTTACAAAAATCTTTGTAGCAATACAAACTCAACCGTTTTTACACAATCAGCCTCATTGCCATTATCCACCAGGGATAAATACGTCATAGAAAGTTAAGCTTGAAATTCATGGCGCTGCTTTGCATGATGAAAAACTGATTTCAATCAGTTTAATTGTCGGACTGTTGTCCTTCGCTGCAAAGTGATTATGCTATGACAGAAGGGGTGCTGCTGCGTTATTCTATCCATATCCCGCGGCACTACCCAAGCACCAATTGGGTTGTGAAAAACAGTATTCAATTAATTTTACGCCGAATCGCTAACTCCTTTTCACAAAGATGCGTCAAGATTTGCCGTAAAGAAGTAGTTGCAAACTGCTAAGCTTGGATGTGCCAACTCTAAGCAATCAGTTTGAACAATTCAGGTCCTCATCAACCATAAGTCAATTACGTACATCGCCAAGATCCAGCTGATAGTGGCCACGCCGACGTGAATAGCTAAATGTATTTCTCTCACGGCTCAAGAAGATGGTCGGCTCTCTCACCACTGATTCGTAAATATTGTGGATCAACTGATGAGTGACACAGGTCATATTGTATTAAGAATTTTGTTACAATGCCTGCCAATCCATGGACGCTTCCACAGAATCACCAAGAATATATTAATCAGCTATCACAATCAATAACAGTTGTCCAATGGTATTTGACGTCTGCAGATAAAATCACTGAATTTAGTTTGGATGTCAATCTGACCAGACCACTGACCAGTTCAGCGGTCAAGTGTCCGAATGATTTGGAACGACAAATGAAGCGATCGGCGGTCTAGCTATGTCGTTCGCATTGCGTGGGTTGCTTCCCGAAGCTCTGTAGCTCAGCTTAGGGTGGCGGCTCACGTTGGATAGGCATTACTTAATTACCATTTTGTGTTAGATCTGCTATGACATTTAAAACTAGAATGATACACATTGTGTGGATCAACTGTACGCCAATTGGTTGTCCAACGGCTACACATTAGATGTATGACACTGCTTCCTGTTATTCCACCTATGAATTGTGTGGCTGCTAAGCTGCATTAACTGCTTTAATTAATCTGCGTAAACTGTGAATTGGGTGTTACACTTTGATGTATTCGTGGATTCTCATTTCTGATTCGGGTGGACAATTGCGGTCACCACAGTTGAATAACATTAAGGGAGCATCCAACAGACTTCCAATCTGATTGGCTATATATATCTGATGTCACTGAATAAATCGGCGTCGCAACTTCGATAATTGAAGCATTTCGATCATCTTCCAGGTTTTCCCGCACCCCATTATTCTCAACAACCGAATTCGTTGCTCCGACAAATAAAATTTAGCTAGATGCTGTAGTTGCGCTGCAAACTCGTTGGACGGACCCCATTAGCGGCTCTGAAATTACTCGCGTTTGCGCGAAGATCTCGTTGCTGCGTGGTCATCCCGTACGGCCAATAACACCCAACTGCCCAATGCGTTACTCTGAAGCCAACAAACTTATTGCAGCATGCGTCCGCCGCTGTGGATGGTTGGGTGTGTGACAGCATGATTTCATATAATCCGCTAGATTGGCCAGCGGTTAGTTCTTCCCACGCTTGTCGATCTTCCATCGTTCGTTAAAGACCGCGCATGCAAAAATGTTTTCTATTTGCTTTTTCACTCTAGGCCTCACAATATTGTACTGCATGCAGCCGCTATGTTTGCCAGCCATATTATGACGGCGTGGTTGCATTTTCTTCAGTAGCGGGCGCAATCCGGCGACATCATTTTGAGATACGTATATTTATAGGTGGATAGCGCTCACCATGTATCATCATAGCCTTGTTGCCACATCAAAATTTTAGACAACCAATGCTTTGATGTTTGAAATGGCGTTTTGCGCAGAGCTGCGGATGCAATATCTACGCCTTTTAGCGCGCCGTTCAACACATTTCTGGAGGCTGTGGCTTTTATTTTCACTTGCTAACTGCTCGGTCATTGCGAATTGTTAGTTGCAGGTCGTCAAAAATGCTTACCATCAATGATGCCATTGTATGACATCTGGTAACTGCAATAAAGGGGCTTCTGTAAGCCAGCTGGATGTTTGCAATTGGTCCCTCGGTGTCAGTCACCGGCCTTTTTCCGTGACGCTCTGTGATCTAACCCAGGTTTTAAGCAAGGGCTGGCAATCTATTTTACGATCTTTTTTTCATACTTTTTTTTCATAATATATTATCATGGACTCGCTACAACACTAGCTTTTTTCATAAAACACTGGGTTGGATGACAGAGCGTCAGGGGATCAGCTCTGTGACAGACACCGAGGGACCGATTGTGAACATTCGGGTAGCGCACAACTGGTTTCGTTGGTGGAATTGGATGAGCAGTGACAACACTATTTCTACTTGCCGCAATCCATTTCGGAGACCAAATCATTTTAGATGATTCCAGTCAGATTTCAGGGTAATATTTTGTATCTATCAGGTTGCATTTTTTGATTGAATAGCTTGTTGCTTTCATTGGTGTCGGTAACTTCATATTTTTAATATTTAGGTTTTGTTCTCTTTTATGCATCGGAACTCCTCTTTATGAACATGAAGTGTATTGAGGTTTCTGCCTTGTCTTCGGAGTCTTTTAAATTTTTCTGTTCATTAAAATTCATTTGAACTTTAATATTGATCAACTAATTTGTTACTTTTATAAAAGGCTGGAATTTCACATTATCAACGATATTAAAATTGATACAAACTTATGGTCATTACAAATCTTGAGAATATTTTCGAATGACGGTTGATATTTTAGAACTACCACCTTTTTTAATACAGAATATTTTTGAAAATATATATAACTCCCAAGCCAATAAAGGATATAAAATAATATTGTTGTTAAGCCTTTCAAATTATCCAGTTCTTTCTTGGGTATCTAACAAATTATTGTTTAAACAAGTTACTTTCAATCTTTTTAAAACTCTTAAAAAGACTTCTTTGGAGAACAAGGGATTGCAGATTTCCTTGGACCATTTAGAAGTTTTTAAAAGTCGGTTGTTATTATTCACTAAACAGGTAAATTTAAATATTAGTGCAGACTCTGATAAAAGTGACTATGATAGTCTGATTAGAAATTTTAATGAATTGGAAACAATTATTCGAAAGAATAATATTACAACTAGACAAAACTTTCACAATGCCTCTGTTTCACAAATTAAAGGTTTGATTGAAAAAGAAGAAAAGTTCAATAGCAAAAATTGCAGGTTGAGGCAAATTAATAATGGTATTGTGTGTGAACATTTTGACAATGATTTCCATCAAAAAAATTGCCTTTCTAAAAATAATTCATGTCAATTAAATTATTCATACTTTCCATTTTTATCTGGTCGTGATCGTCCTGTTAGTTCGACTAGAGCTCATACCGGAAATAACAGCACTATTAATACAAATAATGACAACCCAAATAGTAATGAATCTTACTATTGTTTGAAAACCTTTACAACCAAAATATTGAATAATACACTCAACTTGAAAAGATTGACTTTGGTGGGAATGAATTTAAAAAATATAAAAGATTTGAAGTATTCCAGTTCAAAGTTAAATATGACATTGAACTATTTAAATTTATCATCAAATGAGTTAACTAGTCTTGGTGGTCTTCAAGGTTTTATTAATTTAAAAACCCTTGTTGTGAAAAACAACAAATTAAGTGACATTTCTAGTGTGGGACATTTAATTAATTTGAGGATACTAAACCTATCAAACAACTTCAATTTGAAAAAAATTGACAATGGATTTATGAATTTGATTAAATTAAAGAGATTTATTGTGAAAGGGTACAATCAAATTGTGAATTTGGAGAATCTAGAAAATTTAAAAAGGCTTGAAGTTTTAATAATTAACTGCTCCAATATCAAAAATATTAAAAATTTGAACAATCTAACCAGACTCAAAGTATTAGACTTATCATTCAATTGTTCTATTAGGAAAATAGAAAATATTGATTCTTTGAATGGTTTAGAAAGGTTGAGTTTATATCGATGCAAAATCAGTAAAATTGAAAATTTGGATAAGTTACGGCGATTGGAGTATTTGGATCTTGGAGGAAACAATATCAGGGAAGTGGTTGAATTGGATAGATTGACATCATTGAGAGAGTTGTATCTTGATAAAAACGATTTTGAGTGCCCTCTTCCGAACAACGTGGGTCTCCAGAACAATGGATGGACAGGGATAATCCCAAGCAAATTGGCGAGGCTTGAGAAAGTCACGATTGGCGATTGTACCACAGTTCTCCGGCTGTGCTCTCTTTTGGTTGCCGAGGGGAGAAGCTCCATGTTTCTGGTACAGAGGCAGGTTCCTCTTAGGTGCTAACAACACAGGCATTTTCAAATACCATTTGGGAATTCTTATATATTGGGCTATATTTTATTCTTTGTTCTAGATTGATACATCCAGATCAGCATCTGCACAACTTTTGGTAGATCATTTTACCGAAACGCGTGCCCAAAACGCTGCTTCTACTTGTTCGTTTTCCATGACGTCAGCAAGGCTGACCATGGCCAGAAGCAAAGGGAACCACAGCAACCAGCAGGATCTGCTTCACGTGAAGAAGCATTTCATTTAACTCTTCAAAATACTTAACACTGCTTGGGCTGGAGTCGCTGTAATTTACCTTCGTTAATTGTTATTGCACTTCAATCTAAAAATAAAATGACATAAGTGTATCAAACAATTCTTGGACAAAATATTTAAACTAACATTTCACCGATTTCACTAAAAAACTGCAGTATTGGGATCTAGTTTCAATTTTTCACGATAAGTTTATCTATCGAATATACAACTAAAAATGCAATTTTCAAACTGGAGAGCTATTACCTTAGCTTTGTTAGCATCAACTGCTCAATGTGACAGAACATTTTCATTAGTTGCGGATGGCGATGATTTTTCAAGTGTGCCAGTAGTTTATAATGAGGGCACTTCTTCCTACTTGCGCCTCAAAGATGATTCTGGTGAAGCTGTATCTTTTATTTTATATGAGCCATCCGGCTACCTAGCTCTTTTGTCCGACACTTCCAAGTCTGTTTCTGCTGATGCTGATGGGTTACACATTGAGGACCGAAGCAGCGCATCAAAGGACTTTGGTCTTAATGAAGAAGGAAACTTGAGATTCACTGCTTCCTTCCAAGGGTTCTGGGCTTGTGAAAACGACGATGGAACATTCAATATAGCCAACTGGCAATGCTCCTCAAATGCTGTTGCTTTGGTTCCAGTGGGTATTTCCGAAAGCAGTTCTTCTGGTTCTTCTGCAGTAGCTGCTGATTCTTCTTCTACCTTTCTGACTTCTTTTGTTTCGTCTTTCTCTGAAGTGAACTCCGTTTCTTCTGTCGTTTCTTCCGTTGCTTCTTCGGTGGCTTCCTCCATTGCTCCTTCAGTAGCCTCTTCCTCTGTTTCTTCCGCTGCTTCTTCCGTCGGTTCTTCTTACGTTTCTTCCGGCACTGATTCCCACGTTTCTTCCACCTTCCACTTCTCTGCTTCCCATTTTTCCGAGTCCTCTTTTGTTCCAGCTAACTCTTCCTCTTCTCACTCTGTTGCTGAAAACTCCATCAATGCTGCCACCTCTGTGGGTGCAACTGCCTTATCTCTTTTTTTTGCTGCTGCCGTGGCTTTATTTTAGGTTTATTGTCCTTTTTCAAAAATAATTGCGAGTTTGCTACTTAATTTGATCTACTTTCTAACTAAAAAGTATTATATTTTAGAACGAATTGATTGGTTCGCATCCTATTGTTTCCAACAATTCATCCACTTTACTTAAGTTTTCTTTCATCACGTATATAAATTCTTTATAAATTTTAAATCTCAATTTAAACTCTCTTTCATAAATAACTTCTAACTTTCTCAATTCTTCTTTTTTGTTTTCATTCTTATTGTTGATAGTGTCTCTTTTCTCATCAAATTCATCACGATACCTTTTTATTTTAAAGTCCACATCTTTAATCCTTTGTTGAAACGAAAAGAAATTATTCACCAACTGTTCATTATTGGTTTCACTGATAATCAAACTGTATTCGCCATTTAAAGTTTTAAATTTGTTCTCCAACTCACCTATTTCTTTCTTGATTCGGTTTATATCTTCTATTGTATAATCCCTAGCATCTCTCTTTCCATCACTGATTTCATCAGCACCACTTTTCTTCTCAGATTTATTTTCTTGTTGCAAGCAAACATAAAATGTTTGTTTCCCATAACTCTTGGCTATGATTTTCTTGCAACTGCTTAGTTTTTCTAGTCCTTTCACCACATTTCCCTTTGATATCTTGCTGCTTTTACTCTTACTATTCAAGCTTTGTAAATTTAAGTATATATCATTTAAAGAGTATGGTCGATATTGTTCATTGAGATAATTCAATATATTAGTGTCCGATTCACTTAACTCGATCTTTTGAGGCTCTTTGATTTCTTGGATCCCTTCACTTGTATTCTTCTCATTTTTACTACTATCACTGCTATCTTTATTATCATTTGATCCAGCAGATTTCTTTTGTCTTTTCTTCGGTGGCATTTTAACTGCCATTTACTTTACTTCAAAATGAAATACTCTTACAAAAATCAGTCTTCTATTTCACCTTATATATATTCCTTGTTAGCCATCTCATCACACAACAACGCTGATGTTGTGCCTCAATTCCCGCCTTTATAAGATTAAGCGCCGACACAATTCTCAACAATATTTAAACTGCAATATTTTTCCTTCATCTTTTGCTTTCTTTTCTTCAATTGAATTAATATATTTGAAGTGATATCTCAATTAATCTCTTCAGGCATTTTCATAATGTTAACCACTAAAGAACTCCACCCTGTAAACCCATTGGCTCCTTTTCCTTTCCCATCGTTTTCAAAATACGACTCCCAAACAAATCCTGTTCTAACCCACTCGTTATAAATATTCATTGCCAAATTAACTCGTAACTCTCCATATAACTTGGCGCCCAACCTTTTAATTTCACTATTTTCACTCTTTTCAACATAATACTTGACGCTCTCTAAAATTAAATAGTTTATATTAACCCATATAGATCCTCTCCAATAGTCCTCTCCTGTTCTAAAATACTCGTCCTTTTGACTTAAACTTCGAATTCCAAACTCACTGAATAACTCATCCTCATCCGATATCAACTTAATGATGCTCAATATATGCTTTTCCGATTCGGTACTTTCATCAACAGGTATTAATTTCAATAAAAATGGAAAGAGTGAAATATATCCTTTATGGCAAACAAGCTCATCCTCGTCGTCTAAATTCATATGAATATCACAGTAACATTTTGATTCTTCTGACCAAAATACTTCCTCAATATTTTTAACTATTCTTCGCTCATTTTCATCAAATTTCTTATAATCATCCTCATAATTCAACAACCGGGCAATTTCCTTCATAGCTTTGCTCATAACACCAACCCATGACATTAAATCGATATTTAATTCTGTTGAATCTGCATTTTCACATCTTGGGTAATCATCCAACCCTGATGGTAAACAGTGCAATTCAGTTCTACCAACCCATCTATAAGCTTCTTCACTAGATGGATATTCTCTTTCCAACTCTTCTGTTTCTCCCTTTTGAGTCTTTCTAAACCAGTAGTAATGTTTTTTCAATTTAGGATAAATACTTCGGGCATAATCCACTAATAATCTGGGATGCGTCAAATGTAAATCTGTTGATTGTTTGTCTGTAATCTCTTCATTTATGCTCCCCGAATAATTACCTTTTAATTCATGGGGTTTCAATTCATGTAACTTTTCCAATATTTCAGAAAACAATAACATTAATGTTGGTGGATTCCCAATTTTAGCATTCTGAGTTTGAAATTTCTTGGGAACAAAATTTCTAGATTCTGGTCCCAATATTTGCTCTCTAGCAATCCATCCATCATCATCAATTAAATTAAACCAACTCTTTAATATTTCTAGGGTCAAGTCAAAATCAAAATCAATCAATGAAATTAAATGAAACCCTTCGTCCCAGTAAAATCCTCTTGGAAAAAAACTTCTGGTAGGCACCAATGTCAATAATTCATATGGACCTTCTAATTTACCATTTGTCAATTCTACTTCTGAAAAGTTTTCCTCGTCAATTTCTGTGACCCTATCAACAATTTGACTTCCATGAAAATAGCTTAATCCACCCATTAAACTAGAAATGATTTCCTTTGCAAAATTTGAATACTTTGGTTTATTAAATGGTGCTTGTAGTTTGAATTTTTGATTGAACTTTTCATCAAATGATATCAAATTTTCTGTTATTTTAATATTAATATTTTTTGAAGTTATTCTTGAATCGTCTTTTAAAGTTTCATGATGAAACTCATTTTCATCCACATTTTCATGATCACTTCCAGTATCCAAAGCTCTCTCTTTACTGTTTCTTTGATTAAATAGAATCTCATATTCAAAGTCTCCTTCGTAAATCTTTTGAATAAAATGTAAATTACCTCTGTAATCATATAAATCTCTTAAAATCAAACCATTGCAAGCCGGTAGAGATTGTAAATTTATAGCTGTTCGATATTTTTCAGATAAATCCCGGATGCTTTCTTGCAACATTGTTAAAAAGATATCCTTTGCTCTCCATACGTTTTCATTTGGAACTACAATTTCTAAATGATGATTTTTTTTAGAATCAAGACCCAATGATTCATAAATTCTTCTTTCTTCTAAAGTGACTCTTGTCATATCAAAATCGGGATGTTTATTCATTTGAGCATAATCAGTGATTTCAATGTCAAACTTGCCAAAATCCTTCGTAAAGCCATTTAGTTTGATAGAACCTTCAAATCCGTTAATATCAGTTTTAGTGTCACTCAATGTTAAATAATCGGGATTCTCCTCCATATCATAGGTGTTAGAATCATCAGGATCAAACTCAATCTGTTTTTTATAAATTCGATCTTCATCAAATGTTTCACTTTCAAGACCGATGTATGTAATTATTGAAATTTTGGAGTTTTGATGCAAAGGACTTGTACTAACGCCTGTGATTTTTAATCCCCAATTATTCAAGTTTTTTTTATTTTTAATAAAATCAACAATAATATCAATCTTCAACAAATCATCTTTAATAATTTGTCTGCCACCTGATCTAGGGTTAAACTTCAACCAGCTAAATTTCTTAATTTTATCATCCATACTGACAAAATTACGTATATTTTGAAATCCCTGAATACTATCAGCATTAAACCACATCACACCTAATATAATTGAGTGAGGAATGTTTGCTCTAAACCCAATATAACAATTAGGGCGATATGGATTCCATTTCAATGATTCATCCTTTATCAGATTATAGCTTTCAGTTAAATTGAAAGTAAACTTTCCATCTGTTAAATTAAAACCTTTGTTAGTTTCAGAGTATGTTTTATTATTTGATACTTCACTCTTTTCTAAGATCCAGTCATTATTTTTATAAATAAAGTTTTCTTCAGATTGAGTTTTTTTTTCAATGCCAACTTCTATATCCTCATCTATATCCTCTTCAATACTATCTTCCGTTTCATTGGTGCTTGAATCGTTTATTGTATTATTGGCTGATTGATTCGTACTTTTTTCTAAATATTTCTCCCCATCAAGCACCAACGGGTTAACTTGGTTGTGGTTTGATTTTTTTTCTTGAGTTTCTTCCTTTTTTTCATTTTTCATGAAGCCATTCTTCTCTTCTTCAATGATCAGATCATTATCCTTTTCAGCTGTTGGGGTTGGTTTTTGGTTTGAGAATGAATTTATTATATCCTCATTCGTTGAAAGCTTTGAAGTGTTTATGAAATCCTCCAGCTCAATTGTTCCATCGCTGTAAATAGCCTTGTTTATCTTTATTTTCAGACTAGACTCTGACTGATTTTGGGTGAATTGCACATATTCTCCATTCAAATCACTGGTTGGCTGGACAGTCCAGTTGCTTACTGTTTCCTGGATTATGGGACCAGGTGTTGATAGAGTGGTTGTGTAACGCTCGACAAGGGAGTATGCTATACCCACTATCACCACAGGAAGGAATATAAAGTACACTATTCTCTGTCTCGACAGCATTGTCATCCAGCAGTTAACTCTTCACCTTCCTGATTTAAACTAAGAAGCTCCTTCATCGATGATACTGCCTTTCTAAAAATATCTAAGAACAGCGGAGAGCACCTTCAGAAACACTATTAAATAGTGAAACTTCACGCTTTTTCTTATCAAAGGCAGTGGCCTCCCTGTTCAAACAGGTTTCTCCTCAGCCATATTGGATACACATCTCTCATTCGAAGATAATCGACAAAAACAGCCAATCCTCTTCTAATAATGCTGTATTTGTTAGTCTATTCATCAACTATCCTTAATAATGAACTTTCCACACTGCATTTTACTAGAAAAACTCTCAATTTGTATCTGAAAACCTACCATATTTTGTCTTTTATATTTTTGTTTTCAAAATGAAACAGTCTGCCAAAAAATTCCTAATGTTTGTGTCCTGCATCTTGCTTGATATACTATGTGGAACTTTATATCTTTACTCAGCTTTCAGTCCTCAATTCTCTTCAAGGTTGAACTACTCTGCTACTCAAGCTTCAGCTCTTGCCATGTCTGGAAACTTGGGCAATTCAATTGTTGGGCCCATTGCTGGTTTTTTTGTTGATCAATTTGGCTTCAGCATACCTATTAGTTTTGGTTCAATCATCTTTATTGGAAGCTACTACCTATTGAAAAGACAATTTGATGAAAGCATGTCCAATTTCAATTTCAGCATGGTGATTTTATTTGGTATTGGTTTGGGTGGCGCTTTCATATATTCTGGGTGTTTGAAATGCAGTGCTATTATCTACCCAAACAACAGAGGTATGGCAACTTCCATTCCAATTGCTTTTATTGGCTTGTCAGCATTGTTTTACTCAGCTTTGGCTTCAACATTTTATCCTGGTGATACTTCAGGCTTGTTGGGATTTTTGTATATCTCTGCTATTGTGATTTTTCTGATCACAATTTGGTTTATCATTATAGCCGACAGGTTTCACCAAAAAATCAACGTCTCTCATTCAAACAATCATAGCTTGGATGGTCTTCATGATATCACTAACTTTGATACCAATCATATCAGTGATATTAATCAAATTCATATCAATGCCGATAACGATAGTGATAATATTTTAACCTCAATTCAGTCAAACTCTTCAATGGTTGGAATTCATCCATCAATATCTGATCGTTTATCCAGTGAATTTATTGAAATGTCTACATTGACCAACTCTCATCCAAGGAAATCAATTACGCTGCCTTCTTCTCATATACCTAGAAATTCTTTTCTGATTACTGATAATATAAATCTAAGTTTTAGCAAATCTACAACTTATCAGCCTGAAATCGGAGGTGTAGAATTGTTCAAAAATAAAAAATTCTGGCTACTATGCTTTATTGTGGGTTTGTTGGCTTCAATTGGTCAAATGTATATATTTTCTCTTGGGTTTTTGGTGAAAGCTTTATATATCAAAAAGTTGCTACCTCCAAACACACAAATTGATGATCCCCTAACTGTAGCTTTTGTTGAAAACTCAAACACAATTATACAAAATCAGCAAAATTTTGAAGTCGGATTACTTTCAATCTCCAATTCAGTCGGAAGATTACTCAGTGGCATAATGGGAGATCTTGTAATACTAAAATTCAAAAAGTCACGAAGTGTATTAATTATTTTACCCATATTTTTGATACTAAACTCGCAAATATTTTGTTATATATTGGATGATATTAGTTATTTATACATTGCAACTTTAACTATTGGTTTAGCATACGGATTCACTTGGGGTTTATTTCCATCAATAACAATGGATTTTTTTGGCATGGAAAACTTTTCATTGAACTGGGGAATTCTAGCAACTTCAGGTATTTTACCTGCCTATTTTTACAACATTCTATTTGGTAGAATTTATGATTCAAACATGAAGATCATTAATGTTTTGAACAGCAATATAACTGCAGATACAAATGATACTTTAAGAATTTGCGAATTAGGTCATAAATGTTATAATGATGTATTTCTATGGTCCGTTGGTGGTTCTTTAATAATGATTATATTGTTTTTTTCATTATTTTATTTTCTAAGAAGGGAAAGAAAAGAGTTGTATCAAAAATTAGAAAATGATGTAGAATAATAAAACACTTCTTTAATAAGTAAATCTATATTGTGCACGTTTTATGCTGTTAATAAAATATCAATTAAAAACATATAAAAAATATAAAAATATAAAAAATAACATATTCATAATTTTAAAGTTATTTATCTTATAAAAATTTTCATGATTTATAAGTCTTTTAATGACCTCGCAAAAAACCTAACGTTTAAATAAATAATTGCCTTCAAATTTCCTTTTTATGTTTTTCCGTATTTATTTCCTTCTTTCCTTTGCTCATTTTTTAACAAATTGTTCAAGTCTTTCCTGCTGTTTTTCCTTTCAGTCTTATTATTGTCATTATTGTGTTTTTGCTGATCTTTATCTTTTCCGTATAGAATGGTTTTCCCAGTATCAACAACATCGTGTTCTTTCTGATCCTTATTTTGTCCATACAAAATGGATTTTCCAGTATCAACAATATCGCCAACTTCAGATGAAATATTATTCCATTCTTCTTTGGTTTTTGAAATAATTTGTTCAGCTGGTTTGTCGATGAAGTCTTCTTTCAAATGCTTTAAAGTGGATCCAGCATCCTCGGCTGTTTCTTTAGCAGTTGAGCCGGCATCTTTCAAACTGTCTTCGTATGTTTCTAAATTTTCTTGATAAGTGCTTTCCAATTTAGCTTGGGCATCTTCAGTTAAACCTTCCCATTTTTCTTTTGCCTTGAGAGCAAGATCTTCATCAGAAAAAGTCTCATGAGCTTTATTAGCTGTTTCAGAAATATCATCTTTAATCTGATCCATCACCGATTTGGGTTTTGAAACTGACTTTAACGAATTTAAACCGCTCTCATAAGCTTTCACACCTTCGTCATAAGCATTTTGCATTGTTTTTTTTGTTTCTTCCGATAAATTATTCCATTCTTCTTGAGTTTTTGCTTTAATCTGATCAATTGTCAAATCCACTTTTTTTTCTGTAGAATCGTCTAACACTTTCTTTTTAAGCTCTTCAAAGATAGTAGGAGGTTTTCTATTTTTGCTTTTGTTTTTAAGTAAATTGGATCTAACTATAGTGGTGGAAAAATAACGGTAGTTTCTTGAGAGTAAAATTGAACTTTGTCCACGTCTGAGGACCTGAGCTTTTAGCATTTGGCAGTACATATTGAATTTGGGTTGATTCTTTGATGTTTGATGATAAATATGGTATTGAGTAGTTTATTAGATATAGGAGTTATTGATAATAATGGACGATCTGTGGACATTTTATATGCTTCCTGTTGGATTCTTTTCTGATGGTTTGTATTTGATTTTTCATTCTTTTGTTTATGGCTTGCTCAAGCAATCGAGGAGCAAAGCAAATGAGGTCTTTCTGAGATTCACAAATGAAAAGGAAGAATCGAAAGTTTGAAAAATGCTGTCATATCGAAGTGGAGGAGCCCTAATGCATGTTGATGCAGCAAAGAATGAAAGTGATGACTTCAGAACGTAAAACTCCCTTTTAAAACGGGTATAATGAAAAAGCCCATGTGACCAGATATAAAATGCCGGTCAGGTGAGATCAAAAGATTGTTCGGAATGCGAAATGCGAAATGGACCAAACGAACTTGAATTTACCATATCTTACTCAAAACAACGAAATAGCAGAAATAGAGTGAGTTTTAATATCAACTAAAATTTTAATAGACTCTTTTTAAATTTACTTGCAATGGTATTAATTATATCGTCTTCATTTTGTGTGGTGTTTTTGTCATATTCGACGAAAATGCCTTTAACAAATCCTAAAACGAAATTCATTCCATTTTCAGTAGATATTTGATTTAATACCATGGAGGAGCCAATATCTGATATGTTTTGATTGAACATAAATTCTATAATTTTCCAATTACCTTCGTGGCTTTGGGTATTGTAACCTAAATTTGATAATCTGTTTACTTCTCTTTTTTTCAGATTGATTTGACTTAGTAGTAAGTTTTTATAAATTTGAATATTCCCATTTGAATTGATATAGTTTTTTTGATAGTTTGAAAAAAGGAGTAAGGGCCTGGTTAAAATTGAATTGATTTCCTGATTAATTTTCAAAATTAAAAATTCATGGGTTGAATTTAAGAATTGATCAGTTTGAATGATGAATTTGTGCACTGAAGGGAAAGAGCCAATTAGGTTTTGATTTTCCATGGTTTCGTTATCAACAAATCTTCTTAAATCAACTGCAATTAGAAATTCAATTTGTTTTGGGTAAACAGACTTGATGTAATTAGTTGGTAAGGATTTTAAAAAGAAAATTTGAATAATTGAGATTAATCTCAAGTTGGTATTTTTATTAGAAGAGAAGTGTTTTTTTAGTTTTAGGAGTTTTTCAGTTTCCGATTTTTTAAATTTAACAATTTTGAAAATTGAATTGTAGTTGTGATGACAAAAATAACTGCTGTATATTTGATTTGATTTTGAAAACAATGGTAAGGGTGAGGACAAGAAATTATTTTGAGCATTTGGAAGAGAAATTGGATCAAGATTTAGAAAGCCATCAATAGTTGGTGGGAGTGGTTTTAGAGATTTAAGATCATTAAAAGAATCAAATAATAATAGATCATTTGTATTATTATTAATTTCAGAAGTATTAGTTTCATTGTAATTATAATTATTGAATTCATTGATCAATAAATTATGAAATAATACGCAAGAAAAACCATCAATTAGATGTTCACATAAGATGACTATTTCATTATTGTTTAAGATGATGATTTTCCATAGGGGTTTTGATGAGTTGTCTAGCTGGAATTTGTAGTTGTCCAAGGAAGATAATAAATTCTCGTCGATGCTTGAAGAAATGGGATAAGAACTTTGGGGTTGGTTATAAATTTGAAAAGAGACAACGTCATTGAAATATACTTTATTGCATGGTTTCAATTGATTATCAAGAGATGAATAATAGAGAACTAGAAAGGAGTTGTTTAGCAATACTTTTCTCAAAGAATGAAATAGAATCGAAATGTTTAGGTCTTGGTTTAACTTAGCAGAAATGAAAAAATTTGTGTATAGATTTGCCTTTTTACGTGCAATGAAAAATTGTTCACAAACACCTTTAGTAAGTGGAAATAAAGCAAAAATGTCAGATATTTGGCAAGTAGATTTTGAGTATTAGTGATATGATATGATATCAAGATAAAGGTTACTTGTAGTGCTAGTTGTTGATGATTAGAACATACCTGGGTGTCTTGTGAAGGTCTCCATTAAGAAGAGAATAGTTGAAAGAACAAGATTCAGCAGCAGTGTATCGTTGATTAGAGGAAACAAATTTCAGAAATGAGCAGAGGATAAGAAGATAAGATAAATGCCATTAAAGAGCCATTTTGAGTTATTTTGAATCAGTTTGAGTGATTGACAACTTGGGAATGGTAAATATTATTTAAGTGCAATGTTAACAGTGAGTGTAATGAAGCAGAGATGAAGATGGCAAACAGAGCATCAACACAAAAATTACCAACAATAACAACAGTTACAATAATCAACAGAAAGCACCAAATGTTCGTCGACAGAGGGAGAAGAGGCTATTGAAGTCTTCTGCTTCGTGAAACACATCCACTTGAAGCTGCAAACTCCAACCTTTTTCAGTTCCACCTTCGTTATCTTCACTTCTTTCACCTTCATCTTCATCTTCATCTTCACCTCCAACTCCTTCACTTCCTCAACCTCCATCTATCTCTTCAGCTCACCATGGGCAGTCTTTCTCCAGCTTCTAAGGCCTCCCAGCACCAGCCTATCGTTGTCAAGACTGAGGCCTCTCACGACGAGCCGAACATGCTTCCCATCAGCTCCACCAGCTCCAACGACTCCACCTCAATCTCCCACATTCCTCCCACTGCTTCCTCTTCTTCGATTCATGGGCCTGCTCATAAGAGAAGAAAGCGAAAGGTCCAGATAGCCTGTATTTACTGCAGGAGATCCCATATGATTTGCGAGGAAAAGAGACCTTGCTCGAGATGTATCAAGAGAAACATTGGCCATCTTTGCCATGATGAACCAATCAATTCAAGACAACGAAAGCTAGTTCTGCAAAATGGATTGAACATCATAAATAGCTTGCCCCTTCTCAATAGCATTGACAGCAACAGTAATACCATCTCTAATCTTAATCCTACAGCTACTAACACTACTACTATGAATATACATAATAATAATATGAATATAGATAATAGTAATAGTAATAATAATAATAACAACAATAACAATAGTAATAACAACAATAATAATAATAATAACAACAACAATAATAATAATAATAATAATAATAATAATAATAATAATAATAATAATAATAATAATAATAACTTAAATTCAGGTAGTAATATGTCAATTCAAATGTCGAATAATAACAGTCAATCAAACCAAAATCATAACAATGATCCCCAGTTTTTAGTAGCAAATCAAAGCTCTCCCAATCAAAATAGCATCACTAATATAAACAACTTTTCTAATACCAGTAACAACACCACCAATAACAATAACATTATTAATAATAACGTTCATATCCCCCAATCTGTTACCACCATAACTGCTCCTCCTTCTTTGGATCTAGACGAAATACCTCCTTCTTCTGTTCTAACTCCAGCGAGCACTGTAAATAATACTACAAACAACAAAACTAGTGATATTCCTCATAACAATAATAATCCAAATATCAATAATAATTTCAATAATAATCCTAACAATAATTCTAACAATAATATCAACAACACCAGTAGCGATATCAACTCAATCAGTATTTCAAATTTGTTAAGCAACCAAAATATCAATCCCTCAGATTCTCAATCCAACTTGATTTCGAATAATACTAATCACAACATTCATAATATTCCTAATAATGATAATATTAATAACATCAATAACAGCAATAACAATGAACAAGTCTCCAACAGCCTATTAAATCAATTTTTTAACAACTCTTTTCAACCTTTTTTCTACTCAGAACATGCAAATTCTGAAATCTCCTCAATTAACGAATTTCTCAAATTAATTGACGATCCAGATTTTAATCAAAATAACAACAACATGAGCATCAATTATAATAAGGATATCCCTTTATTAAACAATATGTTAACCGACAGTTCCTTTGTGTCCTTGTTTAATCCCTCTTTTAATCCAAATAATCCAAATCCAAATAACCCAAACAATCAAAATATTCAAAATAATCAAAATAATCAAAGTCAACAAAATTATTATATCAATAATAATAATATGCAAAAGGAAAATAGTCCTAATGAGCCTTTAAATAATAACCCATTGAACAATCACATAGACAGCAATCCAAGTCTTAATCTACAAAACTTGCAAAATATTCCTACTCTTCAAAGTGCTTCCAATACTCCCAATATTTCAAACCACGATTCCTTTTCAACAAAAAGATCCCCCGATATCAATAATAATATCCATAACAACAACAACAACAACAACAACAATAATAATAATAATAATAATAACATTAATAAAAATAATCATATCATCAATAATAACATTGAAAACGATCCAAATGGTAAACATAACAAAAGAGATCAATTCTTCCTAACAGCTGCTGACCCATCGGTAGAAATATCGCCCGAAGAAAGATTAAAAGAAGTTATCAATGCAAAACTAGAAGCAGGCTTGCTACAGCCCTATAATTATGCAAAGGGTTATGCTAGACTACAAAAATACATGGATAACTATATGAATCAATCTTCAAGACAAAGAATCTTAAAACCGTTGTCAATATTCAGACCGGCGTTCAGAGCCATTGCGAGAACACTTAAAGACGTCGATTTGATCATCGTAGAAGAAAACTTTGAAAGAATGTTGTTAGACTATGATCGAGTGTTTACCTCAATGGCAATACCTGCTTGCCTCTGGAGGAGAACAGGCGAAATTTATCGTGGAAATAAAGAATTTGCAAGTCTTGTTGAAGTTCATACTGACGATTTGAAAAACGGAAAATTGGCCATATATGAACTAATGAGCGAAGAAAGTGCAGTAAACTTCTGGGAGAAATATGGTGCAATTGCCTTTGATAAAGGTCAAAAGGCTGTTCTAACAAGCTGTAATTTAAGAACCAAGGATGGAAGAAAAAGAAAATCCTGTTGTTTCAGCTTCACCATTAGAAGAGACAGATACAATATTCCAAGCTGCATTGTTGGAAATTTCATTCCCATCAGCCATTGAAGAGCACTAATGCTCACAATGGGTTCAATATCAACACCATGAAGTCACAACGATACCTGTCTTTAACTAGAATATACTAAATTGATTATAATATACCACTTCGATTTATAGTTTCATGCCAGTGGTTCTATTGTGCAATGTATCTTCATGTAGTCCAACGTGGCTTACTGCGAAATGCGCATGCATCAACAGCGTAACCTTCAGGGTGGTACCTTCCGTTTTTGATTGGACTTTTGACGTGTTCTCAGTTTTCGACCTCATCAAAAATTTTGTTTATAAACACCCAAATGCAGTTAGTTTATAACAGCGATAAATACATTTGATTTCCTTATCGACACTTCAAAATGAAATTGAGTAGGTTCAATTTACTAGTGGTGGGAATACTATTCCACTTGTGTTATTTGTGGTCCATTTTCGATATCTATTTCGTATCACCATTAATTCATGGAATGCAACAACACCAAAGTACCCCAAATCCACCTGCAAAAAGATTGTTTTTAATAGTTGGCGATGGCCTTAGAGCTGACACTTTATTAACAAAAGTTCAACTACCCAAAACAACTCTCAACTCGTCCATTGAAAACACCCAGCAAGAAATTTATCTTTCTAATGATCAAAACTCCATATTTTTAGCTCCATACTTGAGATCAATTATATTGAATAATGGGACATATGGAATATCTCACACAAGAATGCCAACTGAATCGAGACCTGGCCATGTCGCAATGATTGCTGGGTTTTATGAAGACGTTAGTGCTGTTACCAAAGGTTGGAAAGAAAATCCTGTTAATTTTGATTCAGTTTTTAATCAATCGTACCATACTTTTTCGTTTGGTTCGCCTGATATTTTGCCAATGTTTAAAACCGGTGCATCAGATCAAGACAGAATTCAAACAGTAATGTATGGCCATGAATTTGAAGATTTCACAAAATCTTCTATTGAATTGGATTCTTTTGTTTTCAAAAATCTAAATGATTTATTTTTAAATTCAACTAGAGATCCAAAATTGGATGAGCTTATTCACAAAGATAAAGTTGTATTTTTTTTACATTTATTGGGCTGTGACACAGCTGGTCATAGTTATAGGCCATATTCGATTGAGTATTACCAAAATGTTCAGTATATCGATAATCAATTAAAGGATTTGATTCCAAAAATCAACGATTTCTTTGGCGATGAGGAGACTGCTTTTATATTCACTGCTGATCATGGAATGTCTGCTCTAGGTTCTCATGGCGACGGTCATCCTAATAATACTAGAACCCCCTTTATTGCTTTTGGAAAAGGTATCAATAAACCTTTAGTCAGATCTCCACTCACCCCAATAGATAATACATATCCCGAGGATGACCCCGAATTTAATTCAAATGTTTGGCTTTTGGATCACATTAAAAGAAACGATCTAAAGCAAGCTGATATTGCCACATTGATGGCCTATCTAATTGGTGTAAATTATCCTTCAAACTCCGTAGGAAAGCTACCTTTAGATTTTATTGACAACAATTTGTTAGTTGATAAGCTATATGCTTTTCATCAAAATTCTTTATCAATCTTTGAACAATTAAAAGTTAAAGAAGAAAATGTCAGAAATCACCAATTCTTTTACAAACCATTTCTAAAATTTCAAAATATATCACTTGCTAAAGAAAAATACGTTGATAACTTTAATGCTCAAATCAACCAAATCCAATTGATAATTGATGATTATTACTACAATACCAATAATGAACTTGAGGGGGGATATCTTGATGATCCTCATTTGAAAACATTGGAAAATCAAATAATTACTTTAATTAGCACATTTATTGACGATTCTTTGGAGGGATTAAATTATTTACAGCAGTATAATTGGATTTTGCTAAAATCAATTGTAACCTTTGGTTTTATTGGATGGATTATTTATTCATTTATGATTTTCTTAAACACTTATATTTTAATTGGTACTGAATCAACTGCGACTTCAACTTCAACTTTCAATTTTATTAACTCAAGTTTTACCATCATAGTAACAGGAATATCCATTTGTTTCAACTTGCAAAAATACCCAATAATGTACTACTTGTACTTGGTATTTCCTGTTTTCTTTTGGCAACAAATATTTAGCAAAAGAGCTGCTTTGATCAAAGGAACCAGATTATTTTTTCAAAACACTCCATTTTTCTCAAAAATTTTTTATTTTATTTTAATCATCTCCACTTTTGAAGCAAGTACTTATGGTTTCTTTAATAGAAAAACATTCTCAATTATGTTTGCATTTCTATCTGTCTATCCAAGTTTCGTCTATAAGAATTACAAGTTTGGTGAAAATTTCTTCTGGATCCTAAATTGTCTTATCATGTCAACATTTACCTGGTCTGATGCAATTAAAACAGAAAGTTTATTAGAAATCAATTTGGGTGGGATACTAATGATAATTATTTCAGGAGTTGGATTCAAAAAAATATCCAATCAAGGAAAGATTGATACATCATTTAAAATAAATACATATTCTAAAATCCTTATAAATATTCAAGTATTGTTGATTATTGTAATGTTAATAACAACAAACATATCAGTTAATTCATTACAGGCAAGAAATGGATTGCCATTTTATTCAAAAGTCTCAGGATGGGCTACGTTAATCATATCATTGTTTGTCATGCCTATTTTGCACCATTTCAATCCAGACAGCAACTTGGACTTGAGGTTATTGATATTATTTATAACATTTTCTCCAACCTTTTTAATATTTACGATATCTTTTGAATCTTTGTTTTATTGTGAATATTCTTTGATATTATTACAATGGATTAAAATTGAAACTGATTATAAAAATAAAAAGATAATCTCTAGTGACAATAAAACAGATTGGTTGCAAATATTGAGAATATCAATAATTGGATTCTTTTTATGTCAAATTGCATTTTTTGGAACCGGAAATATTGCCTCGATATCTTCATTTTCATTAGAAAGTGTTTGTAGGTTGATACCAGTCTTTAATCCATTCTCAATGGGAGTATTATTAGTATTAAAATTGCTTATACCATATATTTTATTATCAACGGGCCTAGGGATTTTAAATATTTCATTAAGTATAAGTTTCTTTACCATATCCACTCTAATTATCTCATTAAGTGATTTGTTATCATTGAATTTTTTCTTTTTGGTTAAAACTGAGGGAAGTTGGTTAGATATCGGAATGACCATTTCAAACTATTGTATTGCAATCTTATCCAGTTTATTTATTATTTTGTTGGAGAGTATCAGTCAAATATTACTAAAAGGCATTAATATTAACAATGGGATTCTTAAGGCAGTTAAGAGCGATGTATTTGAAAATGGCAAAGAAAATGATAATGGAAACGAAATCCATCACGAAGAGCATGAAGATTCTATATTAGATTTGCAAAAGGAGCTAAACGAATTAAATATTGATGACAACTCAATTATAGAGAACATTGATATTACTGATGAAAGACCAATTAGTGCCAGATTACGTCATATTAGACGTAATGAATAAATAAATAGATAGATTTTGGAGATGAATACTATAACCAAGAAAAGAACAGGTAATCAATAATACATGAAATTAAGAAAAAAAAAAAAAGAGAAAAACAAATTGATAGAGGCTGAAAACGAAATCAAAAGCTAAAAAAAGACAAAAGAAGACAAAACATAGCAATTGTCCATTATAGTATCATATATTATTACAAATTTGAATAGAATAGAGTAAAATATAAGAAAATAACATTAATTTAACTAGAATATACTAAATTAAATCATGACCAAGCACAATAAACTATCATGGTATACCATAAACCAATATATAAGAATTAAAATGATTAAATAAAAGAATTAGTTAAAATAATTAATCAATAATTGTTGAATTCAAGTTCATAATTTTATTTTAAATAAAAGATTATTTTAATATTTCCAAGTGAATATTTTAATAAATTTTGGCTCGTTTTAAATTGATGGATTAGATTTGCTAGTTTCTTTTTTTATTTGGTTTTTTGTTGATTTTTTTTAGATTTAGGTTGTTTTTATTTCAAGTTTAACAACCTGTTACTGAAAAGTTAGAGTTAATTGTCTCACTTTAAATTCAAATATTATTATGGTAATTAATAATATGGTTTTATTTGATATTGAAAAAGTATTTTTTCTTATCAAGTATTATTCAAGTTTACTCTCAACTTAAAATTTCTTTACAATAAGATTTTATAATAATTTTGAATATTAATTACAGTTGCGAGAAAAGAGAAAAGAAAGAAAAAAACAAGAAAAATTAAACTCTTTTATCTAAAGAACACAAGATTAGATTATTGAATGGCCGACTACCCAAATAATGAAATTATAGATATATAGTTTAAATATGGTAAATAGATACAGGAATAAATAATAAATTAGTAAAAAATTTAAATTCCAACTTTGAAAAGAGAATAACATTTTTTCTTAACCTCAAAAGGCATCTCGCCTGGGCTAACATACAAACTGCAATGAGAATGAAAGGTCTGAGAGAGTTGGTGTGTCAATGGATATATATCTATTTGCCTGGATATGTATTTAATAGGTGTTGATATATGAATATTCCAAAAGCATAGACATAGAGCAGTAAAAAGCAGATGGGACTGGTTTTGTGATGGAATCGTGTACTTTCCCAAAAGGATGATGTTGATTTTGTAAGCGGAATCAGGATGAAATAGCAAGATAATTTGTAGATAGTCTGACAATCAGAGGTCCGACAAAAGAAAAAATTATTACACAATTCACGATTGATGTAGTTACTGTTTGTTTATGCCTGTTTTCTTTTTCAAGGGAATTCCTAAATCAATAATTGTTTTCAGTAAATTTGGCAATTCAATATTTCCACATTGAAGTATTTCAGTGCTTGAAGAAAGCAAAAAGAGGAAATTCCAGAGGGTCTATTGTTGAAATTGCCAATACAAATTGCTTCAAGCTTTCAGTTCATCAGCAACGAAAACATAAAGGGCAAATATAAACAAGTGATCTCAAGGTTTGGGCAAAGGGGAACTTGGACAGTATCGATATGTCAGGCACTGAATAATAAGATAATGTGATAGTGTGATAGTGTGATATGGGGATATGGTGATATGGGGATGTGAGGATATTAGCTGTTGGAGTGAATGGTCGAATTGTTGCATTGTAAATTCCTGAATTGAAACGTCCACCCACTTCCTCATCTTATTATTCAAGAGTGAATTCTGCTGTTTGTTTCACTGTTTTGCTGATCTGGATTTGGGCTATCTGCTGGTAGTTCTCACCTGCTGAATGAACTTTAACTATTTAGGTTGTGAGATAATCCACTTTACATTTTATTCCTCCATTTTGATGAGAGACCTGTGGTTAGGTTTCCCAACAGATAGCACTTTCTCTGTTCTGAGTAAGCACTAAAGGTGATATTCAAAGACAGCATGTTTTACTCTGTGGATCATGAATTATACTGTTGTATTGTATTAATAATCAAGGTGGTGGTATCGCTAGCACCACTGACACCACTAACACCACTAGCATTGTCTCTACCCCATTATTTCTCTCTTACTATCCCCTGCCATTCATTGGGAAAGGCCAAAGAGCCCATCTGCAACAGCAGTCTTTCCAAGTGAACCAGTCTGTGATACAATTGCTTTTGTATTGATGCCATATCAGTATCCGAATAACTTTTAAACACCAATCTCTGGCACAACTCGTATCACTCTGGTGCTGTCAGAGCTCCCTCCAGTTGCCAATTGATCACAGTGCTCTTGCTGGAAACTAAACTGAGATTGTGGAGAAGGTTTCCTCCGTTGGTTTCGATCTGTAGAACATGTTATCGGCAACAGTGTAGTGGTTGTTCAGCAGAGGCATCTCAGACACAGACTCTCTCAGCTCCAGTTCAGGTTTGCAATTGACATATCACCTCAGCCAGTCAGAATGCTTTTAGCTCGTTCTGCTGCTCTGCGTATTCTTAAACATTGTTAAACATCTTACCCAATTCCTCTCCAAACATGCAAGATTATCACACTGATTGTCACTCTTTGCTCTGCTATTTGCTCTTCTACTTGCTCTGCTCATTGCTTCTGCGCAACTGGAAGGAACAAACCGAATCGTGGTGATTCTCAACCCACTAGCTTCAGATCCAACACTCGATGCTAAACACGATCATTGGCCTGTTCTGCACTTCTTCCATTCAAGATACTTCTAAAAACTGACACAGATTTTCGATCAGAAGAAGTCACTCTTTTGGGGAGTTCTATTACTCAAATCCAATTTATTTTGTTCTATTTCATCAGTTTTGTCGTTTTCTTAACTCACTACCAGTTTGACTAGCATTCGTTCAAGAATTATACTGCTATTCCTCTGATTTATCTCTGTGTTTAGAATTCTAGGTTGGTTTTTTAGCCAAACATCTGAATTACTGCCTATTGCACTTCTCTATCGCTTGGAATTCCATTTTGGTTTGAGTTTTAGTTTTGGATTGGGCTCTCGTTTTCTGTTTCTCTTCTCTCTTCTCTCTTCTCTCTTCTCTCTTCTCTGCATTTTTTTTATTCTCTTCTTTATGCATTTCTTCCCATCTGCCTTCTCAGCTCTTGCTTTTGTTATAAATATACTTGTTTTTTTCCTCCCAAACTAATGTGTATCTCGTTCACCACTATCGCCAATAAACAACTCTGATATCGTCAAATCATTAACTTCAACAACATCCAGTATCTGATAGTAGTGTCCTTATTCTGCCAGCAGCATTGTTTTTTGGCTCTCGATTGGCCCAATTTCTCAGCTCTGTATCCACTTTCTATCTACTTTTCTCTGCTTTTTTCTATCTGGTTTTATCTGCCTTTTATGGCCAAATCACAATTGGTCAATTTTATTATATCGTCTTTCAAATACTGTCAAGGATAATCTAAGAACAGCCACTTTTCACTCCATCCTCTTCTGTCTCTCACTCATATTTACTTGCACTCTTCTTTCTCAACTTCATCTCATACTCATATTTCCTCTGTCTTTCTAGTTGCTACTCTTTTCAATTTTGAACTCCCTCATCTACTTCCCCTTGTCTCATTCAACTCCTTTTCATATTTTCATCTCTTTACATCTGATGCTAGCTATTCTCTGGCTAGTTCCAATACTCTGATGCCAATAATGATTAACACAAGACAAAAAAAGAAATACATCTGCTGCGATCATTGCTCCCTCAGATTCCAAAATATCAACGAGATTAAATCTCATTTCAAAGATCTCAATATTACAAGAAAACATCTATGTGATTTTGCTGGATGTGAAAGAAGTGTTTTGGGTTTCACTGAGGTCTCCAGTCTCACTCGTCATATCAAGACAATTCATCAAGATGAATATATAAACAGAGCCTGTTTTTTGGGTGCAACTCCTGAAGAACTTAAAAAAATCAAAAATTCTATACTACACAAATTTCATTGCAAGATTTGTGATAGTCGATTCACAAGACAAGATTGTCTCGATAGACATCACAAAAAAAACCATATGAATCCCTTTTCAACTTATAACAAAAGATTAAAAAAATTCAGTGACCCTAATGTTTATAAAAAAAAACAAGAAAAGAATGAAATTAAAATTCTTTTATATAACCCACAAAAGTATCTTAAATCTGATCCAAACTATGTTCATGGTAAAAAAATCAATAAAAACACTTCTGATCACAACAATAGCATTGATAAAAACTGTAAACTATCCAGAAACATCTTAAACGATCAAATCATTCAAAATAACCAAGCAAGCAACTTTCAATTTTTAAGCAGTACAAATGTCAGATATTACGATCCTACTAATCCAAACTTTATTGAAAATGAAAGAACCTACAACGATCTATCGTTTCAACATTCTCCATCTGTTGGATATACTGATGTCTCTGCTGAATCAATTACAGATAGAATCAAAGAAATTGTTAGAAACGACTACGAGGATTTGGCTGGAGAAGACTATAATGAAGATGAATCTCTTTTTGCAGACGATGTCCCAGCCTCATGCAGTTCCTATTCTAATAGCCCAAATGTTGTTCAAATTCCTTCAAGCAACAAGCACTATACTGTAATGGAGATAATCAATGGGAAAAATTACGTGAAAAATCTTGAAAACTATGATCATGATGATAACTATTACCATTACAATTCCAATGGCCAATACGCCACTATCAACCACAATCTGACTTGCCAATATAACTTGAATCCAATTGATAAATATCTCTTGATTGATCCCTATAACCAGAATAATCCATTCAATCGCCAGGTTCCATATAACCAAACTAATGAAACCCAACAAAAATATTACCAATCAGGTTCTTACTTTCCCAGTACAGTTAACCAGTACCAAAGTAATTGCCAGCAACAACAACCCCATCAATTCTATCAATCTTATCAATCTTATCAATATCACAATCAGAATTATAATCGAAATCCCCACCAAAACCAATTTCAAAATACCTTCAACCATAATGAAACTGGTACTTCATATCTTGTGAACAACCACCAAAATAGGTTTATTAATCATGTTCAGAATCAACGCTATCAAAACACTCAGTATCAAAGCACTCAACATCAAAACTGCTCTTATGGCAAATACTATTCTTCTCCAATAAACCAGCAGCCAGTTTTCAATGTCCCAGTGGCTACAAAAGTTCTAACAGCTCCAACAGCTTCTGTTTCTATAGTGACTTCTTCTTCTTTTGATGATTCTGGTGGCGTTGTCGTTCAAAGTACTGCTAATGATAACTCGAATGGTGTTAGCAGAACTCCAAACACTAATAATGATCTATTATCAAAGGAAGACCAATTGAAATTATCTTTCATTCTTAATTAAATTTATTTATCACAGGCTTTCGACTGTACAGTTTTGTTAAATTATACACATACTTAGACTATTTCATTTTATATTATTTCTTTATTCACATTTTTTGTTGTTGGGTTTTTCATTAAAGAGGATTTCTTTTTTCAATGTTGTGTAATTATTTTATTTAATTTGTTTTATGAACTTTGCAATCTTCATCATCTTCACCAATTGACGAAATGTTTAATACTTTACTTTAATTTTTTTATTTGGTTATACAAGTAAATTTTTTATTTAATAGTTTTATCCTTCATTGTTTATTTACCTGTATACTACTTTGAGATAAAGACATCTTTTTTACTTTATCTATAGCATTAAAATATAATGACCATTGAGACGCTGTTTGGTTTACAATCAGAATAGCAAATGTAGCCTATTGGGTTTGAAAGAGATTTGGCAGCAAAAGCAGCATTCTTTCAGCTTCTTTTGCCACAAACAGACTTTTTGAGCGCTAGGAAATATTCTTAATTATTGAATAAATAGACAATTTCTAAACAGTCAATTATATGTTTTATGTTGTTCTAAAGAGCAAAATATTAAAGCAATAGATAATGAAGAGCAGTTATTACAGGTTAATCTTTGTTAGTTTAATATCGTTGTTGGTGCTTACTAAATCAGCAAATGGATTCATCCATCCATTGTCGATCAAAAATCGACATTTCATTGATTCTGTGACAAATGAGCCAGTAAGTATTCAATGGTTAGTAATTGATAGTTGGATAAATGATTAGATGACTAATTAAGATCAGTTTTTTATTAAAGGTGTTGATTATCAACCAGGAGGATCATCAGGAGTTAATACAGAGAAGGATCCATTATCAGATGCAGATGTTTGTGCTCGAGATATAATACTATTTCAAGAGTTGGGAATTAATACAATTCGAGTATATTCAGTGAATCCAAATTTGAATCATGATAAATGTATGACATTATTGGCAGTTGCAGGAATTTATTTAGTGTTGGATATCAATTCGCCACTAGAGAACCAGCATCTACACCGATATCAGCCTTGGACAACATATAATTCAGAGTATTTGAAACATGTATTTAAAGTGGTTGAAGTGTTTTCGTCGTATAATAACACATTGGGGTATTTTGCGGGAAATGAAATTATTAATGATAAGACATCCGCAGAAGCATCACCTATATATGTGAAAGGGTTAATCCGAGATATTAAACAATATATTTTAAAAAACTCACCAAGAGTTATACCAGTTGGATATTCAGCAGCCGATGATTTGAACTTTCGAATATCGTTGGCCAAGTATTTGGAATGCTCAATTGATGGAAACAATGAATTATCAATAGATTTTTATGGGGTAAATTCGTATCAATGGTGTGGTAAGCAAACGTTTTATACCAGTGGATATAACATATTGGTGGATGATTATAAAGAGTTTACTAAACCCTTATTCTTATCAGAATATGGATGCAATGAAGTCAAGCCTAGAATGTTTGAAGAAACAGACGCAATATATTCCAAAGATATGAATAAAGTGTTTTGTGGAGGATTGGTGTATGAATTCACACAGGGGCCTAATAATTACGGGTTAGTTGATGTTGATGATGATGGAAATGTTCATATTTTAGAAGATTTCAATCATTTGAAAGATCAGTTTAGTAAGGTTGTATTACCGACTTCGAAGGACATATTCAATAGTAATGATAAGATTTCGAAAAATAAGAAAAAATTCAATCTAAATCTTAACCTTAATAATAACAATAATAATAATAATCTTATTAATAGTAATCAGAAAATACCAGAGTGTGAATTAAATTATGACAATTTAAAAGTTGATTCAGCTATTCCAGAATGCGTCGGACAAAGTTTAATTGACCAGGGAGTTATATCAAGTTTGAATAAAGATGAGTTGGATAGTTTGAGCAAAAACAAAGGAAATTTTGTTCCCTTAACCGAGGAAGACTTGATAACATCGTATACAATCTATGATGTTAATGGAAATACGTATCCAAGAAAGAAGTATGTGCATGTTATGAGCTACGCAAAGACAGGGAACAAGCAGACAAATTCGAACAGGATGGATGGTGACTTGGAAAAAAGCAGCATTGGGGTCAATGCTGGAAGCTACATTAGCAGTGGCAATGAGGTTATTGGAATCACCAACAACGAAGATACTGAAGAGAAACCAAAGAAAAGAGGCCCATTTGCGTTTTTGTTCAGAAACGAAGGTGAGTAAACAACCAACACACCTTTCTCCAACCACAGGCAACTACTAACTAAAACAACGCAAATTGTAGGCAGCAGCGTGAGAAAAAGCGGAAACTTGAGGTCTCTTCTGGTGTTGAGCTTGGTGTTCAATTTAATGAGTGTGATTTTGGTGCTCTTCTGAGATTTGCTTTTGAGCTTTTGAGAGCTCTTTTTTACTCGCCATCTTTTAATAACCATCCCTGTGGTTCAACGCATAAACACGCTTAACTGCTTAGAATCCGTTAAGGTGGTACGCACTGTTACCCTTTTTGTGTTTTCAAAAAAGGGTTTTTTTCTTTTATTTCTCCATTCACTTCTTTACTTCCTTATTCTTTATTTATTTCTACTTAATCCACAGCAGAAATCTACCAGTAAGTATCTTCTACTTATCTTTACCCAGGCTGATAACTGGATGACTTGAGGTTAATCAATCCCTTTTTGTCTTTTAATTGTCTGGGAGAGCAGCAGTTTTGCTGGAGGGAATCTAATCTTACACAGTGGTGTTTTGCTTTCACAGCTCGACTGTTTAATTTTCCTTCTCATTCTTTCTTGTTTTCCTTTTCATTTCTTTTCTATTCTTTATTTTCTTTGGTTCTTTTACTAACAGACTCATTTCAATGCTCTCTAGAAACTGATGCTTTTCTGAAGGAAATCCCTCACTTGTTGCAACAAATATATAGCCTTTCTGGAATCTTTGCCTTTTTTTTATTTTTTCCCCGTGTTATTCAGCACACTTGTTTTTCTCTCTTTTTTCTGATTATATTTTTTTCTCTTTTCGTATTCAATAAACAAATTTCTGATCTCAATTCATCGCATTTGTATTTCTACTTTTTTAATAGCAAGACCTTTCTTTCTTTGATATAATGATACTAGCAAAAGAAGTAGCTTTTTTTAACTATGTATGTGTTTCTATTGGTTTTTTTGGATTTTGATCGAAATTTCATTGTCTAACATTTGCTTTTTATTAAGATTAAACCATTTTGTATCAAATTATCAAATTTACTTCTACAACCTTCAATTAATTTCAATAAAAACTCAATCCAAATAACAAATTCGCTAAACGAACTAAATTCTGCTTTAAATGATTCAATTGACAAGTTTGATTTAATCGAGTTTAATCAGAATTTTCTCTTTTTTAAAAATGATAAAATCCCAGAGTATATCTTTCTACCAATCAATTTTTTATTGAATTTTGCCACTAATAATGATAATGATAATAATAATAATGGTAACAAGGATAAGAATAAGATTAACTTGTTAAGTATCCAAATCGAATTGATTTTAAAAATATTGGACTTCTTATTCATTTATACAAATTGGAATATTTATATTCCTCCATCTCAGAATAATAACAATAGCAACCATGATAATGATAACGATAATGATTCGTCTAAAAGAGCAGATTTTTTCCCTCTTTTATTATATTTAACCTTTGATTTAAATAATCAAAGTCATTCAAATAATCATAATGATGATAATATCAATCTAATTGAGTTAGAAAAATCCTATGATACAAAATTAGCTGGCTTGAAAACAATTCAATCATACTTGATTACGATCGATAACTACGATACACTAATTCTTTCTCAATCTCAACTTAATCCTGATCTTAATGATAGTAACAATTCGTCCTCTCTGTTATTCATTTCATCTCAGAAAAATCTCATCTTATCATCAAATTTAATATCCCATTTACTATCCATAATTCAGTTCTCAACTTCAAATATTCAAATCCAACTAGCCTCAATTCACCTCTTAGATTTCCTATTTCAAAGCACCTTTCACAAAAATCCAAACCACTTATTCAAAATTTTGCCCGGTACCATTTCCATCTTTAACAAAATCTTATCTAAAAACCAAATTCTAAATAACTCAAATCGAACTATTAAGAAATTCAATTCAACTGTTTTAATACAAATTTTAAATATTTTTTCTACTCTATTAACAATAGTAATTAATGATAATGATTTAAATCATATCTTATTATCAATTGAAAATGATGCTAACACCAATAATCAACATAATCAAGAGAGCCAATCAAATGAAACAAATAAAATGAAGGAAACAAAGGAAACGAATCAGATAAATGAAATAAACAAATCTTGGCTACTTTACACTTCAAAACAAATTAAAATCGTCTTTTTAAACATCTCAAATTCAAATTTACTTAAAAATAACTCAAAATTATTGCTCAAGAAGGCCCTTCTATCTCTTTACGACAATGTTATTAAAAACTCTGTATTATCTCTAATTGACTCAATTCCAATTATAATAATCTCCATTTCTTATCTTTGTGATATTAATACCATTAATAATGAAAACGTTATAATCGATAATCAATTAATTTCAAAGGGTCTTGAATTACTATCATTTATTTACAATAACAACAACCCAAGAGTTTCAAACTTAATAACTGACTCTCTATCAAATTCAATTGATAATTTGTCCAATTTTCTACACAAATCTGATCAGGATATTTTATCCTCTTATTTAAATTCAACTCTGTTTTTAATTGATATATTTAATAAAAATCAAATAAAAAAAAAGAATAATCAATTACAGAATCTTTTGAAAAATTCGATAATAACAATCAAAGAAGAATTATCAAGCTCCATTATTAATCAGAAAATACTGATCAACCAAAAAAATTCAACTTCAAAATTAAAATTATTGTCTTCCTCAACTTCTTTCAACTCATTATCTTATAGCTCAAGCTTATCGCTAATATCAAAATATACTCCTAATTTGGTCCAAGACGAATTTTCAAACTTAACTCTATCTAAAAAGGAATCATTATATTTAGACAAACTACAAAATTTGCACAATGAAATTGAAAATTTGTTTTTTTTTATATTTAATAAGAAAACAGAAACCTCTTTATCAAATTTATTAGTTAATATAGGCAAAAATGAAAACTCTTTATCAATAATAGAAAATTTATTAATAAACTCCGGTATTTCCATTTTAGACAAATCGTTAACAATATATTTAGCGAGTAAAATTTTAACTGGCTACAATCAATTTTTAAATAAAACCGGTAATCAAGATATTCAAAATTATGATAATGATAATGATATAGATCAATATTTAAATTTTGAAGAAGCTTCTGATTATTCTTCAATTGAAAATGTTGAATCAAATAGACAGGAACTAGTTTCATTTACTTTAAATATTTTAGAAGTCACAAAGGAAATATTTGAAGAAACCTCAACAATAGCTCCCGATTTTTTGTTAGAAATCATACATTCGATTTCATTAAATTCAATTGGAACATGTTGCGAAATCTTAGGCGAGTCTTTTAAATTCGAATTAAGTGATTATTTATATCCCATAATTGATGGATTAGCTTCAAACTCAGAAACTATTAGAAATATTGCTCAACAAAATTGTTTATTGATATCCAAGATTTGTTATGATTATTCAGTTCATAATTTAATCTTTGAGAATTGCGATTACTTATTGGATTCAGTCAGTATAAGGTTGACTTCTTCAACCATTACACCAAGAACTGCAACAGTATTAATGGTTTTGGTAAAAATTAGTGGGTCTGAAATTCTACCTTACTTGGACGATATTTTAAATTCCATGTTTGTTTTATTGGATATGTATCATGGATATGCAGTTTTATGCCAGGGATTTTTTGCTGTATTTGATGTTATTTTAGATGCAATCAATGAAAAATATTTAAAAAATTATGATTTTTATGGATATTTTGAAAACTTAGATAAAGACTTAAAAAAAATTCAAGATCCTTGGGGAATGAAAAGCATCAGTGATTTAGTGTCATTTGTAAGTTTTGGAAAGAATGATATGAGCGTAGAAAAACAGTATGGGGATTTAAAAGACGATGGTGATGATGAAAATGATACTGATAGTGATGATGAGAGTGTGGATGAGAGTGTCGATGGGAGCATGGGTGAAGAAGATGATCAAAAGAATATTGAAAGGAAATGGGAATCATCGACTCCAAAAAGTTTGTATTTATTAGTTTCGCAAATATGCTCTTATTGTATCAGATTATACCAACATCCATCAATTAATTTGAAGATTTCTATTTTGATGATATTGAAAAAAGTTATTCGAATATTGTCAACAAATTTCAATGAGTTATTACCAGTATTATCATCACTTTGGCCATTTGTTTCCTCATCATGCATTCAAAACAGCGATTTAAGAATGAAATTAAATGGGCTCATTTTATTTCAAGAAATGATTAAATACAGTGGATCATTTTTGTCAAAACAATATCTGGAATTCTGGGAGTCTATTAAAAAATCATTATACGCAAACGATGGAAATCTCAATATCAATTATAAAAATAAAAACAAAAATAAAACCCAAATGATAAACAAACAAGTTTTAATAATACCAGGAATAAGCTTAAAATGTCAAGAGATTCTTGTTGAAGTATTGGTAAGTGGAATTAGAGGTTTTGGAAATTTAATTGAGTCTGAAAAATTACAAGAGATTATTGAATATTGCTGCCATTTCATTAAAAATGAAAATGAAGAATATGATGCCAAATTTGGAAATTTTTCGGATCTTGCTTGGTATAATCTCAACAAGAAAACTTTAAATGAAAACAAACAGGACTTCTTTGAATCAGATTTGAAATTAAAGTTGAGAAGCAAAATTTATAGTTATTAGTTAAGCTGAATCAGTTATACAAAAAACCCTATTGACTAGTCTTTTGGATTTATTAAATGAATATAATCAAAAAAAAAAAATCAAAAGCAGCCTAGTTATTCTACAGTTATAGTTAAATTAAATTTATAAATCAATTCAGAATAATATAAATCAACCTTTAATTTTAGTTATTTAATTATTTCAATCATCAATTTTTCTTTACTAATAAAATGACTGAAACAAGCGATGCTAAAAATATATTATAACAAAAACATTTTGATATAAATTGTATACAAACTGAAAGAACCAAAAAACCAATTTTATTAAACAAACTAATTGTCTGCTTTGAAAGCAGCAATTTTTTTGGCAATTCTGGCTTCTCTTTCCAGTTTGGTCAATTTAACGTCTCTGTATTTCTTGGAGTTAGCAGCATATTGAGCTTTAGTGTATTTCTTGGTGGTTGGTTTGAATTCCGGGTTTTCTCTAATAGCTTCATGGGCATCGGCATAAATGTCTTCAATTCCTTCAGCATCAATGTCATCGTCAATATAGTTTTTGAAAATAGTTCTGTATTTTTCTTCATCATCATCGGCCAATTCTTCCATGTATTCGGCAATGTGGCCACCAAAAATGTATTTTCTTAAAGTTTCTGAATCTAATTCACTAGATTCGAAATCCCAACCTGGAAATCTGTTTTCAGAGTGAGGAATGTACAAACCACCATCAGAAGCACCTTTAAGGGCACCAAAGACTTTGGCACCGGTGGTGGTTCTTTGTAGACCAACATCTAAAAAGACTTTGAAAGGTCTTGGAGCATCTTCAACGGCTTCGGTTAATTCGAATTCACCTTCTGGTTCGGTGACACCTTCATAGGTTTCATCTAAACCTAATTTTTTCAAAGTTCTTCTGGCAATCAATAAACCGGTTGCGTAAGCAGCAGACCAGTTAGTTAAACCGTATTTGATACCGTATTTTGGTAATTCATGGGAGTAGGCAGCAGCTAAGACGATATCACCAGTGATTTGTGATGAAATGATTTGACAGATGATGTCTTTTTTGGTGAATCTGACAACTAACCTGTATTTTGGAGTGCTGTACTTAGCTTTGTGCTGAGCTACTAATCTCTTTCTTTGGTAGTAATCAGTTTTACCTTCTCTTCTACGACGGAAAGGAGTTTGGAATCTTGAGTAGTATGGAGAAGACTTTGTTTCTCTTTGGAAAGGCATTTTGAAAATGTAAAAAAACCGGAATTAATTAAAATTGAATTAATTACAAGAAGGACTTTTTAAAAGGGAGAATTAAGAGAGGTTTGATATATTGAATCAATATATTGATCAACAGATTTGGTAATAGTCAACAGGGCAACTGAAAAATTTAGAAGTATCGGATTGAAGTATAGTCATGTGATTGTGAGCTTTAATGATGCTGAAATATCAAAGAGGAAGTGTGGTTATGAGCCGTGACTGCTTTTCTGAAAATTGGAAATAATTGTGACCCGTGTTAGTGGCACGGTTTGGTATGTGTATTTATGTAGACGCAGTGTAATGTTTATACATGTGAGAGCCATTTACATGGACAGTGTTTTCAGATAAGAAGTTGGTGATAAGCTGATAAGATAAAGAAATTTAGAAGCAGGGAGAATGTTTAGGAATTGAAAAATATAAATATAATGATATTTAAGAGGAAATAAAGAGCTCTATGTTGCTGTTTAGGAACAAACAGGAGAAGGGGTTTAAGAGAATGAAAAAGAAATAGATAGCAAAGCTATCCCACTATTTTATACAATTTTGAATTAATTTTGATGGTAAGATGATGGTACTGAAAAACAAGAAATAGTAAATAGCGAAGAATATGAAAAATCATCAGTGGAACAGCCGCTTTTAGGATGTACAAGTGATAGGATGGTTAGGGATGGAAGAAAAAAAAGAATTTGATATGATTATATAGAGGAATATTATTTAAAATTTATTATTTTTCAATTTTCATTAATAAATATTTTTCACTAATAGATAATTTTCATTAATTTTTTAAAATATTGTTACAGCCGATGAGCTATTTTAATAATTTGGTAATCAATCAAAAGTGAATGAATCAATTGATTAATTGAATAATTGATTGAATTATTGATTGATTAAATTATTAATTGGTATAAATCAAATTATAATGAAAGAGTATAGAATAAAAAATGAAATGCGGATGGAAAGTTGATATAAATGTAAAAAGTTTAATAGAACAGCTGTACCGTTGAACAAGAAGTTTAATACAGGAGGGAAATAAGCTGGTGTTCGTTAAGAAGAAGATGTTTAGTTTCTTTTACATTTTGTGTTATAATTAGCTTTTAGGTGTTTCCCAACCAAGATATGAGTTGTTACTGCTTAATAGAATAGTGAGCGAAATAAAATAGAGATTGGAATAGAAAGCCAAATAAAAAAAAGATGCAGAAAAGCCTAGAAAAATGTTTAGAAGCAAAACGGTAAATGAATAATTGAATAGATATGTAGAGTGGAAGAGATGGCAAAATATCAGAAATTGTTGTAAATTACTGTGAATTGACGTAAATTATTGTACATTATGGTAGATATTGACAAATTGCTGTAAGTATGAAAAGGAATTATAAAAAAGATGCGTATCATAATATAGAAAGCTAAAAAGATTATGGTTTTCACGGAAATGGTAAAACAGTGATGATATAATAACTATTATATTATTATATTATTATGTTATTATAATAACAAGTTAAATATATAGCAATTATATCAATGAATAACAATAGAATAAGATTTCGGATAGTGTGCGATATAATCTAGGAGATGAAAAAAAAGAAGGGTATTGAAGAAGGCATAATGTTGAGATACGATTGAAATGAATTTGCTATTATGAATAATAAAAGAAATAGAGGATTGGGGATGTATCTCCTTTGAAATTCTGAACTGACGAAGGATATTTGAACATCGGTTTCGGCAATGGCACAAAATTCCTTAGGATTTGGAAATGTCAAATGTGGATGAGAAGATCAGTTTGGAGGCCAGAGGCATTCAGTTAGAAGGACCAAGAGGACGAATGTCGTTTAAATGAATATAAGCAATATATAGGTGTGAGCAGTACTGAATGAAATGGGAGATATAACAGCTGGGGCAGATAAAGAGAGTGTAAGAGAAAGGCTGAGGGAAAGTTGCCTGATTGGGACAGCTGCTTATACTGCTTACGTAAGGAGGGGCACAAAAACAGCGCGCCGATTCCTCACGCAAATATGGCACGCAGCCGCAACGCAGCCGCGACCCGGCATTAGACGACACGCGCATGAACCCGACTCTGCGCGGATCTAGCGAGCCAGCGCTAGCCCAATGCGGCATGTTGTGGTGCCGGCTGAAATCCGGGCTTGCGGGCCTTCTGCCGCTCAAGATTCGAGACGATGAGTTGGGCAGGCTCGCAGTGTCGATGGAGGAAGAGAACCATCTCCAGCACAGCGGGTCTTGAGCATAATCCCCAGAGCACAGGTGTTGCACTGAGAGTTCCAGAGTTCCAGAGTTCCAGAATGCTAGAGCCCATGGCTCAAGTGCAGGAGCTTCAGAAGCAGCGCTGTCTCCAGCTCTGACGGCTACTGGCCTGTCTTACCGGCACATCAAAACAATGCAGGGTTCAGCCTGGAGCTGAGAAAGGGCATTGGCACCATGCTGGTGGAAAAGATTCCAGAGACCTGTCAAATTCAATTTCCACCACCCGGAGTCCGAACAAGAAGACAACAGCAGCAAGGCCCTAATTAATAACAAACCGATTGATAAACAGTGCTTATAGCTCATCTATTTCCATGGACCTGTTGTACTGGCAAGTGGGTAGGATATTTTCAGGCCATTATGAACCGCACTTTTGGACTTGAATAATGCTGCAATTGTTATTGCAGTATAATAGAATCGTGTGAGGGAATTAAAATCAATTGGTATTGGTTATTTGCTTTTAGTGTGTTTAGCAGTAGATACGAAAATAAATAGGAATGGGGAAAAACTATCGATCATTATTATTCCAATAATACATCAACCATTATAGTGGTAGAGATTTAAATATTTATATAGCTGGTTATATCAAGAGATATATGAAAAATACATGATTAAATATGTGAATAGATTTTTGAGTATAGCCAAAATTGGACAGCTTGATTATTCTTGATCATCTATTTTGTTTAGTTCAAATCAAGTAAGAAATCTGGGGCTGATAGTCTCAAAGTTCTATTAATCAATCATTTTTGATTACCATAGAAGTGTTCGCTAATATTTATTGTTTAATATTGATTTTCTTTTCGCTATGTACAGTCTCGGTCATAATTGTAACAAATCTGCTTTTGTTTTTGTTTATCTTTGCGATGAAATAACAAGTAAATAAACTATCCTGTGCACATCCTACTATTCTCGTAATGGATTGTTTATTCCAGTATTCCAGTATTCCACGATTCCACGATTCCACGACTCCATAATCCCAAAATATCCTGCTACGGTAGCACTACTGCTTGTAGTCGACACTAACTCTGCCCTGCTCTGATGGTGAAAGGCTAAAAATATAATAAAAAGTGTTCCTCTTTTTCGACCCACCTTGATTTGTTGATTATTCTCCACCAAAAGCGTACACTGCACTGTCTGGCTCAAGCAAAGCGCGTTGTATGTTGCAAACACTACGAATACCCAGTCACCATTACTCACCATCACAGCAAACATCGACAGCAAATAGAGCCTCAACAACAATTTAGCATTTATTATCCGATCAGCCAAAAGGTTGTGTTACTGCTTTTACCCCAGATTTCAAGTGGCAGACCTGAGCGGTCTCCGGAAGTGCGCTGGAAGAGCCATTCCGGTGTCAAGAGCACGCGCACCGGGAGGAGCTTTAGCCCGATCAGGCAGCGTTAGCGGCCCTGGCTCTGCTACAGGCGCGAGATAGCGGATTCTGCGTGGTCGGTATACGCCCAATCGGGCAGGTCTGGCAAGGCCGCACGCTGGGTCCATCCCGGTTCCCACCGCACCAGGCCTGGGCCGTACCCCTGCGGAGCGGCAGCGGAGGCGCTGACCGGGAGAGCAGCCTTCAACCGCGCCTGCTCGGAACGTCGAAGCTGCGTGTGGGTGCATTCGGATGCGTGTGTACAACGCGATATACCGCTATCAGGCCCGCGCTGGCGCCGGCAACGATTTCGCGTGCGCGAGAGGGGGGTGGCCTGTGCAGCTCTAGAGCTCTCGACCCAGTTCTTTCTTTTATCTGTTCTTGATGGCCTTGCTTTTGTATGTTCTCTACACTGTACTCAAGCTGCTCTTCTTCCAAAGTGGTGTGTTGCTGTTCGCTAAACAGCAATATTCAATGCTGTGAGACTGGACGATCCATTTTAGATTTAGAGTTTTCAACTTAAAATTTAACTAATAAACAACAATTTTTTTTTTTTGGGTTTTTTTATTTCTTTACTGTTTTTTGTTTGTTGGTTGTTAATTATATTTGTTTGGCTTTTGATTTGGGTTATATACTTCCTGATGATATTTGTATAAATATATTCAATATCTCTGTGCTTTTTCATTTCTTTTTCATCTCTTTCTTATTCCATCTTTAATATCGATACCTCCATCAATACCAATTTTCCATATCATTTCCAAAAGATATTTCATATCTCAACACAACTCAACTCAAGAGTTCAATTCAATTGATATAATTATTTTATTCAATTATCATACTTTTTGATTCAAGAGACTGCAAAAGTAAAAACAATAAAAAGAACAAAAAAAACATACATTCAATTCAAAAATCAATAAATATTATCTTTCAACTACAATTTCTGTAATTCCTCCAAAAATTAAAACAAACATACAAATAATTAAATTATCCACTATTTTTAATTCAATTGCAATTTCCAATCACATTTTCATTCACATTTTCATTCACATTTTCATTCAATTACCTTCTAATATCCTCTCAAAATGACTGTATCCTCCACTTTAGACAACAGATCTGGTGTATCGTACCCATCTTCTTCTGACGATGAAGCCTTTTCTTCCTCCGAATATAGAATCCCAACTTCAGCTGGCAGAATGCTCACAAATGTTAGAACCCACACTTTAACAAAAAGAACTCCCATCGGCTGGAAAGCTGAAATGCTATACTCCAACAGAAAACCAAAATCAACTAGATTGACCTCTGATGGTTCAATTGAATGTGATTTGACCGGTTTCCAAATCTTAAACTCCCCTCTATTCAACAAAGGTACTGCCTTCTCTCTCGAAGAAAGAGCTGCTTTCGGTTTACAAGGTCTTCTACCTCCTGTTGTCAACACTCTTGATGAACAAGTTGAAAGAGCTTACAAACAATTATCTGTCTTGAGAACTCCCTTGGGCAAAAATGACTTCTGTACCTCCATGAGACAACAAAATAAAATCCTATTCTACGAATTGGTCAGAAGACATATCAGAGAATTACTTCCAATCATCTATACTCCAACTGAAGGTGATGCCATTGCTGCCTTTTCCCATCGTTTCAGAAAACCAGAAGGTTGTTTCTTGGATATCACTGACCCGGAAAGTGTCGAGACAAGATTAGCTGCTTTCGGTAAATCAAAGGATGTTGACTACATCGTTGTCTCAGATGGTGAAGGTATCTTGGGTATCGGTGATCAGGGTGTCGGTGGTATCAGAATCTCTATCTCGAAATTGTCTCTTATGACCTTATGTGGTGGTATCCATCCAGGTAGAGTTATCCCAGTCTGTTTAGATGTTGGTACGAACAACAAAACTTTATCCGATGACGAGCTATACATGGGTAACAGATTCCCCAGAGTTAGAGGTGAAGCCTATGACGCCTTCTGCGATCGTTTTATTGAAGTCGTTAAAAAAAGATTCCCCAACGCTGTTGTCCATTTTGAAGACTTTGGTGTTCTTAATGCCAGAAACTTATTGAAAAGATATAGAAACAGAATCTCCTGTTTCAACGATGATATCCAAGGTACAGGTGCCGTTGTTATGTCCTCCATTATCGCTGGTTTGAACTTCACAAACAGAGAACTACTAGACTCCAAAATCGTTGTCTACGGTTCAGGTTCCGCTGGTTTAGGTATTGCTGATCAAATCGTCTCTCATATGGTTACTCATGGTGCTACTGTCCAAGAAGCCAGAGATAAGATCCACTGTATGGATCGTTTTGGTTTAATTGTCAAATCAATGAAGGAAACTGGCTTGGCCAGCGAGGACCAACTACTATACGCCGATGATGATAAAGACTGGGAAAACGTCAACATCAAATCCTTAAGAGAAGTTGTCGAACACGTCAAACCAACCATCTTGATTGGTTGTTCAACTCAAGCTGGTGCTTTTACTGAAGAAGTCGTCAAAACCATGTACAAATATAACCCAAGACCAATTATCTTCCCATTATCAAACCCAACTAGATTACATGAAGCTGTTCCAAAAGACTTGATGGAATGGACTGATTGCAACGCTTTAGTCGCCACTGGCTCTCCCTTCAAGCCATACAAGGGTTACGTCTCATCTGAAAATAACAACTGTTTCTCATTCCCAGGTATTGGTTTGGGTGCTGTTTTATCCAGATCAACAACCATCAGTGATGAAATGATCAGTGCTGCTGTCGACGAATTAGCCAAAATGTCTCCAAAGGTTAGTAATCCAAAAGCTGGTTTACTACCTCCAGTCGAAGAAATCACTGTTGCCTCATCAAGAATCGCCACAGCTGTTATATTAAAGGCTCTTGAACAAGGTTTAGCTAGAATTGAAAACGAATTCCAACCAGGTACAAGAAAATCTAGAAAAGTTGTTGTTCCAAGAGACTTTGATGAATGTCATGAATGGGTCAAAGCACAAATGTGGAAACCAGAATACAGACCATACATTAAAGTTGAGCATCAACAAGATATTCACACTCATCAATATTAGTTTTTTAAAAAAAAAAATTACTATCATTCAAAAAATTATACAAATTATACAAATTATACAATATGAAAATTAATTAAGAAAAATTAGTTTCATTTTTTAATTTTTTTTTTTCTTTTATTCTTTATATTCGTTTCAGTTCATTTTTTATTTTTTTTAATTTTGAAAAGGAAGAAAGAAAAGTGTTCCAATTATCTATTAGTTTAAATAATTGTGAGATTTTTTTATTGTTTTTAACTTATTTTTTGTTTTTAAATAATCATTTTCGAAACTTTTTGTTTGGGGTATTATATTTTTATTTTTCTCGTTTCATTTTACAAGTTTAGTTTTTTATATTGCATTTATTATGTTTTATTTTTTTTTCATTTGATTTATATACTACCTAATACAATAAACAACTATAATTTCAATATCAATTCTCCATTGCCGATTTATCACTGCAATCAAATTAACCCCAGATTAGATCAGATAAGACTTAAGATAACCAAAAACACACAAATCTGCAAAGCTCAAAGCAATAATACATCAGCACAACAGCCAATCAGAGAGAAGTATATTCACAACAGCACTTTATCAAATACAGCAGCTGAAAAATACCTGTATGAAACCAAACCGTTTGATTTTCTACAATTTTTGCGTACAAGATTCCCTGTAATTTCAGAGAGAAGTCCAGAATCTGCACACACACGATACATAACATGAAGGGCTATTAGGTAACCGCTTAGTGTCGGTGCTTGCAAAAAGTATAATTACTGATTCCGAAAGCCCATTTCCAAAATTTCCTTGATGGTCAACAAAATGAGCTATTTTCCAGGTGCTTGAGAGTTTTTAAAAGTATTTAAAACCCTCGCTCTATTTGGCTGGAAAATGACATGGACCTAAGCAGACTGAAATCGGCGATGGAGCTTTTCTTGAAACTGATCAGCCTGGTTGAATCAAGTCAAGAAATGAGGGATAAACAGTGGCAGAGGGGGTGACTCCAGCTGCCTGGAATCACAGTCCAGAGGAAAAATTACAAAGAATTCTGACAAACGCAACAACTTCAACGACAAATCCAGTTGGAGACTCTCCATCAAAAACTGCTATTGTTTTTCTTTTCAACTGTTTTCTCAGACCCAGAATTCCCCAGAATTCTAATCTATCCACAACAATGGTCTCCGCGACTATACGCATAAACGCGTCAGACAGCGCTCTTACACATCTGGCCAATGGCAGGGTGCAAAAAAACTAGAAAAAGGGAGTAAATCCCGATTTGGCTTTTTCGGCACTTGCTGGAGTCTTTTTCTTGTGTATTTTATCGAAAACCATCCACGAATCTTTCTTCAACTGGATGTGAATTTATTTGGGTTGGTTTTATCTTCTCTTGTTATCCTCTTTTTTTTCTCTCGTTTTCCTTTCGTTTTTATCGCACTGGGAGGGGTCTTTTGTGCGTTTTCCTCTCCATACAACTATCCACAGTACTTAATGCCGGCCATTTACTCAGGTATTTCCGGTATACTTGAGAGCTAAAAACCGCCCCTCGGCCTTAACTATGGCCTCCCCCACGACTTTCCAAAAGGAAACCTTTTTACTACAGCCCTTTTCGCTGAAAATGGTTGAAAATGAGTTAAAATAATGAAAATGATCAAGCTGATTATATCCAAGCAGACAAAAGTGGTTTATCTGATGGTTGATGCCAATCTTAATCATCTCCAATAATGAAAACACAGCACCTCTTCATGTATTTTCCAGCAGGTAGTTTAAGTAGTTTAAATGTGGAGTAGCTATCTTTTTTTTTTTTTCATCAATAAAAGAAATTTCAATCAAGAAATGTATAAATATCCCATCAGAATTCGTTTTTTCTTCCTATTTTTTATCATTATATATAGCCGCTGATCAACAATCATAATAAATATCAATTAAATTTATAATAACAGTAATAATACTTTTTGTTCTAATAATATCACCAACAAAACCACCCTTATTATCGTCTAATTGCTTTTATTTTCTTTTTCCTCACTTCTATCTCACTGGTTAATCGGTCTATCCATCTAATTGCATTTTTTTTATTTTCTCTCATCGATTCACCATAGTATTAAGTATTCTACTAAATATCCCATTCAATATTCTTTTCCCCATAATATTCACATACTCATACACTCAAAATGTTTACCAATTCCTTTAGATCTAATCCTATAAGAAACCAATTGAGATACAATCTTAAAAATTTCAAAAACCCCAATAACCTCAAAAACCTCAATAACAAACGATTTTACTCTGAAAAATCAAAATACTTTCCCAAGGAATCTCCAAGAGAAGTAATTGGAAGATTTGCTACCTGGGCTGCACTCTTCACGATTGGTTTAGCCTATGGCTCATACAGAACTGTTGACAAAATACATGAACATCCCTTACCACATTTATTCCCAAATTCTTCAATTACTCCCCTTGACGATTTATTAAAACCTGTTTATGGTTCCACTGCTGATTTCGAAAAGGCTTTTAAAGAAGTCATTGAGTTATTGCCAGAAGGCCACACTTCAACCTCCCAATCAGAATTGGATCATCACTCTGATACCTATTGGAACTCTCATCATGCCACTGACGAACAAAGACCTGCCATGATCGTTTGGCCCGAATCAACTGAAGAGGTTTCCAAAATCTTGAAGATTTGCAACAGCTATAAAATTCCTGTGACTCCATATTCTGGCGGTACCTCTTTAGAAGGCCATTTTATTCCAACGAGAGGCGGTATCTGTTTAGATTTGAACAAAATGAATCACATCTTATCGATCAACGAAAGTGATTTGGATATCACATTGCAACCTTCAGTTGGCTGGGAGGATTTGGAAGAGTACTTACATCCAAAGGGCTTATTATTCGGTCCTGATCCTGGCCCAGGTGCTGAAATTGGAGGAATGATTGCTACTTCTTGTTCAGGAACCAATGCTGCAAGATATGGTACAATGAAGGAAAACGTTTTAAGTCTTACTGTTGTCTTGGCCGATGGAACAATCATCAAAACTAAAAAAAGGCCTCGCAAATCTGCTGCTGGTTATAATTTAACTGGTTTATTCATTGGCAGTGAAGGTACTTTAGGCGTGGTAACTGAGGCCACTTTGAGATTGAATGTCAGACCCCAAAATGAAACTGTTGCAGTGGTTCCCTTTCCTTCAATTGAAGATGCTGCCAAATCTGTTGAGCAAATTGTTTCCAAGGGCATCCAAGTCAATGCTGTAGAGTTATTGGATGATGAAATGATGAAATGCATTAATATCTCCGGCGAGACGTCTAAAACCTGGGTTGAAAAACCAACATTGTTTTTTAAGTTAGCCGGTTCTAAAAACGGCTTGAAAGAGATGGTGAGCACTGTTAAAGATATCACCAAAGGCAACAATGGTATTGATTTCGAGTTTGCAAACACTGAAGAGGAAAGACAGGAGTTATGGGCTGCAAGAAAAGTGGCACTTTGGTCAACCATTAATTATGGAAAGACGCTCAATCCTGATATTCAAGTTTGGACCACTGATGTTGCTGTTCCTGTGTCTAAATTGGCCAATGTTTTGAAAGAGACTAAAGACGATATGAAAAAATCAGGTCTAACAGCCACTTTGGTTGGGCATGTTGGGGATGGAAATTTCCATGCTTTCTTGTTATACGATAAAGAGACAAGAAAAACGGCAGAAGATTTAGTGGAAAGAATGGTGCACCGAGCTCTTGAAAATGAAGGTACATGTACTGGTGAGCATGGAGTTGGTTATGGTAAACGAGATTTTTTGATTAACGAAATTGGACAAGATCCAATCAGCTTGATGAGAAAGATTAAAATGGCATTGGATCCAAACCGAATTTTGAATGCTGATAAAGTTTTCCGGATTGATCCAGACGAACCATTAGTTGAGCATAAATGAGTTACTAACAAGTGGTTTTATTCCTTATTTGATAACCGATAATATTTTTTTTTGATTTTATTTTATTTGTGAAAATATTTTCGAGTTATTTTGATTCATTCCCATGTCCTTAGTATTTAAATCTATTTTTCCAAGATTTAGTACTTATTTATCAACTGCATTAACAATTTAAACATATTTTTGATTTGATTTGATTTGTATAATTGGTGATATTGTTAAAACCTATTGTGTATCCTTTTATTTTATTTAGTTTCCAGCTTTCTGTTCTTTTATTTCTTTTATTAATTGTATCACATTGCTCTATTTTTTAATTTTTTTTTTTCATTTCCTTTTTTATTGTTTTTTTTATTTTATAGATTCCTTTATACCATTTGATATATATAGATAATTATAATTTTCATTGTTATTTTTTTTAGAGTAGTAAGTAGTAGTATAATAAGTTGGCGGGAGATGGATAATATTCTGTTTTCTGGATTCATTTGTAGATTGTTTTGTTATCGAATAGCGTATTCAAAGATGGAAGAGAGATATATAAATACGTGTGTTATCTGAAAAGAGAAATGTAGAGAGAAAGGCGTTTTGAAAGAACGCTAGGAACGTTTTAATTCCTTCATAAGAATACAATTGGAAGAGTAGGTTTTAAAATGTATTGGAAATAGTTGGGCAACGCTTAAGAAGGGTTTGAAAACAGTCAAGTATGGTAGCTTTTTAAAGGATTGAAATAAACAAGTTAAGAGGATAGTTTAGTGGATTGAAAATTAGCATTTTGACGAAACAGTCGCCTTTATAATATATATTTTTCTAAAGGATTACTGTTTCAAATTAGATTTCCATTTGGGAGCAGTCCTCAATTGTATTATCTGTTTGACGTGGATGGGTATAATCTATAATCTGGGAATCTGATGTGATTTGATGTGATCTGATTAGTGAAAGTGAGAGGTAGATATAATAGGCTCTGATTAGATGGCAAATATGAAAAGGATAATTAAAACACATTAAATTTGATTAGATAAAGACAGTTTCAAATTAAGCAAAATTAAAAAATGACTCCTTAATCTTAATCTTAATTTTAATTTTAATTAATTCTAATTCTAATCGTGGTTAGTGTTTTTCAATGTTGAGTTGGGAAAATGAATCTGTATACAAGATTTTGAAACAGTGAATATATAAGCAGGCAGTCATTTCAGTAGCTGTTTTGAACAATAAAAGCAGTGTGGCATATTTTCTTGCAAAAAGTAATCTAATCAGCTAATCAGCAAATATTTGGGAATGGACTGCTGAATAGGATACATTTTGGAAGCTCAGTACCAAAGCACTTCAAATTGTTATTATTACTCGCTGAGGGAAACTAAATTTTCACTCTAAAAATATGCCAAAATAATTATTGGCAGTTTGGAAAAGCAGATAAATAATAAACAAGCCCTGATAAGTTTTGCTGAATGGTCTTTGTTGGAAAAATGCTTTTAACTTATTCTGATTTCTGGAGGTTTCAAACAAAAGTTGTGAAGTATTCCAGTTTTTTTGGGCTCGGAAATCAAAAACAAAATTTCACTGTGTTTTCAAGACATTTCTCGAGACCCGCTTCTCTGGTCGGCGCTGATTGTGAGTTGAGAGACGTAAACTAGTGTGATCCAACCTGTGGTTGCGTCTTCCTGCATGTACCTCCCATGGTCACGTGATTAAGAACTTCTTTGTATTACTTTTGCTGAGAGGGTTTTTTTGGAGTTGGAAGGGTTCAAACAGCAGTTCAAAAGTAGCTAAGAAGCAATTCAACATTGGTTAGAACTATTCAAAAACCTCAGCCCGTGGAGCTTATTGGCCAGAGATTGAAGACGAATATTCATTTACCACTATCTTCCTGATTCTGATGGTGTCGTGGAATAAGCTCTGGATCTGCATTTTCTGTTGTGATTTCCTTTGCCAAATGTGCTAATTGTTGGTGATCGACAGAGGATTCGACAATGTTCCAAACTCTATTGATCCAAACTGAAAAGTTTTCCACTTTTCTCTTTCCAACTCCTGAAATCAACCACCTATTATGCAAAAAAATTGCACTTTGCCTGGAACCAAAATAAATCAGGCCAATTTTGCCTGCTAACTTTGAAAATGTATCACTACTCACCATGTCCTTTATGTATTGTCTCCAAGAATTGTCTTGACTATCTTGCTAGAGATCCCAAATTTCGTGTTATTTGCTGAATTGTCACCATGTACTACAATATGTATTGGTATTCTGATATACAAAAGCTAATTTGCTAGTCTTTTGTTTATTAAATGAATTTTTTATTAAAACAATTTCAGCTTTATATTAATACTTGTTTTCCCTTGGTTTTTTTTTCTTTCATTTCCTCTTTATTGTTTTAAAAGTTGTTCCCTTAAATACTTGGTCCAATTTTCCCTCATATTCCCTTTTTTTATTGTTCAACAATATAGCTCGGTTTTGGTTCTCGCAAACAACATTTCTAAAAGTTATTCAACGCATCCCAGATATTATTGAGCTGCTAATTTCCAATTAATACTCACTATTTTTTGAAAATTTTTGTAAAATAACAAAAAAATTGAAGCTAAGAATTTCACTTGCCTCAATTAAATTACCAACTAGTTTCTAGAAAAAAAGAAAGCCCTAATTTTCTCATCATGGATATTGGGAATAACAATAAAAATAGTGGGTTCAGCTATGGAAGTAACGATCCAACAGAGGTCTCTTCAAATGAATTCATACAACACAACAATCGCAGACAAAGTAATGAGAGCTTGAAAGACAGCGACGAGAAGCATTCCAAACATCGCTCAATCACCAAAAGAAACTCATTCATTTCCTCAAAACCTATCGATTATGAGAACTTTACTGGTTACAACCTCGCTGACGACGCTGAAACCAGCAACTCAAACTACCATCGCCAGTCTTCCTCCAACCCAAGGCCCATCAATGATTCAGACAATGACAATCGCTCCCTCAACACCTCCTCCACTGCTTCCACTGTTTATAGACAGGTCTCTTACGAACTACACCAAATCACCTCGCCTCCCCTAGCTAACGAAGTGGGCCATCGTTTGGTTAAAACCCTTTGTGCCTACCAGATTATGATGATTTTGCTTGGTAGTGCTCTTGGTACAGGTCTTACCATCTCCTCAGCTTCCCAACTACAGAAATCAGGTCCGGGCTCTTTGTTCATTGCTTATATTCTTGTTGCCACATTGATCTATTTTGTTGTTGGGGCATTGTGTGAAATGTCCAGTTACATTCCCTTGCCCGATGGTTTTGTTGGATATGCTGGTAGATATGTCGATCCAGCTCTTGGTTTTGCTACTGGTTATGCCTTTTTATTCAGATTTCTAACTGCCATTCCCAATCAAATCACAGCTGGCGCCTTGGTGATTCAGTACTGGGTTCCTAGAGATCAAGTAAATCCTGGTGTGTGGGTCACAATATTTGCAGTCTTGATTGGTTTCATCAATTATATCAACATTTCCAAGTTCGCCGTTGTTGAAACTGTGTTGTCGTCCTTCAAGATCATCACAGTGTTGGGCTTGATTCTCATGTTGTTTTGTATAACCTTGGGAGCTGGTCCTGAAGCTGATGGTCCAATTGGTTTCAGATACTGGAAAAACCCAGGAGCATTTGCGCCCTACGATTCATTGCACCTTGATAACGATGGTGGGAAATTCTTATCCTGGATTACCACTTTAACAGGTAGTGTCTATGCATTTATGGGTATTGAGAATTTTGCCATTATTGTTTGCGAAATATCTAATCCAAGAAAGACCATCCCAAAGGCCTTTAAATTGACATTTACCACTGTGGCTTCATTGTATATCACTTCGGTTTTCCTTTTGGGATTATGTGTTGCATATAACGATGCAGTGCTAGTTGAAGCTGTCTCAAATTCTAGTGGTAACGCAGGAGCCTCAGCATTTGTCGTTGCAATTGAAAACGCAGGTATTCCAATTCTTGACCATATTTTCAACGCCTGTATGCTAGTATTTGTCTTTTCAGCAGCCAACACAGCGTTGTATTTCGGTACCAGAGTCTTGTATGGACTATCAGTCTCTGGAAATGCTGTTCGAATTTTTTCCAAAACTAATCGTCATGGAGTGCCAGTCTACTCGCTATGTTTTTTCTTGATTTTTGATTGTTTGGCTTATATGAATGTAGCAGAGGAGTCTAGAAAGATTTTCAGACATTTCATCAATGTCAGTTCAATGTTGGGGTTAATGGGCTGGACTTCGATTTTCATTTCACACATTAGATTTGTCAAGGCATTCAAAGCACAGGGGTTGGACAGAAAAGCAGACTTGAAATACAAATTACCACTTGCACCATACAGTTCCTATATTGGTTTGGGTGTATCAATTGTTTTATCACTATTGAAAAACTTGAATGTTTTCTTGGATATCAACACTTCTGGATTTAGTTATGAGAATTTCATTAGTGGATATATTGGTATTCCACTTTTTGTTGGATGCTACCTTGGATACAAAATTTACTTCAAGACTGAGTTTATCAGATCCGATTATGTTGATTTGTTTTTTTATAAAGATTACGTCGATGCAGAAGAAGAAGCCTTTTTAAAGGAGAAAAAGGAGAAAGATTTGTTATTAGAAGAGAGAAAGGGCACACTTTACTACAGATTCAGGAAATTGCTTGAACTTATCGAATAAGATACGTTTATAACGAAAGATACCCAATATTTTTTTTATCTTATCTTATTTTATTTTATTTTATTTTATTTTATTTTATTGTTTTGTTTTGTTTTGCTCTATTCTTTATTTTTGTTCTTTGCTCTTTGAGTAAATTCTGGTTTTCTATTTCTCTTCCATTGCTTCTTTTTTCTTCTTTTTCTTCTTTTTCTTCTTTTTCTTCTTTTTCTTCTTTTTCTTCTTTTTCTTCTTTTTATGTTGTTTGCCTTATCTCTTTGTTTTTATTTTCCTTCTTTTCTTCAGTGACCAATCTTTGTTTTGTCTTGTATTTTAGAGTCAGTTTCAACCACTGCTTCACTTCAGTTCTCAGTCTTCCATTTTATTGCTTCCTATGTATCTGCTTTTTCTGAAATTGAATAAACGAATCAATTCTGCTATCTTTGTATATTTTCAGTAGCTTTCTCGACATTAATCAACAGCAAATCAATGATAAATCAACGATAAATCAACATCAAAGCAAATCCGAGCTAAAACATAAACCGCGGTGTCGGCGCTTAATTCTCCGTTGTTTTGCTCACAGCTTTATCTGTATCTCTTCCTCTTCTTCCTCTTCTTCCTCTTCTTCCTCTTCTTCCTCTTCTTCCTCTTCTCTATCTTCGCCATCTTCACCATCACCATCACCATCACCATCACCTTCTTCTTCACCATCTTTTGACAGATCCTGCTTCTGCTGCTTCTGCTGCTTCTGATTCTTCTGCTGGCTCTTTTTGCTGAGGCCTTACTTTTGATCAACTCGTCTTCCACTCTGGCTGCTGGCCTGTATGCCCTCACTGTCACTGGATTCTTTGCTGCTGGCCCAGCTATTTCTCCTTCTCCTTCTCTGCCTTTAGTTCTTCTCTGCTTGAGCAAAACTCCAGACTGCTGAATACTCTCTTTCAACTGTTCTTGCCATGAAACCCCTACAATCAAAGCAGTTCTTTAGCATCTCCTCCACCTTTTCATTGTCTCTTGAGACTTTTATCGATGCTCTAGCAAATGACAGAAAAGACTACTTTCAAAACAGAAGTTATGATCCCCTTCTATTTACCCAGATCTACGATCAAAATTTACACAAATGGTTCAATATCTCCCAAAGTCATAATGACTATCACATCGATAGTGATAATGATAACGATCATGATCATGATATTTTTGATTCTCATGATCTTCATGATCTTAACGACTACCTTCAAACTACAAACCTAAGACACTTACTACTAGATTTTTCCTTCAATGAAACAATTAATCAAATCTTAAAAGATTCAATTCTACTTCAAACCGCAAACCCCCATCATTTATCAATTAATCATACAAACTTGTCCCTACAATTCAGCTTATCTGATCACGATTATCTTTTATTATCAAAACTCTCAATTATAACTGACATTTCAATTTATCTATTCAAAATTTTCATCAATCAAAATGACCAAAATGACCAAAACAATCAAAACAATCAAAGTGATCAAAACAGTATAAGATTGACATCTCACGATTTCCCTCACTCGATTTTTGTTCAAATCCTTGAAAAATTGCCCACAATCGAATTGCTATCCACCTACTGGAACTTCCTTTCTTCAAGATTTGATATCTTTATCAATTTCCATTCTCTCCTAATTAAAAAGCAACCAGGCTCAATGATCTCCCTCACCTGCAATAACCTATTCAAAAAAATCTCAAATTTTGAAAAACTAATCCCCTTCAATTACAACTACTCCCCATTAAAGGGCAACATAATCTTATTCACCTCAAAGATCTTTAAAATAAATGATCTATTTCTACTAAACAAAGAGTGGAGCATCTACAGCAAAAAGGTATCCTACCCCTTTAGCAATAAACCCTGGTTTCAAGACTTTTGGTTCATGCAATCCTCTTTATCAAATCCTTTATTATACATAAAAAATGACCAAGCAATGCTACAACTAAAATCTCTATTCTCCGCTGTTTACCAACAATTTTATGACTTGGAGAGAAATTACCTAATGAAAAGACTCAAATCCGGTAAAAGACATGTATCAATCAATAACAGAATTGATTTCAATAAAATTTCAAACTTACTCAAATCTTCGAAATTAAAATTCTATAAAAAAAAATACTTTAACCCTCTTTTCACCATTCATCCAAATGTATTCGATGTTCAATTGCTGAGTGACCACAAATTTAGGAAAACTATCATGGTCCAATTGTTTATTATCATTTGTTTTTACTTCCAATTAATCGAATCTGTAAAGGATGATTTCATTAAGAATAATATTCCAGAACTAATAAATAAACCAATCAACTTTTTTAACGACATAACTCTATCTCAAAAGGAAACGAATTTCTTTTTTAAATTAAAGAAGGAAATCCCAAAATTATACACAGGAGACTTGAGTTTTCATTTCACCTTACTAACAATAAAAGACGTTAGTGATAATGCCTGGCTAAGATGGAAAATAAAGGGTTGTCCTCTGTTTGAGAAAAAAAAACTATCCTCTGATGAACTAAATCATTTTATATCTCACAATCTAAATTCTCTCCGACAAAATAAACTACCAAATCTTCCGCTATCAATGGGCGATTCAAATATTAATAACATATGGAATAAGCCAAGCAGTATTAATTATCTATCCCAGAACAATAATGAAACTTTTAAAAACCTTGATGAATATTTAAAAAATAAGAAATCTCAATCACAAAATCTCAATCGACCTCAACAAAACCTTGAAATACACCACAAAGAAACTTCAAACTTTTCAACTGAAGATAATCATTTATTGAAAAAATGGCAGAATTTAAGATTCGATAGAAAAAATGGCTCTTGGTTGAAACTGCTTTCTAAAAATTTCCTATTTAAACCACCTCTTTCTTATGATGAACAGTCAATTTTAGTGACTTCAAATGATAATATATCAGAATTACAAAATGGAAGCCAAAGCCAAGATCAGACAATTCAAGAAGAATTTGAGCAGGCAAATCAAAAATTAATGATTGACACTACATATGATCAAAATATTCAAATTAAAGGAAATTCTACAAATCATAATAATAACAATAATAATAACAATAATAATAATAATAATAATAATAATAATAATAATAATTTATGGAAAAATTCAAGGAAAAATTCGAAATTCAGTGAATTTAAATCCAATGATGAACCATATAGCAAAGGAAGTAATAAAGGATCCAATTTTTTTAACCCTAAATTCGATAATTCTGGATCTCCTAATGGAAGTTTTAATCAAAGGAGTAATAGTTTTAACACAAAAAATCATCAATTTGTTCCCAAACAGACCTACAATGATACTTCCCCAGAGGTTTACAATCAAGTTCCACATGATAAAAACAATTTCAACAATACTAAATTTGGATTTAATCAGAAAAATTTTAAAAATAACCATTATCAAAATTCCAGTTATCCAAGTGATCCAATGATGAAATCTAATTCATTTAGAAATCAACAATACCCTGGAAACCAAAAATTTAAACAAACTGGAGGTTATCCTCAACAACAAATTCATAATCAGGAATTTTTAAATGACCATAGATCAAACAGTAACTCTTTTAAAAGCCTCACAGATGATAGATCACTATTAAATATGCCTGGACAAAATACAAAGCCACGTTCAAGAAGTTTTGTTAAATCGAAGAGAAATGAATTTCAACAAGATTATGATTATAATCCAAATGAAAGAGATCCAAATGGCGGTTTAGGCTACGATAATAATAATTCGCATAAAAATAATTTTTATGAAAAGAGTCAATATAATAAACCATATAATAATAATTTTTATAACAATTCATACGAAAACCATTCATATGACGATCATTCATATGATGATCATAATAATGATAACAATTACAATAATCACAACAATCACAATTACAACAATTACAATAATAATGAAAGAAATTCGTCAAATAGAAAAGAAAATAACCAGTTATGGAATAGAAAGAGGCCTTTAAATGATACGTATAATTCTAATGATTATCCCTCTAAAAAGAAAGGAAATCATCTAAACGATTATTACAATAACTATTAATAGGATGAAAAGAATAGAAAGGTAAAAAATCTTCATATATTTATATATATTATTCATCATACATAGGGGCTTTTTTTTGACACAAAAACCAATTTCAATTGATTTTCTTTTTTTTTTGAACCAACCAAAAAAAGTTAAGATATAAATTATACACCAATTATTTAATAAATAATAAAAAAGAAAAAAAATACAAAAGAAAAATTATGTAAAAGTTATTTATTATAAATAAATTCCTACCAATTTCAAAAAATATAAACTAAAAATATAAGGCATAAAAGAAAAAAAAGAGAAATAACTGAAAAAAAATTAAAAAAAAATAATAAAAAAGCAAAGATATGAAAAAACTAGATATCCTTTTTTCTCTCATCATTTACATCTAGATTATTCGGATTTGTTGAAGGTATTGGTGTGCCTGTGATTTCAGAGTTATCTGTGGTATTGGTGCTATTTGATATTGATGACTTTCTTTTTGCTAAATCATCTAAAGATTTAACTCTGTCTAGCAACACTGTTGGTTCGTCATTAAATCTCAAACTTTTTCTTCTTGCGGGAAAACCAGAAGAGGAGCTATTATCATCAGCAGGGACATTATTGCTGTTATCGTTTGGATTATTGATGGGGTTATGATTGTTGGCATTGGAACTTGAAGAGGATTTAATTGTTGATACACCAGTGGCTTGAATATTTTGTACTTCAGGAATTGAAATTGAAACTTCATTTAAAGATATATTATCCAATAAACTATTTGATGATTTAATGTAGGGAATTAATTCAGCAGTTCTTACCCATCTTCTTCTTCTCGTATATTTTGAATAGGAGTCTTCGCTACTGGGCTTTTTCCAGGTATTATCATAAAAGATATAGCCATCATCATTTCGTGGATCCACGACCAATTTCGATTTATGACCCTTTGGAATAGTTAAAGCGCCATCGTTAGTTAGATCTAGTTTCCAATTTTTGTCGACCCATTTCCAGATCATATTATTGAGGTTATCATTATTCGATAGGGTTTCAGGTAATTTGAAATCGTCTGGTGGAAGAGATTCATTTAGGAATTCGTCTGTCCATGGTGCTCTTTCATAACTTAGTAAGTTAGAAGTCCAGCCAATACCTAACCACCTTCTTTGATTTTCATATAGGACATACGTGAAACGAATGGGTTTGCCATAGTTATCAATTGAAGACTTAGCAAAGGGGTCATCGATAGCGGATTGATCATTTGAGGAGAAGAAGGATCTATTTCCGGAGTTGGTGGAGTTATTGCTTATACCTGTATTGTTATTATTATTAAGTTTTAGGAAATTGTTTAGTCTTGAGTTTGAGGAAATTTTATTGAAATTCAAGCCGGTTAAATAGAAGGAGATTAATTTAAAAGTTTTAGATTTCCAAAGAATTCTTCGAATTATTTTGTATTGGATTGAATGATAAGTCAAAAGATGAGTTAATAAGAGTAATATAAGAACCTTTGGCTTGATGAAAAAAAAAGATACGATAATGTAAATTGGAGATAAGAAAACCGTTGTGAATAATAATCTTTTTAAATCATAAGTTGATAGCTTGAGAGAAGTTATTGGGGACAATAGGATTTCTGATTTAATGGAGACGCTTGTTAATAGATTTACAATATTATCTAATTGAACGTCATTTTTGTGAAATTGAGAAGCATCGGAAGCATTGTTTTTTGAAGTATTAGTACTGGGATTTGAGTTAAGATTATTCGAGGATAAATTATTGATGTTGATTTGCTGGATGATATAGAAATAAAGAAATAATAATAGGACAGCCAAGATATGACCAAAGTAGGTTATTATAAATTCAAAATATAGAACTAAAGATATTATAGAGAAAAGAATTGATAAGTTTATGAAGTAATTGTCGTTGGTCCAAGTTAATATACTTAGCAATTTATCGGTTAGAACCAAGTAGGGATAAGCTCTTATCAAGGCCTTGGAGACAGTTGTTGGAGTTGAGGCTAGTAAAGGAGAGGCTTTGGGTAAGAAATTCAACGAAGGGGAGCTGCTATTGATGACATTGCTGTGAGCATGGTTGACGTTGGAGGCCACTGGATCAGAAGATATGTTTGTAAAGGAAGCTCTGGTATCGGCTGGTGTGGAAGAGTGTTTGGAATCGTCCGGAATCGAGACTGAGGCAGAAAGAGGAGGTTGGAGTGAAGAAGAGGGAAGAGAAGAGTTGTGTACGTCAGACATGGTGGAAGGATATCAATCAGCAACAGGTAACCAGCTACAGGCAATTCGATATTCTTCTCAATCAGTGGTTTATCAGTGATTTGCCTTGTTTTGGATTGCTTCAAGATAGCAAAGTGCTGGGATGGGAATATAATGGGGGCGTTACCCTGCCGTGAAGGAGGTGGTTTTTAAGAGGGGGAAGAGAGGGAAGAGAAGAAAGAGAAGAGAAAGAAGAAAGGTGAGCTTCTTGTCGATGGAGTATATAGACTATGGTATACTTAGAATTGGAGGCAGCTAGCCAGACTAATGGGTTTTTTCATGGCTGTTCTCGTTCTCGGTGAGAGGAGAAATCTTGGGATTGAGAGCTGGGTTTTCCACTTTTTTAGCAAGAAACAAATTGAACAAGATCGACTCAAGGGTGTTCATGAAATTGCCAATTAGAAAGATCCAACAGGCTAGACTGATAGAACCATAAGGGTTTCGGGGCAAAGCTAACCAGAACTCGATGGGCTTGGGGAAAATTCCATTGGGCAACCAATAAAGATTGTCATTTGAGTAAAACCATCTTAAATACCAAAGAGGAATGGCAATTGACCAGCTTATAATTGAATTGAATCGCTTTATAGTTTTTTCGTTTTGTGTGATTAGTTTTTTTTCAAGGTTATTAATGTCTGTTTTCATTTTGTTGAAGTTTCTGTCGAGTTTTGTCCATTTTGCATATTGGTCTTGAGCACTTATTTTCAATTTTTCGTGGTGAATATGTTTGAGATTGGCTCTCATAGAATGTAACTCGTTGAAATCAGCATTTTTCCTGAATATTAGCAAATAGTAGTAGTTTAAAAACGAAGAAACGTTGTCGCTGCCTATAAGCTTGATGGTGTGTTTGAGAAGCAACCAGAAAAAGATGAAGAGAAGCGCATCAAACATATTCCTTGCACCTTGCTATTGATATCGGTGTCGATGTTGTTACTGCTGTGGAGGTGTGATTATATATGTGTTGGCCTTAGCTCGGTTGGTGTTCTCAGTATTAGCACAATAGCTGATCACTTCACAGCTCAAAAGCGAACTGGTCTCAAACCGAGCGAAATCCGTTCAGATTGCGTTTTTTCAGATTTCACGCTTCGTGCTTCAATATTGGCATATATTTTAGAACAGATAAAATGGTAAATGCCTGGCGACATAATGCAATTATTTTGAAAACTATAGATTAGATTAAATTAGATTAGATTATAAATATATATATGTAGCTCAATATATATCAGTTATATCTTGAATCGCTTATTTTCTTGATTTAGCTTCGTAGGTCTTTCTTTGGGTTTTAGCTCTTGAATATTGAGAGGCCTTTTTAACTGCAACAACTCTTAAATCTTCTCTGTAGCCCTTGACAGTGTTTGAAACTGCTAAAGCAACCCTTCTGCTGGATTTGCCACTTTTGAATGATTGAGTGTAGACTGATTGAGATGGTTTGTTTGAACTTTTTTGGGTTCTGGTTTTGAGAGTGATTCTATCATCAACTTCGCTAACACCAACAGCCTTATCATTAGCTAATCCACTGGAGGTTCTAGAGTTTTTGTTAGTTACATTCAATGGATCTTTGGAAAAAGTGAAATTTCCACGTTTAACCAAGAAAGCTGATTGGTTTTTGGTTATTTCCCAAATTAAATCATTAGAAACGTTAGAATAGGCCATTTTGTTTAGTAATATTCAAGCAGAGTAATGATTTCTAGAAATTTTTGCAAATATCAATGTCAATTATCAATTGTCGACTATCAAGCACCAATTGGATTTCTGGTTCGTTACTTCCTTTCGCTGGAACTGAAAAATTTTCAGGAGATGAAAACCTGAGGTGAGTGGCAGTTGCGAGCACTGCGGTTATATAGTATTACCCTGTCTACAGCAGAGACCAAAAATACGGATGTAAAAATAAAATAATTAGCTAATCAAAAGCAGTACAGTGATTACCTAAGTTTGATGTTGTGACCTTCGATAACCGACCTCCGGCCGTTTGTTACGAGTTAATACACTTTCGAGCATTCGTTCTAGTCGTTCAAATCCGGATGCAACATTCGATTCAATTAACTCAACTCTCTGATTTAATTCATTAATGTTGGAAGCGTTTGGTGAAGTATCAAGTTCCTCTTCGTTTTCACTATCAGCGTTCTTGACATGAATGCTGATTTTGACAGTCGTCGAAGGAAGGATAGAGATTTCTTCTAGTGCTCATGACTTAGTAGACTTCTCTTTCCTTTTCCTCTTGGTTTATTTTATTTCTATCTAGCTATTTAGTGATCATATTTATATTGTTTGGATTGCAATCTTCATCAAGGTATTTTTGAATTAAATGTTTTTTGCGGAAACACAATTTTCGTTTCATAAGTGGTTAAGTCTTGTGTATTTGGTTTGGGCAACGGATCATAATTGCTTCACGAACGTCCGAGTTCGGATTGTGTTTTCCGGCCACACCTCGTGCAACACTTGAACCGCGGTAAGAAATAAATGCGCGTATTTTTACTTTTTTAGGGCTATTTGTCGATAAGACTTGCCGATGATCGAATAATCCGATTCTAAATTATCTGATTTTGAACTATCTGGTTATTTAATTCAAAATCTCTCACATTTCCCAAAAACTATAAAACAAAAAAATGAAATCCACATAAATTTAAATTTAACAGTAGAACAACTAAAATCATAATCATAAACATAAAGCAATCAAAATATAAAAAAAATACTTCAAATTTTACCAAAATACAGAAGATATAAAAAAAATTAAAAAAAAATTAATTTGGCTTATTGTTATTATTATTTTCTGCGTTGTTTGCATTGTTTGCATTATCTGGCTTTCTATTCCTACTTAAACCATTTAATAACTGTGTATTGTTCAATATTGCTGCAACTGCAGGCCGGCTTCTGAGATTATTTTCCATAGTTAGTCTATTGATGTTCACACCATTATTATTAAGATTAAAGTTACTAAAATTAAAATTGTTTGCTCCATTGTTCAGGCTGCTACTATTATTGTTTCTTCCATTATTATTATCTGCATTATTACTTGCCATATTAACATTACTGTTAGGCACTATATTATTATTATTATTATTATTATTATTATTATTATTATTATTATTATTATTATTATTGCTGTTATTATTATTGCTATTATTACCTAAATTTGCATTATTTCCTGGGTTATCACTCATGTTATTCCCCACAATATTTAAATTATGCATCAGAACATTGAAGGTTTCATTATTGCCTGGATTTTGTTGAACTTTAGTCGAAACGTCCTCCTTATCCTTTTCAGCTTTTGTAACTTTTGTTTTCTTCTTTTTTGTCAGATATGTTCTTTTTGGTTTACTTCCAGTACCTTGAGCTGATTTAGACCCCTTCCCCGGAAGTGTTTTACCCGCTATAGAAGGACTGCTATTATTAGACGTTTTTTTACTTCTCTTTTGTTTAGGTTTTGTTACTTTCTTGCCATTAATCAAAGGCGAAGTAGCAGCTGATTGACTTTTACCACCAGAACCACTTGACTTCAAATTGATACTTGAAGATCCCGAACTGCCAGGCAAGTTCAATGAATTGACAATTGGTGTGCTCATTTTAGATGTATTTCTCAGTGCTGTCATCGGTTTAACATTTGCCTCACGATTAAATTCATTTTTCAGATTGTTATTATTATCACCATCGGTATTATTATTATTTTCATTATTATTACCATTACTATTGTTATTGTTACTATTATCACCATTCATACCTACTTGCATAGCATTTGAATTTGAGGTTAAACTGGATGAATTTTCCGTTTTTTGGTTTTGATGTGGCCCTAATGGTCGACCTTGCATATGAACTGCTGAGTTTTGTTGCATAAGACTCTGAACACTCATTCGTTTTTTTTCTTGTTTTTTGGCATTATAGTTTTGAAGTGTTCTCAACCTCATAAATTTCGAAGTCTCATACCCAGAATTTAATGAATCATAACTACCATTAGAAGAACTATTTCTGGTGGCAAACGACATCATTTTTTCATACTCAGAATCAAATCTTGATATATCTTCATGTAATTCTCTTAGTTCGTTTTTAAACTCTTTGCGATGCAAATGTTGAATATTAATTTTATTTTCATTTTTCCCCTCATCACAAGTTTCAATCTTTGGATATTCAATCGGAGGAATCAACATATCTGAACAATTTTGAAATGGATTCAAAGGAACAGATAAATCCAAATTTCTTTTAGTAGCTGACAAAATTTTGCTTTCAAATTGCAATGTATAATGATCTGGTATTTTAGGATTTTTTTCCACTTTATATAACATTTCATGAAAGGATGTCAAATCACTTGGTTTCAATACAACTCGATATGATTTTCCTTGCTTTTTTTTTTTTTTCTTTTTATTGTTATTGTTATTGTTATTGTTATTATCATTATTATTATTGCTACTGTTGCTGTTGTTATTACTGTTACTATTGGTATCATTTTTATTTCTATTCAAATTGTTGTTTTTCTCATTTTTTGAAATTTTCCGCTTCAGAGATACCTTTTTTTTATTATCATGTCTATGATCAATAACTTTTAAAATAAGACATCCATTGAATGTTCTAATTGAACCATTACTAATAAGTTTAACCAAAGATGGATGGATTTTTTCGATTGCAACAAATTTTAGAAATTCTTTGATTAAAGGACTGGAAAATGATATAATATTATCTTGATGACCAAATTTGTAATAATTATCATGAATATTTAATTCAATTGAACAAAAATTTTTATTGCATTTTTCTAAAATATCTTCTGAGCTTTCAAGAAATTTAAAATTTTTCAAAAACTCCATTTTTTGTGACAAACTACTAAAGTTGCTTAGGAAATTTTTTGGTTTTAACATTTGATTTGATAATTGTTGCTGATGCTGCTGTTCCTGTTGTTTTTTTCTGAGCATTTCGATTTTTTCGGGTGTGAGTTGACTGATGGGAATTAATTTATTATTGATTTTTATAAAAGAGCTGGCTGGACTATTGGTATTGCTGCCTATCATCTGATTATTTGGAATTCTTATACTTGTTTTATTTGAATTATTCAAGTTGACTTTGTTGGATTTATTTACTTGATTAATTTGGTTAGTTTGATTAACCTGGTTGACTTGATTAACTTGATTAACTTGGTTGACCTGATTCACTTGGTTGACTTGGTTAACTTGATTGACTTGATTGACTTGATTAACTTGATTAACTTGATTAACTTGATTGACTTGATTGATTTGGTTTACTTGATTGGTCTGATTGACTTGATTGATTTGGTTTACTTGATTGGTCTGATTGACTTGGTTAGCCTGGTTAACCTGGTTGACTTGATTTATTGGGCTAATCTCATTAATGTGGTTGACTTGATTGACTGGGCTAATCAGATTAATTTGAGTGCCTTGGAGAGCTTGATTTACTCTGTTTACTTGATTAACTTGATTGACCTCATTAACTTGGGTTGGTTGGTTGATTGGGCTGATCTTATTGATTTGATTGACTTTGTTTCCTTCATTAATTTTAGTCGATTGATTATTTTGATTAACGCGATTACCTTTTGCGACCTTTGTGATTTTACTAGCTTGGTTATTTTGGGTCATTGAGTTTTTTCTATTAACTTGAATTTGTTTATTTGGTTGATTTGGAAGATTTGGAAGATTTTCCACATTTAAATTGGGCGAGTTGATACGGCTTGTAACGTTGCTATTCGATACAAGGGTATTAAGTGGCATATTAGGACTCATTTGATTAACTATAGGCACATTAACCATGTTATTCACTATAGGGCTATTTAAATTTATATTATTATTGTTATTGTTATTGTTATTGTTATTGCTATTGTTATTGTTATTGCTATTGTCATTGTTATTATCATTAGTATTATTAGAATTATTATTATTGTTCGGAACTACTTGATTTATTGGACTTTTTATTATATTATTATTTGTGTTTTGGTTATTTATTTGATTTGCTCGTTTAAAGAAAATTGAGTTCAATGCATTTTGATTAATACCATTAATGCCATTAATATTACCAAGATTCATATTGTTCATATTGTTTATGTTCATATTGCTCATATTATTCATATAGTTGATATTATTCATATTCATATTATTTAAATTATTTCTGTTGTTTTGGTTATGTAATAGACTTTGTCTTTTAGCTAATTGAATTTTAATTTGTTGAATTTGCAAGGGAGATAAGTTGCTTGGATTTATATTTCTCCAATTAATATTTTTTAAGTTGACGTTATTTAAATTTTTGATCATATTATTGTTATTAATATTATTATTATTGCTATTTCTATTGTTATTGTTATTAATGTTATTGGTGTTGTTATTACTATTGTTATTATTGATATTGTTGTTGTTGTTGTTGTTGTTGTTGTTGTTGTTGTTGTTGTTGTTATTGGTATTGTTATTGTTAATATTATTTCTATTATTTATGTTCAAATTGTTAAGATCATTTATATTTGCAGGGATATTGCTTGGACTGTTTTGATTATTCTGATTATTTTGGTTTGTTTTGTTATTTTGATTATTTTGTTGACTTCTTTGTAAAAGCAAAAACTTTTTATACAATTCCGGGTTAGCTGACAATGGAGCACCATTAATACTCAATGTGTTTAAATTGATTCCACTGAGTTGAGATAGACCATTGCCATTACCCATATTATTGAAATTGTTGAAATTTGGATTCATGTTATTCATGTTAATGTTGTTTACGTTATTGACGTTTCCCATGTTGTTGATATTGGCAAGAGTTAAATTATTCATATTCATATTCATATTCATGCTCATGTTCCCCATGTTAGCCATGCTATTGACGTTATTCATGTTCATGTTGTTGATATTTCCCATATTTCCCATGTTGTTCATGTTTCCCATATTGTCCACATTTCCCATGTTACTCATGTTCATATTGTTCATCTTGTTCGAGTTACTCATGTTATTGATATTAAAATTGTTGAGATTGAGATTGTTCATATTGTAGATGAGTAGCCTGGAGTAAAATTGTTGTCAAGAGAGGATAGCCAAAAACCGACAGAGCAGAAACAACGGAGAGAAACAAAGATAAATGGGCAACAACTAGAGCAGCCAGCAGTCTCTGATTGACACTTGAACCAGTTGCAACAGCTTCAGGTGCTGATTGATTATCTCTGGATGTGAATCAGGAATAACCAGGAATAACGAAGAGAAGACAATCAGCTGCACCGAACAACAAAAGCCTGAAACAAATCCAACCCAAAAACCACGCACGTGTAGCTCCGCGCCAACGGACAATATGCGGAGACGCTGGTCACGTGTGGTAGAGACTCTTAGTATGTCTAGTTTGCGATAGTCTGCAGGAGGCCGCAGGCAACTAATCCACCGTTGAGGTGTGTTGTATATCTCAAAAGAAGTTTCGCTTTCAAGTGTGGGTGTTTTTACCAAATATTTTATTCAACCAATTGATCAACAACTAGAAAGAATAATTTGAGATTTTGCATCAAACCAAAAGATTGAGTATCTTACTTGGAAGAAATTTTGAGTATTTATATTTTCTTGATAAATAATTATGTTGAATTCTACTATCTTAGTTTAATTTTAGTTTAATTTCTGTTTGGTTATGTTTTTAACCAATTTATAATACACAAATTCCAAACGAAATTAAATATAACCTCTAACAAAACTCAAAGAAACGTTTCTGTGAAATAAGGTAGTGAAACCATATACTCTAAACGGCAATTGATACATCATGCATTTACAAGTGGGTGACTGTATCAATTCAATGCATTGCGGTGAAGTGCAGCTCAACTGCTTTTTACTTTCTTCCAGTTATAAAAAGCACTCAACTTTAAACATTAAAGATCTATTATTATTCCAACACTAACTGATTTGTGATACAAAATATCCAATTATTAATACTTGCAACTTTTCGGGTGACCCTGTTAGTATCGAAAGCAAAATATCTACAATTTTTTAATCTTCGGAAGAAGTATTTCTATATTATTGAGTTGCATATTTATGTTCATGGCGTAAAATGTTTCAAACTAACAAAACATTTTTCCAGATTGAAAGCAATAAGATTTTGTTGTTCTGGAGTCTCTTGTTCTGTGTAGCTATGCAATTGACCGAAATTAAAGAGTGTATTTTTATCAAGCAATTGCATTTCAAAAATTGCACATTGTGAAGAGTTAATTTGGAAATATTAGATCTGAGCGACAATAATATCAGCAAACTTAAAAATTTTAAATATTTAACACAATTGGCACAATTAAAAACCGTTGATTTGAGCAGTAATAAAACAGTTATAAAATCCTTTAATGAGATATCACATATCAAAATGCTGAATTTGAGTGATAATGAAATATCAGATTTTAAAAACTTTAAAGAAATATTGCGGATTGAAATGCCAAATCTCAGTAATGACTACATTTCCTGAATTAAACAGTTAAAAACGTACTATGAATCCTGGCTCCAACTTGAAAAATATTATCCCAATGAAAAAGATGCCGAAATGTTCAAGAGGAATGAGAATATGTTGAAAATAGCTTTGAGTGCTAATAAAATTGAATATAGTAAGAGACTGAAGGATCTTTCTAAAAAATGCAAGATCACATTCTTGTTAGAAAATGATAAACCATATTCACTTGAAAAATCTTTTTTTTACCATTCTCCACAATTTGCAGTTTAGGAATATCATAATAATTTTTAGAGATAAGTAGTATATTTTTAAATAAATAGTTTCAATCGAAAAACACTTTCAAAAATCCCCATCCTCAATGAGATATTTTAGCTCACGCACAGATATCAATCTTCAGTTCAATTGTGTATAATTTGAATACTAACATTAATTTGAGAGTTGTTTTTATGTTTGTAATATCCGTTAAATAATGAATATAGAAACTTTATGTATTGTAATCAATGATATTATTTACCATTATAGTAGTGGCAGTATTAATAAAACGAACAAATAACATTACAGTGAGCTCCAAACCTTTTGGGCCAAAAAGGTTGCTGAGTCGTTGTATATTTATTTCCTTTTTTGGGATTTCTCTTTAATCACTATGTAATTGTTCTCTCTGTCGATTATCCAATGATTACACAATTTCAACCTGGACCTGGCTGATCCGTACTTGTCGACAATGTAGTCAAGATCAATATCTTCTACATTTAATAGGAAATCCTTTTCAAAATCACTGATCTTGATCCGGGGATAGCAGCTGTTTATATGAAAGATCAAATAAATTATATTCATGTTAATGCCAAATTTTCTCAATAGGTTCAAATAACTTAGGTTTAAATTGGTTTCCAATATTTTATATGTCTCAAACCATTTGTAGAAGCTTCTTGCACTGATTGAGTTGATAAAACTTAGTATAACGTTGTCATTAATCTCATATCTATAGTATAACTTGTAGCAAAGATTGATATTAAGATCGTTACTAAAAATCTCATTCAATTCTTGAATGTTGTGTATTTCATCTGTTTTATTAATTCTATTGTTGAAATGCAATAGGTGTAGAATATAGATACTTATAATCTCTTTAATTTCGTACTCCATTAATAACATTTGTTTATCGTCGTTATTTATAACATTGGAGATCAAAAATAATATTGAGGGCAAATAAGTTTCGTAGTATCCCAAACTGACTGCAATTTTAATTGAATATAAATACACTTTTATTGTAAACTCATCGATTTCATTGTTCAATAAGCTTTCTCTCAAGATTCTTAATTCAAATAGTGTCTTTTCAACAGCATTTTCTTTCTCAGTTTTAACTTCAACATTATTTGTACTTTTTATTTGATTTTTATGCTTGCTTCCACTATTTTGTATTTGCATCTCCTTTTCCGTTGCCTGATCTTTTTCTGTATCTCTTTCAGTTTCACTATCTTCAAATAATCTATTTAATTCTTTGTTTTTGTTTTCTGTTATACTTTTCAAAAAATCCCTTTGAATTTTCTCAAAGTATTTGATCCTCAATTCATATGATTTCTGCAATTTATTGTTATCATTATTTCTACTGATCAATCCATATTCCTCACTATTATTTTCAGCTTTATGATTATTGCCGCTACTACTATTAAACCTTAAATATCTCTTTGTTTTTGAGCTTGAATCATTAATCAATTCCTTGTCTCTGTTATAAATATAATGTGATTTGTTCCCACCATTACTGTTTTTATAACTGTTTGAATCGTTATCTTTATGATGAAAATTACTATGGTTGTTATTATATTTTGATGATTTACCATAGTACTTTTTTTTTGATGCTATTGGAGCAGTCTTGAAGTCATTCAATGAAGACGATGAAAATGAAGGAGATGGAGATGGAGTTCTGTTAGTTATATTTCTATCATCTCCATCCATATCTTGCTCAGCATATCCTTCGTTGTTATTCTTTTGAAAATTGCTCCTAGCTCTGTATCTGCTATATGGCCTGTTGTAATATCCTTTGTACTGTCTTTCAACCATGCCCAACAACCACTAAGCACTTAGATCAAAATTTGTCTCGCCACCAAACAACCGACTCCCAATTAACACTCGACACCAGACTCCCATTGCCATTTGTTTCACTATACTTTAAGTGATTCCATCAACTGCATCACAGCACAAACGCACTTTTGTTCTGCGCGTCTCCGTCGCCGACGAAGCCCGGCTGGAAAATTTATTTTTTGTTTATAAGAAATGGAACAAAGAATGGAGAAGGGAGAAGAGAACAATTACCAGAACTGGTTCCAGCTTAACGTCGAGAGATTGTCCAATATGAGTGCTGCCAAAATAGACTCAGCTCAGGTCAACAACCAAGGCGACGATGAAGTCTTTGAGTTGAAACCAATGAACTTCAATCCTTACGTTTTACAAAGAATCGCCCCTGATCTATTGCTCAAGAAATATTTAGACTTGAACATAAGACCCTCTTTGAGATCTTTTAACGAGTTCAAGTCCATCCAAATAAACGATAGTAATTTGCAGGACAATCAGAATTTGCTTGCAAAGACCACTGTTAAAAATGGCAATACCATTGTGATATGTGGTATATTTGCCAAAATCACTGAACAATCTTTAACTTCAGATTCAAGCATATTGGAATCAAGTCAATTATACAACGAAATATATGAGAATGATCCAAGCAATCAAAACCAGAATACAAATAGCGAATTCATGCCAATATATCCGATTATCGAAATAGCTAGAGGAAGATTTGGTGCGCCTACTGATGAAGAGATGATTTTGGCCAAGAAGTTGTATAACTTGATATTAAATTCAAGATTAATTCCTAAATCTTCATTAAAGATCAATTTGGGTATAAAATTCACAGACCCAATTACCAATAAAGAAACAACATACTATAGTAATGCCGATGATGAAAAAAATCTGGAAAACAAAGAATTCAATCTAAATGATTTTAAACCCAAAAATAATTTCAACTTTAATTTACATGCAACTTTTAAGATATTCAATAGAGAAGGACCATTGTTCGATATAATTTATTCAACTCTTTTGAAAACTTTGCAAAATGTTCATCTACCCAACGTTTACATTGATGAACAAAATGCTTACTTGTCAAATATTCTTAACAACAGTGCTCACAGCAATATAAATACAAGCAGAAATAAAAATAAAAATAATTTGATTGAGGATGACTTGAGTTTGATCTGTGATGATTCAAATACTTATCCATTAATTTTGAATCAGAGCATCATTGGGTTCAGTTCAACTTTTGGTTTTATTGATAGGATAAAGTCTGAGCCACACAATGAAAATAATATTTCTCCCAATGATAATGATGATAAAGAAACCGTATTGTTGTGCGATATTGAAGGTGAGGCCGAAGAAACTGAATGTTATTCTAGAGTCAATATAATTCCAATAAATAATCAAAATGACAGCGATGATAATGATGAATTCACATATTTTAGTATCACTGGAGGTGGTTCAAAAATAACCAAGCAATTACTAAGAAAAGCTGTTTGGTTATCGAAACAAAGATCGAAATATTTACAGTCTTTATAAAATCTATAGAGCATTAAAGTGACATCACTGTAACGACTATAAGCTTTTTACATTAATATATAAATAAACGAAGAATTGATTTTCTTCAACTGTATTATCCTCCACTAGCTTATTAAAATCATCTAATGTACAAATTTTATTATTTTAATTATATATTGAGTGGACTATATAAGCATAATAGATATACATCATAGAGGAATATATAGTAACTAAAATAATATAATATAATTAACCAATATTAGTAAGCGTCAAGTAATCATTGCAACCACTTAGACTTTGGCAGCTTCAGCAGCTTTTTTGGCTCTCTTAGCTAATTTGGCTTGGGTTTTAGCACCCATAATACCACCACCCCAGTGACGTTTGTTGTCTTCGTATTTTTCAGCAAAGGTAGAGTCAATGGTTGAAATCAATTGGGCTAAAGCTGGTTTGTCTTCTTCTTTAACGTCGGTTAAAGCAACAGCAGCAGCGTTCTTTTTGTGAACTAATTGACCTAATCTGGATTTGTTTTTAACAATAGCATAAGAAGTACCAGTGGCTTTACATAAAGCTGGCAAGAAAATAACCAATTCAATTGGATCGACATCGTTAGCAATTAGAACTAATTTAGCCTTTTTGTTTTCAATCAAGGAAACAACATGGTTTAAACCGTATTTGACAACAAATGGTTTAGATGAAACATCAAATTTGGTTTTACCTTGAGCAATACCAGCAGCTTCTTTGGTTAATCTTTCTTTCTTTTCAGAAGCGGTTTCTGGTCTGTATTTGTTTAATAATTTGAAAGCTTGAATGGTGGTATTCTTGTCTAAAGTAGATTGGAATTGAGTAATTGCTGGAGGAACCTTCAATCTAATTTGTAAGATTTTCTTTTGTCTTTGTAAACGAACGTATTCTGGCCATTTGACAAATCTGGATAAGTTTCTCTTTGGTTGGATGGCTTGTCCAATACCAAAATTTTTAGCTGATGCTTCAAATAAAGGATTTTTGGTTTTTTTGGATGCTTTATTTTTTTTAGCAAATGGAGATGGTGCAACTTTTCTTGGGGCCTATAATGAGGGTTAGTTCATAATATTCTTTACAAGTTTAGAAAAGAAATATAGTTGGCAACAATCAAGAATAACAGAACTATTAGCAAGAAAGATGAATAACTAAACAGTAAAATCAAAACCACACCAAAATCATAAAAAAATGTGTACTTTAATTTGATTTCATCTATTTTCTTTTCCCCATCATCATTAATTGATAATGGTGAAACAATAATCCATTATTTTTTGATTATCATCCAAGCAATGGTAAAGTTATTCTGACTCTAAAAGTAACCAAATAACTTATGTTCACATACCATTTTTGATATATTAGATTGAAACCTGATTCAACGAGCTTTTAATAATTAATTCCAAAGATATTCTTTCCTGTTAAGATTATGTTGAAATTTCCACCGATTATTTCTTCTTTCTAATTGAGAATGGCAGAAGGAAAAACTGTTCTCACGTGATGATTGAAGCTAAATACGACTTAAATATTTTGTTGTTACTTGTAAATATGGCACGTGAAGTTATTCAGGGCAGTTAAATCATCAAAGCCCTAATATCCTTGTTTGTGGCTGATACAATATTATACATATTATTGTGTCTGCATGATTTATGTCGGGTCACAACTGAAATCAATCAGCTGCTTTCCAAACTCACATGTGATCCGCTTTGGCTTGCTTATGTAATTTTGTTTCTCACCTCTAAACTCAATTAAGTACGGAATATAATCCTGGTCTTATCTCCCAGAGCTACCTCTCTTAAAGAGTTTATGATAAAGAGTTGGAACGATGGATATCAAAATAAATCAAGATTTGCAACAGGATAATGAAGAGCCCATTTCTATGTTTTTTGATGAGAACTTTGTGCCTCATGCCTACTTGGATGCTTTTTTCAATAACATAATCATAAGATCAAACAATTCGATTTCAATAACTAATAACAATAGCAGTTTGACTAACAATATTAATTTGAAGAATCTAATGAAAAATTCAAATGAACTCTTATCTTATTTGGATTATTATTCATTTGAATTGTCTAATGAGTTATCGAATAAAGTTGTTACTTTGAATAATTCAGTGGAAGTGATATCAAATGGTAGCTTTATCAACCAAAATGATTTAACTCATACTGATGCCAATCAAAATGATAACGATGCAAAAGATTTAGAAGAACACCATAATAATAACATTATTAGATTGGAATACTATCTTGACAACCTATCAAATTCTGTTGTTAATCTTCATAATGATATTAACACAATTAATAGCAAAATTGATGAATTAAATTTAACAACTGGTAGTTTCAGCAAAACACATGAAGATAAAAACAAAAATAACAAAGATCAGTATCATTTACACAACCATCCTTCTTCAATAAACAAACTAATCCAATTACAAAAAATTAAAGAAAATTTGTTAGTTTTACTAAATATTTTTCAAACAATCAAATCAATAACTTTATTAAATGATAACACTAATAATGAAAAAAGTGCTAATGATGACAATAATCAGTATGCTCCAACAAACAACAATAACAATGACCAAATCAACCTCAATTTTAATAAAAATAATAACACAAACTTTTCAATTACCCCTGAAAGTTTTAAAAACTCACTATATATTCTAAATGATATAATTGATTATCAATATAGCCAGTTTGCTAAAAATAATAATATTAACACCACTACTTCAGGCAAAACTTATCTCCAAAATCGGGACACCAAAAATGATGGTAATGATAAGATTAAGGAAAAAATTGAAATATTAGACAAGATCACCTCTTTGATTGAAATTGCACCTATTTTTAATAATTTACCTCCTTATAATAAAATTTATCAAAATTTTGTCAAATTGATTCAACCATACAAAAAGAATTTGAAAATTTTGATTGATAATGAAATAAATCTACTTTCTGCTCATAAAAATCTCAATAAAACGAATTTTTCTAAAAACAATAGCGAGTTGAAGAATAATACAAATTCTCAAGACAACAAAGAATCTAACCTTAACTCATATAATAAGCAAAATAATCAAAACAGAACAGTTTTGGTTGTTCCCAATTCAGTGCAAATCCCGGCTGCCAAATCAAGCAAAACTGAATCTCTGTCTGGTTTTGGGTTTATGAGTTTCTTTCAAAAAAGTTGATATAAATTAACGATCTTTTATTATTATTATTATTTTTACTTGTTTACATAATTTTTATTTATTTAGCTTATTTCTATTTACATACTAATATGTAAAGCTTTATATACTTTATCAGACTTTGACTATGGTTTTCATACGAACGTTCACCATCAATAATTCTTAACATGAATTGTTAACTTGCCTATTTGAAATTTAATGATCATCCTAATACAAATAGCTTCTATAAACATTATAGATTTTGTTTATAACTTTTAATCTTAATTCTACTTTAAGATTTTGATTACTTAAATCCTCAATGTCTCTTAACCATTCATTTTTTCGGTCATTTGAAAGAAGATTTAACCCATTTTTCTTTAATGATAAAATCTCTAACAACAACATTCCTTCAATAAAATACACATCACCATTGTTATTACCACTGCCACCACTATTTTTATTATTATCGAGTTCATTTAATGATATGATTAATAACCTTTCAATGTTGTTTAAATTTTGCAAAGTTCTTAATTTATACTTGGAAAAATTGATCTGAAAAACATTAACATAACCTTTTTTCAAATACAACTTAAAGTTTTGCAATAACCAGAGCAAAATCAAAAAACTGGGTGATCCAGCAATCAAGTAGAACACCAACTCTTGAGATTTAATCAATTTATCAATTCCGTTAGCTGCAATTAGCCCATCTGTTTTCAATTTTTGAATTTGAATCAATATGTTTCTTAATAAATTACCCACCAAAAGATTCTTAATTGGTTGTTTTAATTCATTTTCATAAGACTTCATGACTAAAGATAAATCAACATCTTGAGATGAATTGTTAATAGAATTATAATTGTTATATTTTGGAGTCAATTTTTCATCTTGAATAAATTCAGAAACCATTCTTTCTAATGATTCCAAGTCACTCTCTAATGATTTATTGCTAACTAATGCAATCATCGAATTATCATCATGTTTTATTGTATTGAAAATGTTTTGAAGTGGTTTTAATAACCAACTGTGATAAATGCCAATCAAGCTATCGATTAAATTAACTTTGATCCACGAAATAATTAGTGGGTAATTATGAAATAAGTTAACAAATTGGTTTGGTCCAACTTTCAATAAAATTAAAATCAAAATCCAATAACGAGTCAAAAACTTTGGTTTGGAGTTTTTGACCAAAAACTTATTTATATTTTTATTATAATTTGGTAAATTATTAAAAAATATAATATTTAATTTATTAAAAATTTCATCATTTTCACTGAAAGGATTTTCTTTATTAGATTTAGTTAAATTGAAATTTATATTAAAGTTATTTGATAGAATACTTTGAAATTTGATCAAAGATGAATAATTATTGAAGGATATAGGATCGATTGATTGTTCAATATCAATTGACTCGTTGCTATCGTTTAGTGCAATACTACTGTTATTGCTGTTATTATAGTTACTGATGTTATTGTTATTATTGATAAAATTTGGAAATTCAATTAACAAAGAACCTAATTTTTGAGCATTTAAATTATTTAAATTGTTCAATTTCTTAATTTTACTGGAAACTATTGAATCATTTAAAATGATTGGATATTTTAGTATAAAATTAGAATAATCCATAACATTTATTAAGGAAGATTTAAAGTTTTTAATAAAAATAGAAGGTAAGAAATTATTGTTAAGATTTTGATGTGCATTAATTCTTCTAGTGTTATTGATAGTATTTTCATTATTATGAAAATTTTTAATTGTAATAAAATTTAAAACTGAACTTTTAAAAATTGAATTGTGATAGATTTTTTGAAGATTGTCATTGATTATATTTAAAACAAACTTTAGTGAAGACTTTATAGTATTTTGATTAATATTATAAATGTTGAAACTTAAGTTAAAAAAATCAAAATTGTTATCATTGTTGTTATTGTTATTTTCATTATTATCATCATTATTATTAGCATTATTATTAGCATTATTATTAGCATTATCGCCGTTAATATGGTTAGAAGTTTGTATAATGTCTATTAAAATAACCTTAGCAAAATTGTAAAGAATTTTTGGTAAGTTAGATAGAATATGCAAACTTTTAAAGACAATATTGGAATTAAGTAAATCATTATAGTAATTTAAATGCTCATTTAAATTTTGATTCAAACTCAATGAATTAGAGAATAAGTAAATATAGTAGACTAATATTATATATGATATAATAATATTTTCCAAATTAACAAGAATTCTGATATCTGATTGAAATTCATCCTCAAAGTTGAATGAATTTGAAGAAATTAATAAATCCAATTTGATTAAAATTCTTTTGGACAATGAACCATTTTGAAAGTTGATTAGAATTTCATTTAATTGGTTTAAATCATCTAAATTTAATAACTCATTGATATCACTCTTGCTGTTGGAATAAGTATAATTTAAAACAATAGACTTATTTGGTGAATTTTTAAACTTGAAACTAGAATTATGATTGGTGATATTACGATTGCCTTTATTGTTTCTGTTCAAGCCCGATCTAACTGGATTAAGAATTTGATATAATTTATTAAAAGTCACTTGCAACGCCGAAATATCTTCTAAAAGAGTCTTGAGCAATGTTTCATCATTATTTCTTCGATTTCTGAGACTTGTATCGTTTAATACGTTATATTTGATACCTTTCTCAAAGAGATGACCATTTAGATTGCCAGCTTCTGGTTGGTTTATGCCTGGTTTCAACAAAATCGAATCAGCAAAATTCAATGACGGGTTGGACAATTTGCTGAATAAATCGTTAGCATAGTTGTCCAAACTAATTAGACTCTCCTGGATCAACGAATTCATTGTGAATTAGGAGTTGCCTTTCTTTCGTATTATATCTGCTCCTCAAACAAGCTCTTTTTGCTGTTGCTCCTGAGTGGTCGGATGTGAAGGCGGTAGTTTGAATTCCGACCGCGGTTAGTGTTATAGAAGTTCTGGTCATATGACAATTAGAAATTGATTTGATGAACTATACTCTAAGTGGGACCATAACAGACAGCAAGACGTGGATCAGACGTGCAACATTGGATCAACTCAACCACCATTGATTTCAGATAGCTATTCCGTATATACAAACACACAGCGATAATATACACAGTAACAATACACACTGTGATAATACACACATTGATTGCGATAGCAGGCTAATGACCAACAAAACACAGGTAGATAAAAATCCGATAAAAATCCGATAAAAATCCGATAAAAACCCGATAGTGTGAGCATCAATTCCTTGATATCTGGGAAATAGATGGACTGGAATCACTTGAATACTCTGGAAAGTGTCGCACCATCTCTAGACTTTACAAATATTTCTGAGGATCAGCAATGTGATTGCTCGCATGAACAACAACAACAGTGGTCGGAAACCCAAGCGATACGAATAAAAAGTGGCAGACACAGACACAGACACAGACACAAGCCAGAAATACGAGGTTCGAGCAATCAACAATATTAAACATAAAAGCTTGAGCAAAAGCTTGATACAATAGCGAACACAATAGCGAACACAACAGCAAACACAACAGCAAACACAAAAGCTTGACACAAAAGCTTGACACAAAGACCCTGCATGATGGTGCTGATAGGTGTTGGAAATAGAGCAGAGTGAGACAGAGTGAAACAGAGTGGGGGGGGGGGGCAGGGCGATAAGATGCCATGAAAAATAACTCATGAAAAATAACCCATGAAAAATAACCCATATACACAGTAATGGAATAGTTTGGTTGCTATTGTTGCAATTCTGGCATGTTCGTTATTATGATTGAGTTGAAATTGGTTCTTTTTGTTTACCGATTATTGATTTATTGATTTATTGATCATTTTTTCACTTAATTTTTCACTTAATTTTTCACTTAATTTTTCACTTAATTTATTATTTTGGGTGATATGTTTTCTTTTTAAATTCAAATTGGACATGAGATAGTGTCACATCACTCACATCGTTGCATCAAATATATGGTCTGATGTGCTGGGTTTCCAGAGTTTTTGCATTGAAATCTGATATAATTGCTTGCCATTGTCAATTAGCTTTGACCATAGTAATAAAATGATATATAAGTAACAGGGATTTCTCATCCATTGACAGACTTTCTAGTTGGCAATTATTTATTTCAGAAACAACTGGAATCTACTCTAATATATCTGTACAACTATTGTTCTAATTGTTCCAATTATACAAGTTATACAAGTTATACAAGTTATACAAGTTATACAAGTTATACAAGTTATACAAGCTATACAATCTGTATACTACTGATTTGTTTGGGATATTAACCATTTAATTTATTTGATTTTGCTCTTTACCAACATCGTTGCTACAATGCCTGCTCAACGATCCAGAAACAACAATTTGAAAAAAGCATTCTTTAAACAATTCACCTCCACAGTGTTTGATACTTACAATAAAGACATTGACAAATGGTTTGCCTACTACTTCTATGATCCGTTTGCCAAATCGGTGTTTTATGTTGCCAACACCAGCACCAGAATGATTTGTGAACCGGCTTGTATGGAGTACGAAAAGGAACAACTTTCTCCCAACATTTGCTTTATCACAAAGTGTGAAGCACAACAACTACAATACCTACAGAATTACAATTTGTGCAAATGTTGTGTGCACTACTTCACCACCACCACCACCACCACCATAAACAACAACAACAACAATATAATTGGTAACAGTGATCAGTTTGAGGTTGGGCTTTTGGCATCCTGCTGCAATCAGCTATTCACCAATGTGTGCCAGATCGACATGCACGAGCAGTACATAAAAGCGTCGAGAGATCTACAAAAAAATGCCAAATTCAACAAGAAATCGGGCACTGCGACAGGCCAAATCTCCTACAACATGCCTTATAACGTCAAGCTCGCTCAGCTAAGTGCCAGAATGCTAGCCAACAACGCCATGGCAATTGAGCAAAACCGAATGTTAGGATTGCCTCAGATACCCAAACTCACACTAAATCAGCTTGTCAAAGCCAATGGCTATTCTGACTGCTACTACCAAAGGGTGTTCAAGTCCATCATCAAACTAACTCCCAAAGAATTTGGAGCAGCATGCCAGAAAGTCTTTAGAGAGTATTTTCAAGCTTCTGGAAGTCAGTTTGCACAGTGTTTGAATACAGGGGCACCATTGAGACAACAACCACCTAATCCATCTACATTCAATGGTGACTCAAGCGCTTATACAAATAGTAATGCTAATGGGATTAATAGTGCCAACAATAATAGCGCTGCTAATATTACCGATGGAAATAATACCAATAACCGTACTGATTCTATTGAATACTATATCGATAGTTTTAAGGATGTGTTGAATCACACTAAAATTGTTTCTGCTGTCTCTACTACCACTGACTACACAGTACCTCGAGTATTGCCTGAAATATGTGATGAATTGAACAATAATCCAACAGAAGCAAGGGCCTCTCAGTCAATTGATGTTTGTGATAATGTTTGTGATAATGTATTTTATAGTTCCATGTTCAAACAGCTTAGAACCCATATGGAAGTTTTGCAAATCGATGAGAACAGCAATCTTAACATAGAGCTCAACAATAACATACAAGACAACCTTGTTATCGATTCGAACACTGATTGCAATATTGATTGCAACATTGATTGCAACATTGATTGCAACATTGATTGCAACATAGATCCCAACATAGATCCCAACATAGATCCCAACATAGATCTAAACATCGATTTCAACGATTATTTTGAATACCCAGATGATGTTTCTAATAAAACTCTGGAGCATGTTGAAAGCCATGATCAGGATCAGGATCACGATCCAAACCACGATCAAGATTACAATCAGGACTATTTTTATGTCTTCCAAAATACATCCGACCCTAGTAGTTTTGATTTTATTGAAATTGAAGAATTTGCAGCTAAGCAGATGTTACAGGACTCCAGTATAGACAACTACATAGCATCTGAGTCATTGGCAGAAAATGAATCAAATGAATCAAATGAATCAAATGAAATTAATGAAATTAATGAGTTAAATGAGCTAAATGAATTCACCAATATTGATATCTCAAGTAATATTCCTAGAACTTTCCAGTTTGACGACTTACCAGAGTTTGATGTTGAACTTATGCTCAAAGACATCAACAATATGTTCAACGACATTAACAATATTCCAAACAACAGCAGTGATTCCGAATATGACATTGATATGGAATCTTGATGTTAAAGTGATATATGTTATTATTTGTGGCGTTATATTGGATAATGGGATAATGCCGAATGGGATAATGCTGAATTGGCAATAACTAATAATTAATAATTGGCAGATAAATATTTATTTTAATTGGTTTATCTTGCCTGTTTTATGTTTCACTAGACAGTTTTAGTTTTTATGTATACTATACTATACTATATTATATTATATTATATTATATTATATTATATTATATTATATTATATTATATTATAATCTTTATTCTAATCTATACTATAATTTAATTTAATCTATATTCTAATCTAATCTATAATCAAATCAAATCACATAAATTGCTGGTGTTGATTTTAGGCAATGAAAATACTAAAGGCAGTGCTGAATTCTACATCAGTAATAGTGCTTGTAATAGAACTGACTGTGAATGTTACTGTTACTCTTATGGTTATTGCTGTTTCTGCTTCAATAACACAAGAGTTCTACAAAACATCAACTACCATGCTCCAAATGGAATAAAGCATACACTTTGAACAAAATACTGTCCAATGTATGTGTGCCCAATAAAACAACTTTTGCATTTGTATATGCTACTCAATCACA